CTGTTTAGCAATACACATGTCCTCTTATATATTCATTAGCAGTTAAAAGTGGAGTAATAAAAATGTGAATCCACTTCTAAGAAAAAAAAAATAGGGCGGCATTTTCTCCCGTGAACTCAATATAGCTCTTGAAATATGTCTGAGGATTTGGGGGCCACAAAAGAATACTATTGAATCGAAGAGCGTGAGGAGGAAACTTAAGCATCCTATATAATATTTATAATTCAGTAATCAAATTTATAGTTTTCAGATTTCAAATGGATACTGATGTATATAATAATACAATAAGTCTATTTGTTATCCTGTAGTCTAGGTGGTGACAAATTAAACTATGTGTTACTCTATAAAAAAAAGGATTTATTCCGAAATAAAATACTAATCTATACTAAAATATAAATCTACAGTGGTTTTTACGGATGTTCCGTTATAACTACTGAACCATGCATCCGATTGACTTGGAACTTGGTATCCATGAATAAATTACCTGTACTTAATGGATAAGCTCATATTTATATAAGTGTTGGACTCCCTAATAATAATGACAATAAATAATAATGTTAATTTTAAATGCCCAGCGAAGCGGGCGAGTACGGCTGGTTGAGTAATAAAATTTTGTAAATCTTCTATAGCTGTATCACCTATTGACTTAGCCAAGTCAAGACACAATAATATTTCAAAAGCGTTCCATAATTACAAAACAAACGAATCCTAGACACTATTTCTAGGTATTTCTTTGGAGATAGGCAATAGGCAGCGGTTTGACTGTGCCTCTGGCGGTACTGATGACCACGAGAGACTGTGACTACTTACCATTCGATAGGTTTTGTGCAAGTCAACTTAAACTGGCAATACATGCGCTATATATAAAATACATTTTAATTACAATGCATTTATTTCTCTCACGTAAAGACACGTTCACAGAACACGTTAAAAAAAGATCGAATGCTTTCAATTATTTTATTAAGGTATTTTCTGGTATATTAACCTCAAATGAATACCATAGCTCTAAGATTAAGAGTATGCAGAGGAATTATTATGAGATTTGGATAATACGAGGGAGAAATTGTTTTTAGACACGCACTTTTCGTTTTGTTTATACCATTGTTAATAACATTGATGAAATATTTCTTATATCTGGTATAATGTATACATATATCCAAACCAGTGAACCCAGTCTTCGGCTCTCCTCATCCAACTCTTACCGGTCATAGTTCGGAAGTCATCGCACCACCTAGCCAGGGGGCGTACTGCGCTACGGTGGTGTGGGAGAGACCTAGAGCCAGCAGTGGACGACTGTGGGATGATGATGATATAATTATATATATACCTAGATATAATCGAATGAAAATTTCGCCGTTTCTCTTGTAAAATGAAAGTAAGTTAGATAGTTTGTGGAGCAAATAAAAGACATATAAAAGTATTATCGGCTGAGAAATCACCATCTGGTCATAAGAACTTAACGCATGTTCACGTAAATACGTACTTAACACGGGCTCTGAAACAGCTTCCACGATGAATGAATATTAGCCATATAGACTACCTGTTCCTGCCGTGAAGCAGTAATGCGCTTTGAGCTCATTTAACCATCAAAGCAATACTTCTTTTTAATTAATATTTAGCTGTCTTAGCTTATTTTATTTCGTACCTCACTCAGTTAAATGTGTTCAAGCCACTGAGTTTCGCGCCGGGTCTTCTCAGTGGGTCGCGATTCCGATCCGGTGGTAGATTCAGAGAAGCACTGCTGTTGCTGAGGCTAGTGTTAGAAAATTTGTCGCAGGTAGAGGCCCTGAGCTCACCTATTCCTCCGCGCGTAGTTGGACTAATCCATTAGCCTACCAGCTAGTAGGTAGAGAACAAAAAAAAAATCCAAAGCTTCACCTCGGCTTTCAGTTTAAAGTACAGATTCTTACTGGGGGTAGGACTTCTTGTGAGTCCGCAGCGGTAGGTACCACCACCCCGCCTATTTCTGCCGTGAAGCAGTAATGCGTTTCGGTTTGAAGGGTGGGGCAGCCGTTGTAACTATAATTGAGACCTTAGAACTTATATCTCAAGGTGGGTGGCGCATTTACGTTGTAGATGTCTATGGGCTCCAGTAACCACTTAACACCAGGTGGGCTGTGAGCTTGTCCACCCATCTAAACAAAATTAAAAAATTAAAAAAAGATATAACGTCTGGCCATCTTGTTTGTATCTGCTGCAAAACAGTCACCACATATCAATTCGTAAATTCTCGTGTGATGTAAATGCGGTATTTTATTTAATAAATGAGAGGAGCTATTTTACTGTCTGATTTTCATATCGTAATTAAATCCTAAAATATTACTAACTAGCTGACCCGACAGACTTCGTAGTGCCTCAATCGAGAAATAAAAGACCTCAAAGGAAAAAACAAAATTGTTTTTTTTTTAATTCCAAGCATTTTCATATTATCTACCTTTTAAACCTTCTCTGGACTTCCACAAATAATTCAAGACCAAGCCAAATCGGTCCAGCCGTTCTCGAGTTTTAGCGAGACTAACGAACAGCAATTCATTTTTATATATACCTATATAGAAGATAGAAGACTATGAATAGTAGATAACTGTAGTTTTTGTGAATATTCGATGCTTATTTGGTCCTGGGAAACGACAACAGCAGTAAGCTGAGGTTTTGTGTGCGGTGACGGACCGGAGTTTGAAAAATATTGAAGTTAAGAATCGTAAAAACAACGGAACGCACTAATTTGAGATTCAAGGAATCTCGCACGTTTTCAAGCTCACGATTATTTGCTTAGTCCACTGAGTTTCTCGCTGAATCTTCTCAGTGGGTCGCGATTCCGGTGGTAGACTGATTCTCTAAGGTTGAGCCTCGTGAACCCACCTACCAGTCCCAGCGGAGCTGGAATATAAGGTAGAGAAAAAAGTTGCTACAGAGTTTATAATACGTTCTATAATACGCTCCGATAAATGCCGATTGCTGCCCACAGTACGTCGATATAGTGGTTTTCTTTAAAGCTAAGATGGGTGGACAAGCTCACGGCCCTCCTGGTGTTAAGTTATCACTTTAGTGCTGCTGCCTATCTCGAGACATCCAAGTCTGAGTTTTTACAGTACAACGGGTGCACAACCCTTCGAATCGAAACGCATTACTGTTTCACGACAAAAACAGGCAGGGTGGTGGTACCCGAGAGGGCTGGTGGTCGTGGCGCCGACGATCGCTGGCCCGGCGTCCCGAGAAGGAGGGTGATGGGAGAGATGTGCTCCGCACTAAACGCTTCACTCTCCTCTCCTTGCCTTTTCATGAGTTCTGTCTCATGCGAGGGTTGGACGTTGGTTGTTGAGCGACAGGAGGTTTTAGTCGGTTCGACTCCGACATGCCCCACCCTCCATTCCCAGTGGAGGGTGGGAGTCCGGCTATTTCCTCCTGACAAAAAAAAAAAAAAAAGGGTCGTGGTACCCACCCATGCGGTCTCATATGACCCCACCACCAGTAATTACGCAAATTACAATTTTTGCGGGTTCGATTTTTACTAAATTATGTTATTCCTTCACCACGGATGTCATTCATGAGCATTTGTTTAGTACGTATTTCATTGGAAAAATTTGTACTTACTTGCCTGCGGAATTCGAACACCGGTACAATGGCATCGCTCGATACGAATGCACCGGGCGCCTTATCCTTTGGGCCACGAGACTTCGTACTATTAGATAACACTACTCCCCGTACTTCAGAAAAAAAATATCACCTTTTACGAAACCTACGGGAAGAGATACTGTAGTTCTATTCTGGGCCACAGCAAAAACAAATGACTTTAAAAAAAATTGTTAAACATATTTCAACAAAAACTACGCAGACTTTGGCCCGATCGAATTTTCTTTTAGCTTACGTAACAAATTCTCGTATAACCTCGATGAAATAAATTCGGGGTTGGCAATACATTGCCGCGTCGTCTTTGGAAAGGATAATCGTCCCTTTGGGAAGCAACGAAACCCTACCTTTTGACGTCAATCTACATTCGATATCAAATACTTTTAGGAATGTGAAAATTCAGTGCTCGTCTTTGAGTGCTGTATAGAATTTTGATTATCTTTATCTATACTAGTGGTCCCCTGGTAGTCGAAATACGTCTAAAATTAATTGAAATTATAAGTTTGAACACTATTATGATTCTATTGTTAAATACTATTATTATACTTCTATAATCACAGATTTGGCCAAGACTACACTATAGACAAATATTAATAAAGACAAACAATATTTAATCTATTCTCAATTTGACCACATACCTTAAGCAATAAGATAAGTTTGAAAATAAATAAATAGTATGCATGCGTGTGTGCGTCAAATACATGTAGTGTGTGTAATGTTTTCTTTATTGATTTAATGTATCTTTTATGCATTATTTAAAAAAAATATTAGCATTGTGCACTTCTTCTCTATATTCTCTATAAGTATGGAAAATTTCATACTGATCCGTCTGCGCAATTGTCGTAAAAAAGGATACAAAGTTTTAGCTTCATGTATTAATATATAGATATATATAAAAATGAATTGCTGTTCGTTAGTCTCGCTAAAACTCGAGAACGGCTGGACCGATTTGGCTAATTTTGGTCTTAAACTATTTGTGGAAGTCCAGAGAAGGTCTAGAAGGCTTAAAGATAAATATGAAAATGCTTTGAATTAAATAAAAATAACAATTTTGTTTTTCCTTTGTTGTGCCCCCTGTCAGACGGATTCTTTTTGTTTGTTTTAAGTTTATTTAAAATCTGTAAATGCGTCAGACACCTTGAGATATAAGTTCTAATGTTTCAGTATACTTACAACGGCTGCCCCACCCTTCAAACCGAAACGCATTACTTCATCACGGCAGAAATAGACAGGGTGGTGGTACCTACCCGTGCGGACTCACAAGAGGTCCTACCACCGGTGAAATCATTCATTCATCATTCTTTAGTGGCAAAATTAGAAGTGAAATCATCTTAAGTTATGTATCATTAAAGTAGATATTTGCTTGTCGACAGGCGGACGCCAGCACGGCGTTCCTACGCGCTGCCCGTGCCGGAAACATCGAGAAGATCATCAGTCTTCTCGAGCAAGGCGTTGATATCAACGTCAGTAATGCGGTAAGTAATCTTAACAAACAGCATTGGATAATTTAAGTAGAAACCACAATTTTAGATAAAAATTAAAATTTCGTTATTCCCGACGAATCTTTTTTTTTTATTGCTTAGATGGGAGGACGAGCTCACAGCCCACATGGTGTTAAGTGGTTACTGGAGCCCATAGACATCTACGACGTAAATGCGCCACCCACCTTGAGACATAAGTTCTAAGGTCTCAGTGTAGTTGCAACGGCTACCCCACCCTTCAAACCGAAACGCATTACTGCTTCACGGCAGAAATAGGCAGGGTAGTGGTACCTATCCGCGCGGACTCACCAGAGGTCCTACCACCAGTACATCCTGATTAAAATATTTGGCTAAATTATCATATTGCCAACATTGATACGAATGCCAATTTTAAAGCTAATTGGACATCTTGAAGTTGGCGAAAACTACGTTGAAACATTCCGTCACATAAATAGATACAGGTCAAGTTGATAAAACATGTGTTAATTATAACCACCAGCACTCCAAGACGTCACGTTAACCGATTATTGTGGAGCTCTCTGTGATACGAGCCTGTGACCCAGCACAGGTCTAACAAACTCAAGACAAACTATGTAATCTATCAACTGAAATAATATCCATCAAATATTTACCGACACGTCTCCTACGTAGTCCTTAATAATTGTTGCTACTGTAACGCTTTTACTAATTTGTACTAAAGCTGTCATAGTCAAAGAAATAATTACATAAATAATAGTCATAAACTGTGATATCGTGCCGGAATTAAAGTCATAATACCACGTTACCTTGCAAAAGATCTTTTCGAGGTGCCAAGTGTTAAACAAAAAAAGGCTTAATCCTTGTTAGCACAAAGTTGATTTTTCGAACACCTATGGTTCGTTTGCCAACATTTACAACTTAGTTCTGGTTTATTCGATATGTACCATGAACACGCGAAAAAGTCACGAATTCGGATGCCAAAGGTCATTATGGGTCTCGGTGAGGTCATGGTGGAATAAGGCTAGAGATACACTGAGACTGATATAATATGATGTCTTAAGTGGTTATCGAATCCCAACGCAATTAGCTGCGCTACTCTGAAGAGTAGATAGAGTTTGGCTTGAAAGGAATCCGTCCGACGGGGAACACATCAAAGGAAAAACAAAATTGTTATTTTTATTTAATTCCGAGCATTTTCAAATTTATTTACCTTTTAAACCTTCTCTAGACTTCCACAAATCATTCAAGATCAAAATTAGCCAAATCGGTCCAGCCGTTCTCGAGTTTTAGCGACACTAACGTACAGCAATTCATTTTTATATATATAGACAGAAGATAGATTAGTCCAATGATTTGGAACGAGGATGTTCAAATAAAAAGTTTGTTTTCAGAATGGCCTAAATGCCATCCATCTCGCTTCCAAAGACGGCCATGTCGAAGTAGTGAGGGTCCTGCTGGAGCGAGGAGCAGCAATCGACGCGGCCACCAAGAAAGGGAACACAGCACTTCATATTGCTTCTCTGGCTGGTCAAGAGGCAGTCGTTAAACTACTCGTCCAAAATGGAGCTCAGGTAAATGATAAATAATGGTAAAGTGTTAGGTATTCGAAGCTAAATTCTATGTTGCATTGGAAAATGGCTATCTCAATCTATAAGATTACGGATCTGTATACACACTGGAACAAAATGCCGTAGCGTAACACAGTATAGTATTTAGAGTAACAAATTAGGTTCTTCTTAAATTCTTCGAGTCATATAAAGTACCAAACATCATACATTTATTTAGAATAATGCAGGGTTTTCTGGCACCCAAAAAACTATAAAATCCCAACTTGAGGAACAAAGAATTTGGAGTAGACCGCACTTCAACAATTCAATAAGGTAATTAGATAATGGATGGCTTGGAAGGCACTGCTATATGCGAAAGCCTATTAAGATTATAAAGCATCAGTGGAACTTGGCTCGAAAATATGAAATGTTGAGGATACTTTTATTACGTTCAATAACAAACCCTTGAGACTAGGAAATAACTTTAGGAATCCATCGCAAAGGCTATTAACAGTGTAAATGCCCTGTCGAAAACCAGTCAGCTCGTGAAAGCACTCCATGCAACGATTTTCAGAACAACTAAACAGTAAATACTCGTGTTAAGTCGATGGTCTCTCACATGACTTTTCTTTTTATTTTGAGATAGCTGAGCTCATCGTATATAGAACCGATTCATGATATAATGAACAGTAATGGAAATAATTTTGACAGGATGATGAATTACTGGGTAGTTCGTTGTTATTAGTTTATTGTTTTTTTATTAATCTTCATAAATATCGTTATCTTATAGATGAGGGATGTGCCGAAATACCAACGTTTGTTGCAGTTTTACTTCTAAAAATTAGCCACATGAAATTATAATCAACTCTTTTTTTATTGACTACCTACACTTTGACATAATATTGACAGCTTTATTTGTCGACAGCCAGTGATATTACCCTGTATACTAAATTTTATGAAAATCGTTGGAGCCGTTTCCGAGTTTCAGATTATATATATATTAATATACAAGAATTGCTCGTTTAAAGGTATAAGATAAACATTAGAAATAATGTTAATTGCCCGTAAGTAGCACCAGTACTTCTGTGTATTTATTATTAATAGAACCAAGTAAATATTTGATATCTATTTTCTCTTAAATGCCTTACTGGTTGAAAACTCTCACACAACAATGTCAAAAGATCAACAATGAAGTCTCGCAAATACGTAAAACCGAAATAAAAATCTAATACCAAAATATCCGACCCCAAAACCCCGAGAATCGATCTTTCCAGCAAACCCCAACAATCGGTAACAATAAACGGCAAATGGCTGTTCTGCGGTCACATAAACTCCAATAAGCCGGATTTATCAGAAGAAACAGAACACAAATTAATGAGTCATTAAATTCTTTATACACGTCTTCACTTGAAAGGAATCGAGTTGGGATTTAATGTAGCACTTTGGTTCAAAAGCAGCATTAGTCTGGCACCGTTTTAATTTTGATTTAAGACAAGAACGTTGCATTATTTTTCTGATGATGATGATGATATGCTGTCTTCAATGTGAATTGTGATGATGATATGCTGTCAAAATGTCGTCGTGGCCTAAAGGATAAGACGTCCGGTGCATTCGTATATAGCGATGCAACGGTGTTCGAATCCCGCAGGCGGGTACCAATTTTTCTAATGAAATACGTACTTAACAATTGTTCACGATTGACTTCCACGGTGAAGGAATAACATCGTGTAATAAAAATCAAACCCGCAAAATTATAATTTGCGTAATTACTGGTGGTAGGANAGCTCCCCATGCCGAGCAGCGCCTCGATATCACTGCTTAGAACGATCTTATCCGGTGGAAGATAAACGGACGCGATAACGATCGGCGCGTGTCCCGTCAGTGAGATTCGGCACACTGATGCTTCGATATTAGCGAGCGCGAGAGGATCGAGCGGGACGCAATGCAGGGCTCTTCTATAGTAAATGACGGTACCACCACCACAGGCAAAGAGCCTGTCGTTCCTGACCATGTTATAGTTCGCGATTTTAGGGTCACGGCGCGCGGGCTTAAGTAATGTCTCCTGCACTAAAAAGATATCAATTTGATGGTCACGCAAAAAGTCAGAAACCTGATCACGTTGATTTGCGAGACCGGGTAGGACCTCTTGTGAGTCCGCACGGGTAGGTACCACCACCCCAGCTATTTCTGCCGTGAAGCAGTAATGCGTTTCGGTTTAAAGGGTGGGGCAGCCGTTGTAACTATACTGAGACCTTAGAACTTATATCTCAAGGTGTGTGGCGCATTTACGTTGTAGATGTCTATGGGTTCCAGTAACCACTTAACACCAGGTGGGCTGTGAGCTCGTCCAAATATCTAGGCAATAAAAAATCCAGACCATTTTTCCTATGCGCCTTCCGGCTTAAGTGGAAAGGAAGTAATACATACACTTGTACGCGATTATGACAAAACCACTTAGGTTTGAACTTGTGCTCCACAAAGAACAGTACTGAACAGATCTTTGGCCATTGCTCACTAATATGGACCTTTCCGAATTCTAGTCATGTTTATTTATTATTCTGATAATTAAATTTAATTTGTATGTACCGTAGTTATGAACACAATTTGGAAATGGGCAAACTTTGAGTTTCTTTCCGACTTTTCTGTGATGAAACAGCCTTATGAATTGGTCGTAAAGTTAGGTTTTTATTGTATCTATAATGGCGTAGCCGAATGAAAAATACTTAATTTTCAATCTAAACATCATAGACTACGAATATCCAGACTAACATAATTTTAGGTTATCACTGACCTTATGTCGAATTTTATGAAAACGGATCTGATTTGATTCTTTAGCGTTTCTATATTTTTCTGCAAAAGAAGATTGGAAGCAAAGATCGACAGCATCTTTCGTTTGAATATGTATTCCGCATAAGTTAGATTAACAATTAATACTTGTAAATAAGAGGGTTTGGCATTAATTTGTCTTCGGTGGCAATACAATTTTGAACGCGCACCATTTTGCACGTCTACACTACACTACTTGCCTGCCTTTCTGAAGTGAAGAATAAAGAAAAATTAACACAATCATTTGGCACCAAACAGAACACTGAACGGATTGGAATACAATTAAAAAACATGAAATGAACTTAATAAGCCACTCGGCATTATCCTTTGTAAAATATACTTGTATTATACTAGCCGTAGTCGCCCGCTTCACTGCGCATTTAAAATTAACATTATTTATATTACATATATATATATAACATTATTTATTGTCATTATTAATAGGGAGTCCAACACTCATATAAATATTAGCCTATCCATTTAGTACATGTATTTTCTACATGGATACCAAGTTTCAAGTCAATCGGATGCATGGTTCAGTAGTTATAACGGAACATCCGTAACAACCACTGTAGATTTATATATTAGTATAGATTATCGTTAGAGTTGTAGGTAATTATCCGCGGTTGTGATCCGAAAACACATTTCACGCTTTTTGCTACAATAAATAAAAGAATCACGTAAGAATTGTATCACGAGTTACAAATCATTCATCCAGCTTCAATTCAATGTTCAATAACTTTAATTCACAATACGTCCGACCTCAAATACTTCATTCGTGACAGAAATCAAAACAAATCAATACAAGAACGAAAAGCACTTTGGGTTTCTCGCAACTGTCCAAACGAAAGATTTATTAATGTTATGAATTTTATTTATTACGATGAGCTAAATTGTGTGAATCATCTTTTGGTAATGTACCGGAAATCGGGAAAATAATATTTCAAGGATTTACAGTAAATCGTTTTAAAAAAAAAAAAATTACATCTGTGCAATTCACACGTGGTAGAAGTGAAACCTTCCAAAATTAAAATACAATTATCCTAAACGTCTTAAGTATATGTAAAATTTTGTCATTAGTAAATAATTGTAAGGTAGCGCCCTCTGTGAATTGATATTTTAATTTCACGTATAATCCTAAATTAAAATTCACTACAAGAGCTTTCATACACACGTTAGTATTAAAAAATCTCACNACGTATAATCCTAAATTAAAATTCACTACAAGAGCTTTCATACACACGTTAGTATTAAAAAATCTTACAGATGGCGCTGTATTAAATAGTATGTATATTTCTGTCTCATTCTTTGCTGGCTTCATCCTACACATTTTTGTATTTGTGTCTCTTACCTGTCGTTTTTTCCGTTGCATCCGGTTTGAAATCACAACGATTCTGAAGAAGTTTTCACTTCAAAAATTCTATCCAAATTTCATTGCTTTAAATTTCTAAAGTGTACATTTTGATGAGATTGTTGGGAGTCTGAACATCCATCTATACGAGGAAATGATTCATATTTTATATGACGATTAAGATAACCGTTACTACAATGCATTCGCGACTTTAACCTCACGTGTAAAGGTGCGGTATTAATTGCTTGATGCGCTCCGCTATGTAACCGAAACATGTCTTCTTATTGCCCTTAGTAGACCTTCTCAATCTTGTATGAGTACGCCGGGCTCGGATCAACCCAATAATTTTCTATTATCACCAGGTCAACATCCAATCCCAGAATGGCTTCACACCTTTGTATATGGCAGCCCAAGAGAACCACGACGGTGTGGTCAAGTTTCTTCTTGGTAACGGTGCGAACCAGAGCCTTGCCACTGAGGTAAGACTGACATGTCAGTAATAAATCTTAGATTATCTTTGATCAGCATAAAGAAAGCTCGACTTGTAGGCTTTTATTTTTCCCTACCTAATCGCTGTCAGCTTCGAGGGGATATTCCAGCTATAAAACCTAAATTTGACTGAATTGATGGTGCAGTTGTTAGTGCCCCTGACTGTTGCGCCGAGGGTCGTGGGTTCGATTCCCACATCGGGCAAACATTGTGTGATGAATAGGTTTGTGTGCTATTTGTCTAGGCGTTTATTAACTATTTACGGATTTATTTAAACGTATATAAGCGTGTATGAATGAAGCTGGTCTGGTACTCGTAATACACAGGGCATCTAAGACCATGCATGATTTGTTCCTTGAAAGAAAACGAAAGAAAATGTAATTTTATCATTAAAAAGAAAGGTAATTAATTCTAAGTGGTCAAGCCTGTTTTCATTTGTAAAAATTCTGATTTCCCACAGGACGGATTCACGCCTCTAGCGGTGGCGATGCAACAAGGACACGAAAAAGTAGTGGCAGTTCTTTTAGAGGCAGACACCCGCGGTCGAGTGCGACTACCAGCCCTTCACATTGCAGCCAAGAAAGACGACGTGAAGGCTGCTAACTTACTCTTAGAGGTGAATTTTGATTGATCACACTCTTAGATCAATCTAAGTCGTCGTTGTCTAAATGTTGAAACGCCAGTTTTACTCATTTCGACCGATACGACCGTCCTCTTTTTTTTATTGCTTACCTGGATGGACGAGCTCACAGCCCACCTGGTTTTAAGTGGTTAATGTCGCCCATAGACACCTATAAAGTAAATGCGACACCCAATTTGAGATATAAGGTCTCAAGTATGGTTACAACGGCTGCCGGTTACACGGCAGAAATAGGCAGGGTGGTGGTACCTACCCGTACGGACTCACAAGAGGTCCCACCACCAGTTTCACGGTACTGCCACAGCTAGCGAATTTCGATGAACGCGTAAGCTACGCAATGGAGGGTAGACACGAATCAAAGATGATAAAGTACATACATACTCCACTGATGATGTTGTTTTCAGCTAAATTACAGTTTCTTTTTCTAGTAAGAATCGTGAAATTTTGACATCGCTCTTTATGTCTAGAACGAGCACAATCCAGACGTGACCTCTAAGTCTGGATTCACTCCGCTACACATCGCGGCGCATTACGGCAACGAAGCAGTCGCAAGACTCTTGCTGGCCAAAGGCGCTGACGTCAACTGTGCTGCGAAACACAATATCTGTCCTTTACACGTCGCTGCCAAATGGGGTGAGGTTCCTATTTCACTATTGATTTTAGGACGAGCTCACGGCCCCTGGCTACTGGAGCCCATAGGCATCAACAACGTTACTGCCGCCATTCTCGAAAGATGAACTTTATGATCCAGTTTCATACGGTTCCTGTCTTTCAAACCGAAACGCATGACTGTTTTGCGGTAGAAGTAGTCGGAGTTGGATCATATGGGCAGACCCCAAACTATATCAAGAACTGCGACACGTCGACACAGCTATTGAGGTTCCAGTTGAGATGATTAGTGGAAGATGAATTCAATTGCGTTACATTAACATCCCACACGGACTTCTCCACAGTTGGTCAATTCTAGAAATAATCACCATCTTGGTACACCTTTATATTAATAATCTGGTGTGGTGTGTATGTGGTTACAGGAGCCAATAGATGTCATAACACTTTGAGACACAGTCGAAGTCTCAATTGTATGGTATGATGATTCCAACCTGACACAAAAGCAGAAGACGACAGAAATAGTTAAGGATAATTTTACCATCTTGTGCGGGCTTACAAGCTACCACTAGTAAATGCCGATCGGTAATGCAGTACGCTCATATAATACTTAGAAAATGCTGCTGCAATTTCTTTTAATACACTCACGGAAAGGGATGGAGTGGTGCTATTATAGACATACACCACACAGCCAACGACTAAGTTAAAATTAAAATGGGTACAGAATTTTATTTTCATTCCATAACTTGGTCAAAAATAGGCATATCACCAAATGAAATTAATTTGTAAAGTATTTTATCCACACAGGCAAGGAGAATATGGTAGCTTTGTTATGCGATAATGGGGCGAATGTAGAGGCCCGCACTAGAGATGGGCTGACCCCTCTACACTGTGCCGCCAGATCTGGCCACGAGAGAGTCGTTGAAGCTTTACTTGATAGGGGTGCTCCTATTACCAGTAAGAGCAAGGTAAGTTACGTTAAAGCACACAAAAGCTTTATCTTTCCAAACTTCCATCACTACATAGTATAAAACAAAGTCGCTTTCTCTGTCCCTGTATCCCTATGTATGCTTAAATCTTTAAAACAACGCAACGGATTTTGATGCGTATTTTTTAATAGATAGAGTGATTGAAGAGGAAGGTTTATATGTATAATAGCATCCATTAAATAGTGGAGAAATCAATAATAAATTACAGTTTCCGAAGCGAAGCGAGGGCGGGTCGCTAGTAAGCAATAAGTTCGGTTTTGTTTGAAGTAGTTGTGAAGTGATATACATTTTTATGATTTGCTGAAATTCCGCCTAAAGTTACAGATTGATTGAAAACTAAGATCGATAATAATACTTCTACTCTAAAAAAGGGGTACACAAAGTTTTTGCTTCGCGTATTAATACATAGATTATGGTTATAGAACGGTCTAGCCCCGCTGCATATGTCGGCGCAAGGCGAACACGCCGAGGCGGCGCGCGTGCTCTTGTCGCGACGCGCCCCCGTCGATGACGTCACCGTCGACTACCTCACCGCGCTTCATGTAGCCGCTCACTGCGGTCACGCTAAAGTCGCGAAACTGCTTTTAGATAGGTCAGTAGTGTTTCCTATAATATTAGGCTGCTTACGAACCGATGACGAAAGTTTTATCGAAGTCAATCGTGAACATTTTGATAAGTACGTATTTCGTTAGAAAATCGGTACTTGCCTGCGGGATTTGTATACTGCTGTATCGCAAGATACGAATGCCCCGGAAGCCTTATCCTTTAGGCCACGACTACTTCAAGTGTCGAACGAGGTCAACAAAGGTCATATCCTACACAACGTGAACATCACGCTTCTTGAGGCTCATCTATATCTCATTTGTTTTGCATAATGACTGTCCCACCCTTCAAACGAATGGTTAATTCGCGGCAGTAATGAGGAGAATCCTGATTCTCCTTATTACTGCGTAAGGACAGTGTTATAGTCTAAGAGCCCGTGAGCGGCTACCTGTATGTATTTGATCAGACTTGAATTTTTGGATATTGAGACCCCTATACCTACGATGCGTGAGGCGGGGACTCACTAAGCTCAAAGTGGTGGACGCGCCGAGCCCTCAGGTAAGACAGGTATCGATTTTTGACGTATTTTAAATCCATTTGCCGTTTTGAAATTTGAAAATATATGATTATTATTATTATCGGAAAATAAGAATGGCAGACCATTATCGCGCAATTCGTTTTGTGGCAGACAATTTTGAAAATACTTACAAAAAGCAACCCATGTACAAAAATTCAAGTTTTTTTTTTTTTTTTTTTATTGCCCTTGTAGGCAGACGAGCATACGGCCCACCTGATGGTGAGTGGTTACCGTCGCCCATGGACTTCAGCAATGCCAGGGGCAGAGCCAAGCCGCTGCCTATCGCCTATCGTTTGGTCAAATACATACAGGTAGCCGCCCACGGGCTCTTAGACTATAACACTGTCCTTACTAGGGTTAGTGTTAGCAAACTCTCTCAAGTTGAGACAGTGAGTTCACCTAGCGGTTCGCGCATAGTTGGAATAGTCCTTAAGATTACATAGAAAAAAAAATGGCGGGCCGCGAACTTATTCACGGAAATCTGTCTAACTTACGACTATAATATGTTCAAAGTCTTTTGTTAATTGACAGAGTTCCAATTGAATTTAAAAAACAAACATTTTAGGAAGCGTATTCCAAACGTCACTTCCAAATTTAAATTTGAATTTTCTATCGAGAAAGTTCGAAAGAGATTTCATAAAACAAAGCCTCTTTTGCAAGTAAACCTGACCTAAATGATGCCGAATGACACAGAAATGCCGACGCGAACGCTAGAGCCTTGAATGGCTTCACACCTTTACACATCGCCTGCAAGAAAAATAGGATCAAGGTCGTTGAGTTACTCCTCAAATACGGTGCAAGTAAGTCATTCGATACTTTCCATGGCAGTAGTGTAGTTTAGTAGAGTGGCGATTTAATTTGATTTTTAAAGAACAAAATTTTAAGTGTACTAACCCTATTAATGTTTAATGACTTATTGTGGTACGTTCAAAAATGTTTTTTCTCCATTATTTAATTAAAATGATTCGCAATACAAAATAACGAATAAAAAGTACCCACTAAAGTATCTGAAAAAATAAAATAGAGTTTTAAATTTGTCTTGGTTGACTTTTAATCGATTGATTGAAATATCACTAAATGCTTTATTATCAGGTATCCAGGCAACAACAGAATCAGGTCTTACGCCCCTCCACGTGGCGGCTTTTATGGGCTGCATGAACATCGTGATTTACTTACTCCAGCACGAGGCGAATCCTGATGTTCCCACGGTCAGGGGGGAGACACCGCTACATTTGGCAGCAAGAGCTAACCAAGTAAGCTTCTTACTCTACCTATAAGGGGCTATTCCAGCCACGCTCTGAGGTAGGTAAGCTCACGGGCTCCATCTGAGAGAGTTTGCGAACACTAGCCCTACCAAGACCAGTGCTTCCCAGAATCTACTACCGGATCGGGAAATGGCGACCCACTAAGGAAATCCGGCGTGAAACTACTATTTTATTAGCCTATAGATGTCACAACCTGAAAGCCACTACCCAACTTGAAACATAGGGTCTTCATTGTGCATATAACTTTTTTGCGGTTTTAATTTTTATTACCCCTTATATTGGAAGTCATTCATGAGCAGGTGCTAACAAAATATGTCATTAGAAAAATTGTTAACATTTGGGATTTAAACAGCGGCACAGTCGCATTGCTGAATACGACGTAGGATTACACCGGGCCTCATATGCCTTTCATGAAATATCTCTGACATTTTGACGTCTACTGCGTATTAATTACATGCTTTAAGTACATATTGTTACGCGCTGGTGTTCAGGATAAACAAAAATTCTACCGGGGTACAAATTAAAACTGTATTAGCACTTAGATAACTTAAAACACTTCACAAACACTATAAAATTCTAAATTCGCTTCTTCCGCTTCGCTTCAGGTGATCCGTTCGATGTTTCGCTTCGATTAGTTCCGATTACTAACTGACTGCATGCCATCTCTGCAACGATTTTATAGCCGATGCCGCATCCCTAGAATTATCGAGAATATTCCACACAAGTCGAGTATTGTGTGTTCCCGCTATCTGACAATAGATGGCGTTGTACTTCTCGAGCGTTCTAGATGCCACTAGATCCTTCGATATCCGTTCGGCTATTCAGAGATAGATGGCGTTACTCTTACCGGTGTAACAATATAATATTTGCTTTTTACCAACAGACTGACATTATCCGTATTCTCCTACGTAACGGAGCGGCCGTTGAAGCCAAGGCTCGTGAGAGGCAAACGCCTCTCCACATCGCGTCTCGACTCGGTAACGTCGACATCGCAGTACTGCTGTTACAGCACGGCGCTGACGTCAGAGCCATTACTGCTGACCATTACAATCCACTGCACATCGCTGCCAAACAGCACAATCACGATGTGAGTATTAAATACATAATCATCATCAGTCATATTTTAATTGCTTAGGTTGGAAAACAATTTCACCTAGTTGANCCTCTCCACATCGCGTCTCGACTCGGTAACGTCGACATCGCAGTACTGCTGTTACAGCACGGCGCTGACGTCAGAGCCATTACTGCTGACCATTACAATCCACTGCACATCGCTGCCAAACAGCACAATCACGATGTGAGTATTAAATACATAATCATCATCAGTCATATTTTAATTGCTTAGGTTGGAAAACAATTTCGCCTAGTTGATGATAAGCGGCAAACGAAGTCGATAGAGATAATAAAATCAGAGTCATAAGCATGAGGACTATTTTTCTTTTTGTTGTTTATAGGGGAGACGACATCACCGCCCAATTGGTAGTAAGAGGCTACTGGTATCCCTGGCACATTACAAAATGAATATCGTCAGCCGTTTTCAGATATGAGGCCGAGTCAAGTCTTGTAATAAATATTTGATCCATTTTGATGATAGAATTATATAGGGTTGTGGACTTTTTTGGAATTATCTACTATAAAATGAAAGATAGGAACTAGGGGACTTAAAGTATACGATGCTGATTTGCCACAGCTTTCTGCTAGCTAATTCCAACCGATGCTCAGTATTCAGATAGGGTCATATCCATATAGGTTATGGTGATTAAGAGCCTTTGGACATTTTTAGGTTGCAGCAGCTTTAATTGAACACAACGCACCCCTAACTGCCACCACAAAGAAAGGGTTCACCGCTCTTCATCTGGCTGCGAAGTATGGGAACCTGAAGGTATGCAATCGGTCGTTGCCTAAGACCAATATTAAAGAGCGTCTCGATAAATTTAGCATTTAGGCAGAGTGAGGTTAAAGAAAAGAAAATCAATTTGAAAGAAGATTCATTACGTATCGGGATCTGGTTTCTCTGTTACGCGTATATTTTTGCTCTCGGACATATCCAAAGCACATCACAAAACCACTACTTGCCCCCATGGCTTGTTGAGTGTTTAAAGAACGACATGGCATTAGCTCGAATAATGTGAGATGTTGGTTTCAAACACGACCCTGTAGTTGTAATGTAGAATTATAGCTGAGGTTCCAAGTTGTAAGGAAGGCTCATGCTCCAATTTCACGCCATAAAAAAGAGTTTTATCATCAAATTCTCAAAAAGTTAAACATTGTATGTAGATCTAAAGATTGTACTCCGTGTGACTATGATGATCGACAAATTGATTGGCCATTTTTTGTACGGATTTAAATGAAAGAAACTGGTGCTTGCGGTTCTAGATCTTTGCAGAACCTGTGCTTTTGATCATGAATGAAGTACTGTTAAGTTTTGTTGAAGACTACCTAATAGGTTTGCCTGTCTGATAATTATAATTAATGTTCCAATGTTGTAGTTGAATTAAGACTATAGTTATACAGGGGGTTTGCCTTTTGGCGTCGAGTTTTCGAAGCAATGGATTATCACCCCACAAGCTAGGACTGTGGGATGAGGTCTATAGACTTTGCTTCCACTAAATAATCCCTTGTTCTCATAATTGACAGCTTGCTTTACGTGATCCAAAGTCTTATTTTGGGAAATCCGGAATCTAGAATGTTTTTCTTAATATTTAGGTTGCGAATCTTTTACTGGCTCATGGTGCAGCCCCGGACCAAGCTGGTAAAAATGGCATGACTCCTCTACACATCGCTGCACAGTACGACCAGCAAGCCGTCGCCACTACGCTCCTTGAGAAAGGAGCTGATGCTAAGGTAGATTTTTACTGTGTTGTTTGTTGATCTCACTGTTAGTGCTTTTTACAAGTACTTGAGTGTATTTTAGCTCTGAGAAGTAGGGCCACTGCCGTTAAGTAATAAAGTTGAGAAATCGATATCATATGCCAAATCAGAAGTAGGTATCTATGGAATCAGCTAACTACTAATGGTACCACAGAAACGCAATTTATTTTGCCGAATAATAGTATTAAAAATATTTTCTGGCTATTTAATGTGGAAGTATCATCATTGGCTCACAGCTATCCAGCTGGGCATAGCCCTCTCCCAATTTACACAATTGGGTCGGTTCTGAGACACTTCTGATCTATTTCTATCTGGCCACCTTTCGAAAACAATCTGGAAATACCGTTGAAGGAAACTACAGATAGTTTAATAAAACAATAGTTAGTAGCAACGTTGGCAACTTGAATCAAAAAGCAATTAAAAAAAAATTAAGTCCTGTCATTACAATTTCAGTATGAATAAAAATACAATTATAGATGCAACACAAAAAAGGATGAGTTTGCAAATAGAAATGAACTAGCCTATCGCGAAAGAGATAGAAGATTAAAATCAGTCATTGTCGAAATTACTAGCTTCGCCACTATGAATTTGTACAAATCTTCGTTTTCTTGCAGGCTGTAGCCAAGAACGGGCATACACCTCTTCATATCGCGGCCCGTAAAAATCAAATGGAAACCGCAGCCACGCTCCTCGAGTACGGAGCGTTGACTAACGCTGAGTCGAAGGCTGGATTTACTCCTTTGCACTTGGCTGCCCAGCAGGTGAGCTATAGTGAAGGCAAGCCAGTCTAATTGTCATTAAATATATGTAAAACTTTCATTCCCTGAAATGATTCGGGCATAATTTGTTGTATGAGCCGCGCCAATAAAGAAACGAATTGAAAATGGCATCTATGTACCTGCACTGACAGATGGTAGGGTCAACAAATAAAAAGAAAGATAGAAAAAAAAAAGTTGTTTATTGTAAAAAAATATAAAAAGCAAATGAGAATGTACTTTACTTTGCTTTATGCCCTGGCAGAAGGGGAGGTGTTTCATCTGAGATGCAACTTGCGTAGACACTTTTGCTGCCGGTCATCTAAGTCGCACAATTCGAAAGCGAAAAAACTCGAACTCAAAAACAAAGTCAGAACTAATTTTTTTTTGCATGCAGTACACACCGTATGCGACTAAAGACAGCAATAGCTTAGAGTGAGAGCGCATGATTGCCGCCGCCATTTTAGATTCGTTTCTATACTGGCGCAGCTAATATTTAGTGCTACTACACTGAGAATCTTCCCAGAATGTCGTCCTTGTATTTAGAGAAGTTGAAGTCGAAACGCCCTAAATCTAGTTAACTAAATCTATACATATACTAAGTCTATATATAGGTATACTAAGTTAACTAAATCTACAAACCTGTGGATGGATTCAATCATTTATAACTAATACTTAATTCAGAGAGTGGCTAAATAAGAATAAACTGGTCTATTAACATCAAAGGCTGGCGACGAGGTATTGTACTTAGTGCGAGTTTTTTAATTTGTCGATCGCGTAAAATTTAACTAAATTTTTTATAAAGTTGGAACAGCTTCCCTTCATTAGCCACTAGGGGCGCTGTTCCATCTCCATACAAATTTCAGTAAACTTTTACACGATCGAGAAGTAAAAAATTCGCACTAAGCACACAGGTCCATTTGATCGTCGCAGCCGGAAACCCGCAGTACTAAGCGCGACGTCTAATTCTTAAAAAGGCTTTTAATTCTTAAAAAGGCTTTTAAGAACCTCACTTAAAGCTGGACCACTCACAGCGCAGGATGATACCTTAGAAGAGGTATTAGTCCAGAGTTAGATGGTACCAACAAGAATGATCTCTGATGGTGTCACGTAGAATATACACAAACGCCACATTCGCATCTATAGGCTCAAACGGTTCTAAAATTAAGATTAAAACGTCATATTGGAATGGTACAGGGTCACACCGAAATGTGCGCTCTGCTTCTCGAACATAGCGCTGAACCAGAGCATCAGTCTAAAAACGGGCTGGCAGCTTTGCATTTGGCTGCTCAAGAAGATAAGGTCCCAGTAGCACAACTGCTAGTGAAGCACGGCGCTGAGGTAAAGCTGAAATGTCATACCACTTTATTTGCTTTAAATGGACAAAGGTTTTCGAGGACCACTTTGAGATTTGAGATCAAAGTGTCTGTTACTTAGTACGCTAGCTATCCCACCTTTAAAGCTGGAATTAATGGTATCTAATAATTTCAAACAGTATAAAAACAAAAAAAACAAGCTTCAATAACTTAAACGAAATAATTTTAAATATTTTTTAATCTGGTCATCATGGTCAGGATATTACACCTCCTTGATACGTATACAAATCTTCAATAAGAGGGTGTTTAAAATGAAGCTTCACCTTTATGCTTTGATAGCTTCTTGGAGTGCCTTCCTCAGTAATTCATCAGATCAATCCTCGAACTAATGCAACACTAAACAGACAATACTTACTTCAAATCACTTTTAAAAGGTCTTAAGCAGAGATATTTCCCATGGATTTGCAACGCTTTTTTAGCTAGGACTATTTTAGCAATTCTAGTTTTTGGTCTGGTTGTAGTTTGGTACTGTTTTTGGATTTTGTCGGTTTTCGTGGCTGGGCCAAGATACTGAACAAGTATGGGAACTGCCGACCGACCGACTAACCAACCGATTTTAATAGTGTTCTTAAATTTAGGTGGACATCTGCACTAAGGGCGGCTACACGCCTCTACACATTGCCAGTCATTATGGCCAACCGAACATGGTGCGCTATTTACTCGAAAATGGTGCTTCTGTTAAAGCTCAAACCGCACATGGGTAAGTTAAAAAAGGATTCGTTGACTACCTTTACTAATTTGATTCATTGGCATCGGAATATTAACTTAATATCTTGCAACCTTAGATTAAAATTTCAAGTTTGTCAGAGAGAAAGAATATTCCAGGCCCTAAATCACGTACGAACGTTTAATATATAGGTATAATATATGTGTGTATGTATAAACTGTGCGGATTAATATAATATTAAGTAGTATAAGCTCAAGCTGTGTTTAACCCTGCAATTTATTCTGTTTTATTCATCCTGATACACGATTTCCTGGGCCCATAAATTGTATGTAAATTGGCGGTATTTAGTCTGGCTTGGATAAGATCGAAGTAAATACATAATACTCTTGTTTAGTGCTCTCTCATCTTATGGTGGGTGCATGTTTTACTTAATCTTTTTCGGCTCATAAAATATTGCTCGTGAATTATATTTGAAAACGAAAACAAAAAATTGGGCATGTTCCCAATTTTGAAAGGTCCTTATTTGATTATAACTGTATACAAAAGCTAAATGGCCACGGTGGTTCTATATAATCTCTATCGTATAAAATGTTTGCTCTTGTGTCATTATCCAGGGATGTTAGCAAGGGAAGATGCTTGTATGGACAAAATGTGTTACATATTCCCCTCTTACTGTAGGGACACGCTAATATAAAATAATAATAATAATGTTTTTATTGCAAGTAACCATGACTCATATAAATTGTTAATAAGACTTAGACCTATGTTAGTAGTTATATTTACATCACAATGAATTACTGTCGTAACATCCCATGGGAGATGGTACCACAGCGACCCATGTATACACAGTCCAGCCTGCTTGCGACCATGCTCAGGATACTGTTGGAGCTGGCCCTCACTCTGCTTACCAGAGATGCACACCTCTTACGCATGGTAGCGTGAAAACAATCTATGTGCGCGTCTGCAAACATCCCTGATGCGCTACAAAAGCGGGGCAGCACCGCCAGCACCCTAAACGCGTTATTATATTGAACACGGACGTTAACGTTATTATAACTTGATCCTCCGAGAGTAATACCAAATTCGTTTCCAGTTACACAGCCCTACATCACGCCGCTCAGCAGGGTCACATTAACATTGTGAATATTCTACTTGAACACAAAGCAGATGCAAACGCGACGACTACGGTCAGTATCAGAGACTAACCAGACAAAAAATTTCTTCAGATCATTTCCAATGACACATGAGGGGACTCCTTCTAACACGTAACGCTGCGCTAAAATTAAATAATCATCAAAAAAATCCTCTAAGTCTCACGTCCTTTTTAAGCCGTTGGTACCAAAAAATATCTCTCAATATAACCCCAAGTCCATAGCAAAAGTCTGCAGCTGATGAAACTGCTCTACAGATTTCCATAATGACGATCGAAAATGACATCTATTATTTTAATCTTAGAAGCCTTTTAAAAATGGCAACAACCAAAAAATTTGTTTCTACTGTTAATTTCATTGTTTTCTTTCATGAGCAGAGCGGACAAACGCCTTTGGATATAGCGTCCAAGCTGGGTTACGTAACAGTGATGGAGACTCTTAAGGAAATATCAGAGCCGTCGTCGGCACCAGCCTCGCAGGAAAAGTACAAGGTGGTCGCCCCGGAGACCATGCTTGAGACCTTCATGTCTGACTCGGAGGAAGAAGGTGGTTAGTCCCTTTCGAATGAATAAGTCCAGCATAAACTTTAATTGTTTTAAACGATTTGAAAGCAGAATTAGTTGCGGTAGTTAGGTATAGTGACAAATCAAAGCATAAACATCATTCTTTGATCAAAGTCTACTTTAAGCTAGGTCATAGTCGGGTAACATATTTATCATTTTGATCGTGAGTGGTTACTGTGGCTCATGGACGTGAGCAATGCCAGGGGCACAGGTAAACAGCTGCCTATGACAGAATACTCTGCAAATCAGAGTACTCGTCAAACTAATTATTACTTGTCCAAATTATTGGACCAAATTATTGGACAAATTATTGGACAAGTAAGAATTTATTGGGTACGTATTGTACTAATTAGGTATTGTATTAATGATACGTAGAAGCAAACGGACGTATATTATGACATCTAAGAATCTTCTTCTAACCTTTTAGATCAGTCAAATTTGCCATCTATGATACGTGTTATATTCAGGTTCGTTAAAAAAAATGCCAATGCTTAATTTAACTGTATTATAATATAAAGAAATGTTGATCACATAATGAGATGCTTTTTTGTGGTAGGTGAAGACACCATTCTAAACGACCAGCCATACAGATATCTGACCGCCGATGATATGAAGTCTTTGGGAGATGATTCTCTGCCAATCGACGTGACTAAGGATGAACGAACAGAATCCGCCATGAGCCATAAGAATATCATGGAAATCTCTCAAGGTATCCACACCTAGCCTACACACCAAACACTACCCTTCCTCTAAGTACGCAAAAGAGATGTTCTTGTTTTAACGTAGTTCTTCTACAATTTGGGTCCTGAAAACGGGATAATTAAATTCCTGAGCCTCGCCTAATTAAAAATAGCTTTTCAGGATATTATCAAAATAACCTTTCTACTCATATCTGTTCATAAAATATTTATAACTACTGATACCATGCACCTCACGCTATTTTATAATAAATTCATTTTTTCTTACACTATTTTTAATTCAAATTTATTTAAATTTATTTTCTATTTTTTAGTTGGATTTTCTATAGAAGCGTATTTTGTTAGTTTTTTTTTTCATTTTTTAGTTGAATTTCAATTTTTTCAATAATTTTTTTTATTTTTTTATTATTCCATTGTCATCGGTCTTTAATAAGTATACCAAATTTCGAGTTAATCCCACGTTTTGAAGGGGGTCAAAATCATGTTTAAAGATTCCGTTACATACTAACACACATACGTCTGAAGCTAATAAAAACGTATTAATTAGTTTTTATTCCCGCTATCTCCATAGGGTCTATGAACGGGATTCCGTACCAACCTCAGCAAGAAGTGGTGGTGAAGAGCATCAGTCGTTACAGTACTGCACAGGCTCCTGAGGCGTATTGCTACAACGTGGATCCAACACAACCCAAGTCAGTATTTTTTACATATATTTTTTCATTTAATCATTGAATCCTTTCCAGTGATTTTTTTATTTTTTATTGCTTAAGTGGATGGACGAGCTCACAGCCCACTCGGTATTAAGTGGTTACTGGAGCCCATAGACATCTACAACATAAATGCGCCACCCACGCATGCATACTATTTATTGTCAAACTTGTTCTTGACGTCTGTGGTCAAATTGAGAATAGATTAAATATTGTTTGTCTTTATTAATATTTTTTTATAGAGTAGCCTTGGCGAAATTTGTGATTATAGAAGTATAAAATACAATCATAATAGTGCGCCAACTTACAATTCCAATTAATTATAGTCGAGTTTCGACTACTGCGGGACCTCTAGTATTGCATTATTATCTATTTAAAGCAACTTTCATTAATAAAGTGGCATATTGTTTGATGCATGCCGATTTAATTTCAGATACATGTTTTATGTTTTATCTAATCGGAACATTTTACGCACGCTGCTCTGATTTGTGGCCGAACAGAAAGAAATTGCAGTGGAAGAAGTAAGAAATTATTTTGTTCAAAGTTTTTTCTTAGTTTCAGGATTTTACGTAGTTACATTATAACAATTATTTTTTTTCACTAAAAAGGTTTTCAAAAAACCTAACAAACTTTGAGTCAGAGGATTCTACTCCCAAAATAACACTTATCATTCAAGTCTGGTGTTTGGGGTGGGAAGGTCGCGGCTGCTGACGTCAACTATACAGTTATACAGGATACAGTTACTCGACTGGAGACATTTTATCGAAGTATTAATTTTATTTATATTTTTTTATTTCTTAAATGGGTGGACGAGCTCACAGCCCACCTGGTGTTAAGTGGTTATTGGAGCCCATAGACATCTATCTACAACGTAAATGCGCCGCCCACCTTGAGATATAAGTTCTAAGGTCTCTGTATAGTTACAACGGCTGCCCCACCCTTCAAACCGAAACGCATTACTGCTTCACGGCAGAAATAGGTGAGGTGGTGGTACCTACCTATGCGGACTCACAAGAGGTCCTACTACTGTAACTAAGTACTGGTGCGTAAGTACTGGTTTTTTTGTGAAATTTATTTGAATTGTAGATTCTATACACTTGTTTTGCCTTGTATTGAGACACACTTAACACAGAAGAAAGTCCTAGCTTGGATCTTTTATTTATAAAAACAATGTCACGGTTGATTTCCAGTTTCTTGGTATCCTTCCTTGTGGACGCCCGTGGAGGGGCGATGCGTGGTTGCCGTGGGGGCGGAGTAAGGGTCATCGTTCCACCACTTTCTGCACAGCAACCTACCAGAATTACTTGCAGGTATGACCTATTAAGACAAATACAACTAAACTGCTTTTGTACTTCAGCGTTGGCAGATTTGAATTTTGATTGGATGACAGCAAATCTGAGTAGATTAAATTGAATTTCTTAACTTAAATAAACAGTTCTGCAAAAATCTTCAAATAGCATCATATTTGCTACTAGATGAAATTATAAAATCTTGTTACTAATTTACAGATATCTGAAACCGTCTCGTATTAATCACATGCCGCCTTTGATGGAGGGCGAGGCTCTTGCTTCGAGAGTTTTAGAAATGGGACCTGTTTCTGCTAAATTTTTAGGGTAGGTATTTCCACTCAAAACTAATCTCCCCGCAACTTTTCCACAGCCAAAACGATATTTTTAAGGGAGAACAAGATCCAAAATTTGCAATATAGTTTTTGGATAATGATTATCATTAGCACTAGGTTTATTAATTAGATTATATAAATGAGCTAGAAACACTGCTTGATTTATAACGTATTTAATGATTTTACAGTTAAGTGATATTACTTTAATAATTGACATTTGTCAATTGTCTCACAATGAGATTGACAGACAACTGATTACCTCTGGACACTAACCGACTAATGCGATAGTTCATATTATAATATATGTAGCATTAAAATCATATTAAAAGCCTGAAATTTAAAACTAACAGCTCGAACCATGAATGCGTAAAAAATCGGATACATGCAGAACTTATCCAAGTTAAATATTTTCAGTTATTAGAGATGGAACTAAATAAAAAAGCTTTTCTATTCAACAGGCCAGTTATCTTGGAGGTGCCCCATTACGCTTCACTGCGAGGCAAAGAACGAGAGATTGTGATCCTCCGTTCAGATAATGGCACTAGCTGGAGGGAGCATAATGCTGACGCTACAGATGACGTGGTTCAAGATATCCTGCACGAGACCTTAGAAATTGAAGGCAAGTTACTTTTATCCTGTAGCAAAACAATGACGCTACTGTCCTCTGCATTTGACTGTCAGTCCCTTTGTTCGCTTAATTGATTCAGTTGATCCTTAGTACACTTATTGTTAGCATCAGTGAAAATCTACCGTAAATGGACGGACTAGCTGTCGGCCTGTGGTAGGTCTTAAATTTCGCCATCAGCATTGAGAAGTGAGGTCGCATTGTATCGTATAACCGATGATATTTTGAAAGGTGGGAACCGTTGAAATGAAACACATAAGAGATTCGCATTCTAAATACTACTATGAACTATTGAATATAACTAAGACTCAGAACATTTACATTTTTACCATTTACATTTTTGACATCTCTGGACTCCAACTAGTATTAGATAACCATCTAATACTAGTTGGGTCGTGAGCTCATCCACCCATTAGAAAAATAAATCTATATAATATATAAAAATGAATTGCTGTTCGTTAGTCTCGCTAAAACTCGAGAACGGCTGGACCGATTTGGCAAATTTTGGTCTTGAATTAATTGTAGAAGTCCGGAGAAGGTTTCAAAAGTAGATCAATATGAAAATGCTCGGAATTAAATAAAAATTGAAACAGTTTTGAATTTTTTCTTTGAGTGTCCCCCGTCGGACGGATCCTTTTTGTTTGTTTTATACAGAAGTTTAGGTCGATTGAGACACTACGAAGTTTGCCGGGTCAGCTAGTAGTAAATAAATCCGACATCAAGGCATGACAGATGAATCGTTTTCAACCCAGTTCTCACTAGTCAATAATATTGATGATTCCAGCTAAAATACAGTTGAGGTTAAGATACACATTAGGAGTTATGAGATCTTTGTTATCATCTGTAACTTTTTGTAAATAAAACAGAAGCTAATGAAGATGAGAAAGGATGGGATGCTCCGCGTCTCACCAGGATCCTGACTCACGATTTCCCGCAATATTTTGCTGTTATATCGCGCATACGTCAAGAAGTACACGCTATTGGACCTGAAGGTAAACTTAATATAATAATTTCCAAAATGCTAGACGATGTTGTAGTCTGTACATGTTTCGGGAACTACACGGTCTTAATATATAGGGTGTAACGAGTTTGTGTATAATAACACATTACAGTTTTATGAAGGATGGACCGGAGGCTTTTTCAGTTTTACCAGAACAGGTGGGCGAGCAAAGGCTTAGTCAGGAGGGGAGAAGATGCGATGCTAACAGTTGCCCGAGCACCTCCAAAGAAGACCTAACGGGCAAATGTTTCACAAATAAACATAAATAATAGCATAATACTGGACAAGAGTACTTCTTAAAGTATGTCCTACATAACCACTTAATTGCGGTATCCTAATTCTGCGTTGTTATGCAATACCAAGCTATTACAGTTTCTGAACGAAAAGAGAATAGTGAATTATATTCAGTCAATGAACAATGTTTAGCTCTTGGGTTTTCTTTTAAGTTGGTAGAATTTTATGTGTACCTTTAATTGGAATACATTTCACGATTGAATTTGTTGAGGGGATTGTTAGCACTGGAGAATTCTTTATTATAATACAAGATTTATAATTTTTTCAGGTGGAATGGTTTCAAGTTCAGTCGTTCCACAAGTCCAAGCGGTCTTCCCTCAGGGAGCTCTGACGAAGAAGATCAAAGTTGGCCTCCAGGTAAATCTGTTCAAGCCACGGACCGGCGTTAAAGATAAAAATCTTAAAAAGATAACCGTCAACAATGTATCAAAGAAGAAAAGATTTTCATTGATTTGGTNAAGATTTATAATTTTTTCAGGTGGAATGGTTTCAAGTTCAGTCGTTCCACAAGTCCAAGCGGTCTTCCCTCAGGGAGCTCTGACGAAGAAGATCAAAGTTGGCCTCCAGGTAAATCTGTTCAAGCCACGGACCGGCGTTAAAGATAAAAATCTTAAAAAGATAACCGTCAACAATGTATCAAAGAAGAAAAGATTTTCATTGATTTGGTAATTTTAAGCCAACACGATTCTGTGAATCGTACTCGTAAACTATTTACTATATCGGTGGTTTGAGAACGATTCAGTATTAGACGCTAGCGACATAGTCGGCTTAACATAATCTAATGAAGTATTGTAACGAGTTCTTTGATTCTCTGACATTAACTATTTATTAATAAATAATAGAATTTTACTAGTGTATGTCACTTTTAAAGTATTGGTAGTTACCATTAGTGATAAATTTTCGAAATTTAAAATGTAATCTTTCAGTTTGGCAGTCGCAATTAATTTTTAGCTTGTTAATGAAGTCGTTGCTGTAATAGTTATAGCTGAATAAGCCAATTCATGAAAATGAAAGTACAAAATAGGAATGCCAAAGTTGATGACGTCCGATAATTTTAAAGTCGTCACATAAACCAATTGAAAGAAATTATTTTTATAACCAAATATAGCATAAAATAAGTCGAATAGAATGTTTTGTACCGAATTTTACCAAGTTTTACTGTGTTTTCATTCATAAAACTAATTTTACACTGTTTTAATAATCTTTATATCTTATATAAAAAGCTATGTTTTTATTTTTATTAATTTAGTATTTATTTGTGATGTAGTCAATCCTAAATAGCACCTAGAATAACTCCTTAAGCTATTTAAACGTCATACCCAATAAATTTAGAATACACTGTCTGTAAACAAAATAAATCTTGAATAAATGAAAAGAACACTTTAATTCAATTTAAGCAAAATTGAATCATATGAAATCACTGTAGAATTTTGTTCAGTATATATATCTCACACTGCGTCACTATACAAGTTCCACAGTCACATTGTTTTCTCTTTTGGTCTTTGGGTAAGAAATCGCATGAATAGTTATATGTAACAACAATTGTAATACAATAATTATAAATGAATCAGTTATTCGAGTGTGTGATTTTAATTGTAAGCGTTGATTTATGAAATTTATTTTATTTGGAGTGATAACAAAAGTGTTGTAGTTTAAGTACAAATAAGGTGTTCGCTAAATTTATTGGGTAATGTTTTTGCTTTTCCGATCGTAACGAATGCTGAATGTACTTTATTTCCTGAAGACCAAACGTGAGATGTGCATGATATGTATATATTTTGTTTTGCATTATAATTTGAGCTTGATTGTGTGTTAGCATTTTTTGCATCTTGGCAAGCGCTTGTGTGGGATGCAGTCTGAGAGACACAAAAGTGTTTTCTTCTTGTTGCTTTTACTGTGATTTCATAACGTTCATTTTCGCTTAACTTTGCACCTACCGCTGACGTCACTTCTTGATTTTATAAATATTCAAACGAAAGGAAAATTGAAAAATTAAACAAGGTAAGTGCTAATTTTTTTTATTTTATTCACAAACACAGCATATTTTCACTTTCACGAAAGCATGACAGCTTAAATCAGCGTTTGGTCTTTATGAGTATTGAGATACAAAGTTCGAAAACTAAATATCTTTGTTACAACGATTTTCAGGCTCAAATTATAGATTCTGAATTAACTGCTAAGCTACTGGGACGTGGAGTAGCGGTTTCTCCTGTGGTTACTGTCGAGCCACGCAGGAGAAAGTTCCACAAAGCAATTACTCTGAGCATGCCAGCGCCTAGACCTCATACTCAGGGCATGACAAACCAGTATAGCACATCATCTGCGCCAACGTTAAGACTTCTTTGCTCCATTTCAGGTATGACTGAGAGATGTTTGCTAATTAATGTTGACCTGATTGTTGCTAACTTTTCCGATATCGACTTCCTCATAGAGTTCTGTCAAATTAATATATTGTTCATATACTTTATTAGCTCTTTTTTTTTTTTGGAGTTTTTGCAATTATTAATCAAGAATCTTGAGAATAGGGTGAAATTCGGAAGCATTGGTAACAATCACGGCTTTCGAGCGTGTTGCAATGGAGTATGCCTTTTCGCTACATTGACGACATACTGCTTTGCGGCGCAAAGGTAAGTTAGCCTTGAGAGTGCTTACAAACTCGATTACTTGCTTGATTATTAAAGAAGTAATGTTTGACTAACGAATATTCCATTACAACACCATGGCAACCGTTTATGGTAGTAATTAAATTATTTTAGAGAAATACTACTTTATGAAATACGAGGCATATGATAGTTAACCAAATACCTAAGAATAGTATTTAGTATAATTATAACATTATAGATTTTGGTAACTTTTAGAAAGCCAATAGTTCAATGAATTTAATTTTACTATATTAGATTCCTTTATTTTGAAGATAATGGTTAGAGTAGTGTAATAAATTTAAACCTACATAGATTTTTTCTCCCAAATCTACTAGACCACGGGATGAGCATGAGCATAATCGAAAACGATTACTAGAAAAGTTGTATTTATTCATTTTTAACAATAATACATTTACACATTTCAATAAATACGTCAAAAGCATACGTTAAAAAAATCGCTTATAGCAAATACACAGAGCAGCTAAAAGGGACGCGTCCCTGTGTGTGTGTTTTGTGCGTGTCTACATTGTCTTTGTTCTCGTGTGTTTGTGTGTGTTGCACGCTCACCGTGTGTGGCGCTATATAATGTGCTGCCATCTATCGGCGCGCACCAACAGGGGTATTTCGCAAACGATCTCTCGAAGGTAAAAATTAGTACTACTATGCAATTTAAAATAAAGAAAAGAAACAAAATATCGGTTTAATTTCCACATTGATTTGTTTGAAATTTAATTTTGTCCGATTTGATCCTTGATTATTTCATTGTTCATTTGATTACGATAGTTATACTAAGAGTGCTTTTTGTTTGCGCGTGGGAGTATAACTATCTCATATATTTTTATTTATTACCCTCTTACACTTTTTGGATGCTTTCCCATATCTTGCTTTCATACGGTCTTCTTTGCACGGGCTGAATTTTGAGCTTTGTTAAAACACTTCACCTTGTACCAGAATAATACAAATAAACGATAGATTTGAACAGCAAAGATATGCACTGCGGGCAACTTCACTGTTAATGAAAAAATATTTTTGCATAAATTTTGATTGAATTCAGCAAACCTATGCAACATTTTAAGCACTTCGATCACACGAATTGTTGTACGTCTGTTAGTTTAGGCTAGGTAAAAATTGATTGAGAGGTGGTTAAATATAAGAAAAAGTCATATGTATATTTTTTTGTTTCATATCATTTATCAGCATCTGTGAAAATAATTCCAAATTCATTTGCTTTGTACGCGGTTCAATGTTCTTTTCCAAAACGGCCTATTAGTTTTTTCACGTCATCTTTTTTGTTTCAACTATATCTCAGTTTCATTGTTTCATTCAAACACTACTTTTTCCGTTTGTTTTAATTTTTAATTTCGTTAATTTCAGTGAATGTCCTTCGAGAGATCTGTTTTCAATAACGATATGACTATTTACTATATCAAAATAGATGCTAATCGTTTGCAATGTTTAGTGGTTTTCATTTTTGATATATTAAGCACTATTTGTACGAATGAGGTGATCGTTAACATTGTCACGTTAAATCACTTTTTTGAAACGATTCAGTAAAGTAAGTTAATTGATTTTGCGTAAAATGATGTATTTGCTTAATGTGTGTTTGCTATAAATAGGCCGTTTTGGAATTAATTTGTTTTATTTTATTTTTAATTATCGACCTATCTTCTGATTTCCGCCACACGAGTTTTATAAAAAAAAAACTGACGATAATTTTTTTGAGTGAGTCCTACATTAAGCGCGTTACGTTTACCTCACAAGGTTTAATGACAAAATTAGTTGTAGATAATTTAAATACTTGGGTACAGCTTACTTTGATTATATTGATTAATAACTTGGAACGGATACTAGAAAGATGCTGCTTTAGCGATTGGCATGCGATGTAAATAGCGTTATAACCAACAATAGCGGCAGAAAATAGCGTTTAAGCCGCTGTACTGCCTTTAGCTTCTTTAAGTATTGTATTCTTATTAATTAATTATAACTTAAAAAAACATTCTCGTAGTATAATCCTTGGAATTTCTATAACAGGAGGAACAAACAGGGCTCACTGGGAAGACGTTACTGAAAATACACCTTTGACGTTTGTGAACGATTGTGTTTCCTTTACTACGACGGTATCGGCTAGATACTGGCTGATCGATTGTAGACACATCGAAGATGCTACGAAAATGGCTACAGAATTATATAGGTATGCTTTATGAACGCAATAGCGTGAAAATATGTCCATGATTAGATTTTTTCTTATTATTATCGATCATAAACAAGTTTAAGTGCTCAAAAAATCTTCAACAGAGTGTGTGTTTTTGGCTTATGCAAATTGGCAAAGATAGTATGTATACATCCCTTGCCTGATTGAGCGATGGTTTATGAACGCGAGAACTGGATGAGAGGAACTAAAGATCGGACTCAATTGTGATTAGCTAGAAGCTATGTCCAGAATTTGACAATTTTGGGCTATTGAATGTGACTCTATTGAGTGTGATGACTATGACGATTTTGGGTCATGTTTAGAATTTGAAGCATCTTAAAGCGCTCATATGAATTCAAGCCCAATAAATACAATGGTCAGCTACGTTGATACAAATTGAAAACAATATATTATGATTTCAAGATCCTTAAATCTATGAAATTCACCAGATCAGAATCTAGTTTGACATTAGTATTGTTTCATTGATAATCGTTTGATTACACCTTTACTACACTTTAGTACGACCATCATGATCCTTGATTCTTAATGATTTTATTTCAGAGAGGCAATTCATGTACCATTTATGTCGCGTTTTGTTGTTTACGCGAAGAGATCTGACGAAAACCAAGCGCAGCTCAGGATGTTCTGTGTCACTGATGATAAAGAAGATAAAGCTTTAGAACGCATCGAACGATTTATTCAAGTTGCTAAAAGTCGCGATGTTGAGGTAATTAAAAATTGTGCCAGTGAAGAAACAATTAGAAATAAATTATTATGAAAATATGTAGTTCACATTTACTACAAAATATTTAAAGTGATCTATATAGTCAGACTTAATGTAAATTATTCGATTTTCTCAGGTCCACGAAGGAAAACCAGTCTATCTGGAATTCGGTGGAAACCTCGTTCCGGTAGCTAAATCAGGAGAACAGTTGACAATACCATTCCGGGCCTTCCGAGAAAATCGCATGGCGTTCCCGGTTATGATCAAGACCCAGGATCTAGAACCGATTTGCAGATGTCAGTTCATGAGAGATCCGAAGGTGCCTAAAGGCGAACCTTCCCCCGCTCCTGTAAGTGAATCCATTACAATGTATTGAACTTAATAGTTCCCACAAACTAGTTCTATAATAAAGAAATAACATCATACAATAAAAATAGAACTAGCGAAGATTATAAGTTTGCGTAATTAGCTTTTTTTGTTCTACCTATTTATTGGTAGTCTACGGGGATATTGCAATTTCGTGCGGACGGGTAGGAGGTGAACTTATGGGGCTCGATTTGAGAGAATTCACCCTCCCTAGCCCACTAGTAAGAGCAGTGCTTCGCTGAATCTACCATCGGATCAGAATCGCGACCCAATGAGAATATCTAGAAATCTAATTTCGAGAAACTCACTGGGCGCAATTACTGGTGATAGTACAAGGTACAGTACATGTATTGCAAGCCAGTACGGAGTAGCACCATCGTGCTTATCTGTACCGGGAAGCATTCATGTGTTCCGATTTGAAGGTTGCAGTAGCTGCTTACAATGTAGTTGAGATTTCGAACTGAAGTCTCAAGATTGATGGTGGCATTCACATCAAGACTCTGGTGACCATTACATTAAGAGAAGAGAGGAGTACGTCGTTTATATATATATACAAAAAACAAAACGACCTATCACCACTTTAAGCAACAAAACTATAAATTGAGAAATCATAACTGATAAGTAGTACTATTTTTAGATTGCCGTTCTCAACATAATGGTACCTGACGAGCCGACTGATAGGACATCGCCACTACCATCAGAAGCGGTTCCGAGACGCACTGAGGAACAAGAATTGATTTGGAGGCAGCGACTCAGCGATCCTAGGTTAGATAAAAATATGGAAATGTTTGGTTCTAGTGTGTATATATTTACATATGAAGCCAAACATCATAATGTAAATATCGCCAGCCATCCTGGAGTATTAGATTAAATTCCAATTAAATAGTGGCTGTTTCAAACCGAACGCATAACTGATTCGCCGCAGAAATGTGCGTTAATTGCACAGCAAGGATATTAACAGGAAGGTTTCGAAAAGTTCTGAGTTCTTCATTTAAGAATAATCTACATTAACAGCTGCTCCGGCCAAACATAATGTAAATTTGCTTTTTTAGACTGGAAGATATCTGCAATCTACTGGGTAAAGATTGGGTGGCTTTAGCTTATGAATTGGGCGTGAGTGTTGCCACGGTTAATCAAATTCAAGCTAAAAGGATCACCGCACCGGAACAAGCTCAGCTTATGTTGAAACTTTGGAAGACACAATCTGGAACAAAGGCTCAAGGTAGACATTGTATTTATTAGAGGAATTCCACCTGGTATTAAGTACACTGTAATTTACCATTAACACCCACCATTACTATTAACTACATCGTGAGCGGCGCCACCTTAACAGATGAAACCGAAATCTCTATTTAGTGGTAACGTTTATCTAAGCTGAATAGAATGTAAGCTCTATGGAAACATTAAAATTTATCAAACACTTCTAATAAATTTGATGATTGGTAGAGCAATTAATTGTAATACAGTGAACACTTTTCCAAATTTTAGACAATTCCTTGGAACTAGCACTCTGTCGTATAGGCAGAGATGACATAATAGCTCCGCAGTCAGACACGATAAACGAAAGACGAATCCGGCGTAACATTTACCAAGAGAGGCAAGCATCTGAAGAGATCGAAGCGTATAAAGGTAAAATTGTTTCGACGTTCTTATCTCTATGCGAATATAAATCATTGTTTACAGTCTGTGTAGTTTGTGTGTAAGTCTTCTATACGTACTTAAAACATTCATCTGATTATGATGTAACTTAGCGTGATCGTTGGCACTCTATAGAACATTTATATCATAGGTATTTTCAGGAAATAATTACCTAATCGCTGTTCAAACATACAATCTCTTCATCAGTCAAACAGTAGACAGTTGTATCACGGGGTTCCGATTTGATTCCAAATCGTATTCAATATTTTCATTAAATATATTTTTGATATCTTATCAGCAGTCTACTCGTTCTTGTTCCTATTTCATATGCAGGTTTTTCTTTTTTATGGCTTAGATGAGTGGACGGTTTGAATCGATTTCTTTTACAGCAGAAGAAGATAATAAGCTCAAAGAAAAACTGTACAATGAAGAAGATATACTACCAGAGCATAGAGAATCAGAACATGATCAAGACGAAGCCAAATATTCACCGGAAGAAAAATCTATTGTTGAAAAGAGCGAAATAGATAGAACGCCTACACCAAGTGAGGAGAGCGAGGAAGATGAAGGTATTTTTTGAATTAAAATACAAAATTAAATTATACAAATCGAGAGATTTCTATGTCTAGCTGTAGGTTGATGTGAGTTGCAGTTTAAAAATAGATAAATAATAAAAAATGAAGAACAGTGTAAAGATTTGAATTAAAAATAATACTTTTCAAGTCTTACTCTCGTATAACAAAATCAAAGCATTGTAAGTAAGAATAGTCGCCATTAGGTAATTTTTTCGTTCATTTTAGACATCAAACGGAGCGTTGCTGAAAGAAAGGAACAAATAACTAGAAAGTTAAGTTCTAGTAAAGTGCCTGCTTCAAAACAAAAGAAAGAAATTCGTGAAGAAATAATTGAAATTAAGACCCAAATCAAACCGGATATCAAGAAATTCCACGACATTGAGCAACAGGTACTGTAGTTTTTTTTTAATTTAGAGCAACAAATGTGATTATAAACATTTTTGGCTAGATTGCAATGACCAAAATATAGTAAAAAATATATACAACAGTAAAAAATATACAAGTAAACTAAAGTTAGTAGGTTGAATGATTTTACTTGACAACTGTGAAAATGATTTAGTCGTGACATTAGCCATAATAGTGCAATGAATCAATCTAATTCTATTGTTATATTTTTAGTCTTTAGATAAGGAACCCACATTAGAAAAGTCAAGATCAAAAACTTCTCCAGATAAAGTTGAAGAGGGGATAGAAGAACAGGAAGTCATTACAGAAACTATTGTTGAAGCTATCGTTGAAGAAAGAAAGGAAGAGGTAAAACCAGTAGAAAAACCTATAGAACAATTTAGGAAGTTCGATCCATCATCGCCAGCTAAGCCTACCCCTAAACATCTGCAGAGACACATGCGAAATGAATCAATGCGGTTTCCATCAGGGGACTTTTCCAATGTTGTAATAACCCCGAGAAAATCAATAACAAATGAAGCAGTAGAAAAACAAGCGATTGAAACTAAACCTCATACGGTTACAAAAGAAGTGATTTCACAGAAAGAAATTTTCACATCTAAAGTCGAAGAAAAGATGGAAGAAATTGAAAAAACGGCCAAAATGGTTAAAGAAGAGAAAGATATTGCTGAAGCTACTTTGAAAGATAAAATTAATTCATTCGAATTGAAAATGGTAAAAGAAATCAATGTTGATGTTTCAAAACCAACGATAAAACTAACTAAAGAAGCCCTAAAAAAACATACTTTGGAACAAGGACAAGGCAATGGGTATACTCAAGAGTTCGTTAGAGAGCAATCTAAGCAATTATCGAGCATGGAATCTCACGTTACACATAAAGTGACCGTCGAAACTGAGACACATATTGAGACAGTAAAATCCGTCAAAGAGACGATACAGCAATTCGATTCGAAAACAAAACTATGTGAGAAACCAAAGCATTTCCCTAAGACTATACGAACAGACTCAACCCTCGTTCAAGTATCTTCCGAGGAAGATAGCGAATTCCTTAAAAAATCGACAGATTCTGAAACAGAAACGGAATCGCAGACTACAACAGTCAAAGTGGACAAATTAGACAACAAAACTAAAGTCAAGCCCTACAGGGAATATATTGGCGCTGAAATAGATCACGAAGACAGTCCTAAAGTTAGTGACAAAGATAAAAAAGGAGATGAAGACGATAAGGATTACAAAGGTGTTGCTGTAATGAAAGATGTCTTCCTAGAAAAAATAACTACTGAAGAACCAGTACAAGTTACCGAAGAATATAAAAAGCAATCGTTGGAGGAAAGAGATGTCTCTTTAACTGATAAATCAAAGGAAAAGGTTTGTTATTTACGCAGTTTTTTTTTATATTATATTATATGTGTACTGCCCAACTTAAGGATATTATTCTTCATTAAAGGTTGAGACGCAGACTTCTACAGCAAGTACTAAATCAGACCTTAGCAGACATACGAAGACAGATTCTGTAGGTTCAGATATGCAAGATTTAATAGCACAAAAAGTATCAACAGAATCACCAATCCAATCTGTCGTTGACAAAGCTGATTCTTTAGCGGATCTCCAGCACAGCACCGAGAAAGACTTCAGCTTTATTTCCCAAACTGAGTCCAAGGTTTGTTTTATACTTTTATTGTTTTGTGTTTACATTTATATTTGCATATACGAAATATAACAAAAAAATATATTAAAAAAAAATATATTTCTGATAGGTATACTCAAAAGATTCTAAGCATAGAAGTGATTCATTGGATGAAGCTTCTCAGTTTTCTGATCTAGAAGATCAAATTGGCTCAAGTCCAGCGCACAGACCAGCTACCGAGAAAATAGAAGCAGGCTCAATTAAAACCGATGTGAAATCCGTTTCGAAATTGACTGAAAAGTTTGACACGTCCCCGAAAAGTCAGACCATGGAATTTTTGAAATTCGAGAGTGAGCATAGTGCCCAAGTACAGGTAACGGAATCAGATAAGGTAATTAAAGCTATCCATTGCTGTCACCTTTTTGCTTTGTTATCATATTACATTTATCGTTTTTAACTTTTTTAGACTAAAGAGACACCAGTTATAAGTGCTAAAGCAAGACAGTTTATTGAAACTGTACCTGAGGATGATTCAGTGCAGGAATGTTTCTTTTCAAAGCGTATATATTCAGATTCGCTTGAAGATTCCGAGCATACTGATTCAAGAAGACATTCAGAAACAGAATCACTAAAATCTGACCAATCCGATACAAAAGTTAAAGTTTCATCATCTGAATTTGATGAAAGGGCTGAATTCGAAGAGGCGGCTGATTCTGGAAGTGGATTCGGTGACGAAAAATTTGAGGAAAGTGTTGGATTTACTTCATTTAAAATTGACCCTAAAGTACTTGAAATTGAGAGGCAAGATTCGGAATCTGATAAAGAGTCAGACGTCGTTTTTAAGAAAATGATACCTAAGCGACATTCTAGAACTGAATCTATATCAATAACTAAGCTAAGTGATATTGGTGACATTGAAATCAAACCAAAACAAGAATTCCAAATTATTGTAACCGAAGCAGAAGAAATAGATAAATCTTTTGAAAAAGATGAAACTTCAGATAAAATATCATCCGAAAGCAGTAGAGAAATAGAAATTTCAGAACGTAAATCATCAGATGGAATTTCAGACAAGATTAGTTCGGAAGATGCGGTTACCAAGAAAACATCTTCGGAGGAAGACGTAGTCTATGAAGCAGAGCGATTGCAACAGCAAAAAACAGAAGTTGTTGCAACAACTGTAATTGAAAAGAAAATGGTTTCGGATGATGCAAAAGAGGATGGTAATTTAAAATAAAAAGCAACATCTCACACTAAAAATTTCATGGTGTACAGGTAGTAAAATTATAAATTAATGTTTCAAATTTCAGTTGATTCAAAACGCCAATCAGTGACGTCAACAGAATCAGTGGGTGAACTACGTCTAGAGGAAAAGCGACCGTCAGATGCTCACAGTCTTACTGAATCTAGAGATTACACTTTTGAAGAGTCGGAGGACGATATTGCAACCCAAGGCACACATGTGGATCATTCCAAGGATATTGGGCTACATAAAATTGAAACTGAAGAAATTATACAGATTGCTGGTAAGTCATAATGTTAAAATTGAATTCAATAGCACGAGGCATTCTTCATCTTATTATTCAGAAAATAATTAATGTGGCATAACTTTTTAAGAAAAATCTGTAGAACACCCGAAACTCGCCAAACTGACTCACGGGGATTCACTTGATGACGTTGAAGGATTTCCAGAGGATCATACTGCAGATTATGTGCATAAATTACCACATATTGCAGAGATTGGGTGAGCAGTAAAATAATATTTGTTTAATTTATTGATTTAGTTTCTGCTATTGAATACGATTTCATAGTATTCTGTGAAAACTGTTGTGAAAGTTAATTTTATTAAATTAAATTAAAAATATTAATTTGTGCTTTTGCTGCTCTTTCGTATTATTTAATACATTTCTTCCTTAGGGAAACAAATATGTTTCTAACCAATTCTACAAAGTGCATTTGTTCTTTCAGATCTGTTTCTGATAAAGATATGACTATTGAATTTCTGAATAGAGAGAACCAAGAACAACTAAAACGCGTGTCTGTTCAAGAACTAGTCCCTGAAGTGATTGTTCCTTTAACTCAAGATGAAATAATTAAGGAAACAGTAACACATAAAGAAACCCCGACCGTCTTTACTTCGACCAAAACTGAAACACATTATTCTAGCACAACTAGAACAGAGCCTTTAGTCACATCTGAAGTGATGAGCCAAACTAAATCATCTATAAAAGAATCTACCACAACTAAATCATTCAGAACAGAAGGGAAATTCGACGTTTCAAAGATAAGGACCGATACTTTGGGAAAATTTGATATTGGTGAACAATTGGAGGAAATGAAGGAAACCAAAAAACATATGCCGAGAGATTTACAAGAATTACCTGAAATAACGAAAGAGCAAGTCAAACCAGTTATCGATGATATTTTGCAAAAAGGTACAATTGCTGCTGTTGCACGAAGCCCGATTGTAGATAAAGACATTAAAACCATTACCAAAGAAATAGTAGAATCAGAAAAGAGATCTTACGACACGAAAGTGCCTCAGAAAGAAGAACGAAGACATTCGTGTATCAGTCCAGCTATTTCCTTAGAAAGGATTGCTGAGTCTGATGTTGAAACAGATGAAGAAGTCAGTAAATCTATTCCCATTGTTGCGCATGAGAAAACAACTGAAACTAAAACGGATATGAAAAAATCTGATTCGGCCATGAAACAAATGGCAGATAATATAGAAATTATCATTAAGCAGGCTTCGGAGGAAGTCGATATGTCATCAGAAGAACTCCCTGTTGAAGTTGCAGAGGCTCAGGACATTGCTGGTCAAGTTTCTGTGGATTCAATAATTGAGGAGGCCGTAACCACCGTCGAAGGTTATTTAGAATCAGCTAAAGACAAGGAAAAAGAAATTGAAGCTAAGAAAGAAATTGTTTACGCTGAGACAAAGAAATTTGCTAAAGATAGACCGGGCCTCATTAAATCGCTTTCCAGGGATAGTGGTGAAATTGTCATAATGCCCAAAAAGAAACAAACGAGAACATTTTCAGTACAGAGTTCTCCGGAAGAAGTCGAAGAACAAATATATACAGATTCGGAATCAGGTAAAATATTATTTTTAACGAAAAAAAAAAAAAAAAAAAATGCAAGTTATGTACTCGTCGTTAAGTCAATTTGGTCAATTTAATCAATTCTACGCTGTTAAGGCTCCAGAGAAAGTATGCTAGAACTTTGCTAATAGAATTTTCTTTGGACTTTGTATACAAGTGACTAAAGAAAGATTTCTTATATTTAATGGAAATGATTATAGCTTGAATAGTTTTGAATAGTTTGTTATTTTGACTCCGCTCTAAGAAATCAAAATTTAACACGTAATTTAATTATTGGCTTACAGACATGGACAAAGCTAAAGTTTTAGAAATAATTGAACCAATGTCTGACCTGGACGGAAAACTACCAACGTCAAGTTTCGATTCCAGGAAAATAAGAACAGATTCGCTGGATGATGCTGATGATTTCCCGGAGAAAGAGGTAAACCATAAAACATATGTTTTAACAAACATCAATACATTTAAAGATATTCACTGGTACTAGGACCTCGTGGGAGTCCGCACGGGTAGGTACCACCACCCCGTCTATTTCCGCCGTGAAGGAGTAATGCGTTTCGGTTCGAAGGGTGGGGTAGCCGTCGTAACTATACTAAGAACTTAGAACTTATATCTCGAGGTGGGTGACGCATTTACGTTGTAGATGTCTATGGGCTCCAGTAACCACGTAACACCAGGCGGGCTGTGAGATCGTCCATCCATGTAAGCAATAAAAAAAAAAAAAAACAGTCTGACCATAAATCTTTGTAAGTAAACATGACACCTTTTTATTTTCATAGGCTGACGTTTTTGGTGAAGATGATCAATATCCTGACGACGGCATACACTCAATTATAAAGAGACCTGATACAGCTAAGTATGAGCCAAGCACAAGCTCTACAACTAAAACATCCGAGGAAGAAAAATCAACTGATAAAGTGATGAAAAAGACCCACTTCGTCGATAGTCTTCTTCAGTCTGATTTAGTATCAAAATCCACAACAGAATCATCTGTAACAACGGTTATATCCACATTGACAAAATCGTCTGACGAGGAGCAAAAGTCTGTTTTGGAAGACTGTACGTCAGCTGATTTGTCTAAAATCAGTGGTGCAGATCTGGTCAAGGATCCGTCAAAAACTTCTTTCGACACAAAAGAAGATTCAAGAATCGATGAACATACAGAAGACAGGGCGACCCCAGATTTATCTAAAAAGTCTCTTGACCTAACTAAAGATTACTCTAAATCCTCAATTGACAGCAAAGATACGTCTAGAGATTTCGCCACCAACGAGCTATCGAAAGATTCAACGGTAGACCTAACAAAAGATTACTCAAAAGTATCAGTGGAAAGTGTCAAAGAATCATCGAAATCATTAGATGAAAAAACAATTTCTGAAGATCATTCTTCCTTAGATGTATCGAAAACGTTAGCTTCTGACGTTTCAGAATGTATTACAATAAGCAAAGAATTTATTGAAGAAGAGAGATCGGTATCTCGTGTTTTTAGAATATCAACAAGTTCCTCACAAGAGACATCAATAATGACAGAAAGCAAGATGTTCAGTGAATTTGATGATAAATCAATTAGTAAAGCAAAATCGGAAGTGATTGAAGTGGAAAAAGATTTATCAGAATCTATTCAGGACCAAGAACAGGAAGCGAAACGAGCACCTGATACCAGTGATGTGGCTCAAGCTAGAGCTGTCCAAGACCTACAACTAATAGAAGATATTTCTGATAAATCGACACGTGAAATAAAAGAACTCTCAAGAACAAAGCCTGCATTAACAGAAACAAGTGGTGAAAATTTTTCAGAAGAAGTAATTAAGCCATCTTTTGAAAAAGTTAAGGCTGAAGAAATTATTTCATCCCCAGAGACGAGTCATATTATTGAAAAATCGACTAAATTAGTCACTGAGCCGTTATCAACAGTGAGTGCAGGAACTTTAACAGACGTACGGGATGAACAAGAAAAATTAAAAGATTTTATTAAGGAAGATAATGTTGAAGATTCAAAAAAACAGATCGAAGGCGAACGTACAGTATCAGCAATTGCTGATCACGTAGATGGGGAAAAAATTGCCATACAAGCGAAAATTGTTGAGGAGGAGGGAAAGAGTTCAATAGGTGATATAAAAGAAGAAAGATTAGAGTCAGTAACATCAACTGCGGAAAAAGAAGAATCAGACGAAGTACCAGACATGAAAGAATTGAACAGAAGATGTTCTAACCTTCTCGAAGATATCTCTCAAGGGGCTTTGATTCGAATTGATACTAGCCACGTGACACACGGTATGTAATGTTTTTTCTATATCCAAATAAGATTAACAGTAATTTAAATTCAGAAACTAATATTCGATCACATAAAAAACTTCAACGATCTATTTAATTAATTTTAACTTAGTTTTTTATAGATTAATAGCCAAATATATTTTCCCTTTATTTCAAAAGATCTTGCATCAAAATTCTCCAAAACTCCGCCTCCCTCACCGGTGGACCTGATCCTCAAAGATAAAACCAAGTCTGAGGAATTTACTGGTGAAAAGCATGTAGGATTACAGTTGAGAGGTATGTATTTTATAATCAATCAGCATATGCTTGATAAAATTAAGTTTTTTATTTCAATATTCTCTTAACTCTAGTCAAAAATAAACGTAATTTCTGTAAAATTTATTATAGATGAGGTTGTCCGAAAGAAATTCAACAATAAAATAGAGACGAAATTAATTTAAGCAAATTTATTTCTATTAATAATTGTAATCCATAAATCATTAAATATACTTTTCTTTTTCGGATCGTCTCTAAAACAAGTATTTGTTACATTACATTTTTATAAATGGAGTATCATAAATTTATAGATATTTATATTCAAATTTCGAACTAACTATGATTGTGATAAGAAAAGAATCCTTCTTATTTAATAAAAAAAAACCTTTGGGTATTTTTAGGTTCAGATTCATCATTCCTTGACACCAGTCGACAATCTCCGAGGGCTTCATCAGCTGGAGACAGCCTGCTTAGCGAAACTGAAGCTCATCAGAGCGGTCAGTAAACAAAAAGACATAACCATCTAAAATAAACTATTACCTAATTAAATAATCGGACAGGAAACAAAAAAAAATTAAACCATAAATTCAATTATTGCAAGCTTTTGCAGTAAAGTAGTGGCAAAAAGTAGAGTCGTAGCGAAACTTTACTCTTTTTAAGTAGAGACGGCCATAACAAGCCTTGTTTGCCACACACATCATTAATGCCGATATGCGCATGTGTATTTTATGAATCAGTTTACACAAAATGATCATCGAAAGCTTTAATTTGTGATCATTTTGAAATGACCTATTAAAGTTTTTCTAGTCGATGCACTTAAAAGCTCTCACAAACTGCAAAGTCTCTATAAAAGTCCCGATTCGTAACTCAGAAAGCGTTCGCAAAAGTCGATTGCCAATATTTTGCACAGTAAATTTTACTTTCTTTCTTGCGGAGCCTTTACGTTGCTTTAGGTAAGTGGACCCTCAAGCGAAATCGTAATCTTATCGATTTTCATTCGTGAAGCTTTTTAATTCTCTAAAAATATCGTTTTATCTCTTAAATAGTGCGCAATTTTATTTTTACCTGTTTCATCCACATTCGAGTAACGTTTCGCTTTGATTCTGAACTTTTTTTGATCATTCTGCCATAGCACTAGCTTTCATTGTTTTCACCCAATTCTTGACACACAACATGCTGCTGAGCTTTGACGACCATTTAATTTTGGTCTGACTGCAACATATATGCCTGGCAATAGTCATGCTTAAGGTGGTTATAGAAATAAAATGATCGAAGATCAAACACGATTACTTATTGAAACTCAAGTGCACGCATTTTATAAAGTCCATTTAAAGATTCTTATTCGATATCTTGTATTTATTTTCAGAAGTATCAAAGACGCCCTTCAAACCAATCGCCGCTGGGTCTAGACCAAAATCCCCTGTTAAGCACATCGCCGAAAACATGGAGTTTGTCAATGTTGATCAACCTACTATCACTAGTGGGGCCATTGAACTCGTTGATCGTACGATTGAAAAGAGCATGGACGTAATTGACCAAATTAAGAAAGAACAACTTGCCGTGAAATTGGAAGAAATTCAAAAGTCCACATCAACCGATACGTTTTATTCTGAATCAAGGGTCGAAACATCAACGTCCTCTTCATCAGTCCATAAAACAATCGAAGGTGGAGAGCTTAAATTCCAATCCATCGACCCACAAGCTTTGATGTCAGATATGGCAGCTAAATTTAGTGTCACTGACGATACGCCTACAATTTTGACGCATAAAGAAACCGAGACTCGAAAAATATCAGGACAAGAGTTTTTCACTGAAACAAAACAAATATCTTCATCGGATGATGACTCATTGATTATTAAAACTGAAACTACTCATGAATTACACGGTCAAGAACATGAAACCAAAGAAAAAACGATTATTCGAAAAGACGGTGATCAAACTCAGACATCTCAGAAAAAGTTAGAAAAAGCTCATGAAGCCACGGCAAAACGATCTGACATTGAAACTAAGACAGTCTTCAAAAGTACTGATGATACTGATATTATTAAAGTTGAAAGAGAATTTTCTGAACAGGGCTTGTACCATGGTAGACAAACAAAATCTGAAGAGAAAATGACCGCTTTGAAAGATGATACGGTTAAAAAAAAACACGAAGTAAAGATATCTGAGAGAGATTTGTCTCATGAACAATGGGGCAAAGAATACTTCACAGAGCCTGGAGAGCTGGAAGATATAGTAGAGGACGATGATAAGTCGAAAGTAGCATTCGTTGACTCAACTCTGAAAATTATTGAGTCTGATGAAGTAGTCTCAAGCGTCGAGGTATCAGAAAAGGGTAAAATTGTGAGTTCAACATTAGAACACCATAGAGAAGAATCTATAATTGAAAGCAAGGAGCACGATGATCTGAGTTCTGATACTTCTCACGCTCCAAGTTTCAAGAGTGAACCAGCTGACAAACATGATTCTTCTGAAGCTAGTCCAAGAAGTAAATCCAAGTCGTTTAAGAAAGATAATGAAGTTTATGAAGTAGATTTTATCAAAGAAATTAAAGTTTCCACTTCACCAGTTAAGAGTACGTTTAGTCGAACAGGAAGTCAAGATACACATTCTGAGTCTGAAATAGCACCCGATTTGCCACATGATGACAAGACTGGTGACACACCAAAAAAAGAACGACCATCAAAATCACCAATAAAATTACCACAAGAGCAGATTGAAAATCAGGTTTGGGAAGTTACAATACAGAAAGCAGATTCCTTTGAAATTGGTGACGACACACCAAAAACGCCTTTGTTCAAAACAGTTGAATCTATTAGTACTATAAATCTGGAGAGCACTACTACGGATATCAGAACTAACATTGAAACAAACACTGCAGATATAAAACTAACCAAAACTGACATGTCGCCCATCGCTTTTGAGGTATCCGAAGACATTAGCGGTATATCCAAAGACATTATGGTGAAATCAGGCGAGAGTATCGATACCGAATACATGATTAAATCATTAGAATCACACGAAGGGGAAGTATTACAGAAATCTATGGATTCGACTATGAGCGCCGAAACATTACAACCATCAGAATTTTCCACTGATTCTGCCTACCTAACCGGCACTGATCATAAAAGAGAAGAAATTAAGTTATTGAAAGAAAAGAGTCTAGAAGATATTTGCAGTAGCGGTTACGATACTGATCTCTCCTCTGCCGAGTTTCATGCAAAACTTGAGACAGAAAGAGTTGATTATGATTCTTTAATGTCTGCTCAACCACTAGCCGACTTGTCAGTTTTGGAAAAAACGATCGACGAAGTCAAGCAGTCTCTTGAAGCAGCACAAGTAGAAATCATCAGTGAAAAGAACGATGGAAGTATAAAATATAAACAGTCGCCTTCTGAATTTCAATTCAAATTATTAATTAGTCCGGACAGACCCGAAGTTATAACAGAAGAACCACATCACACAGAAGGTCACGCCGATAAAACACCAGTTATTGAAAAAACTGAAACTTTGTTAGATAGTCAGATATCAGACAGTGTTACCCAGAAAATAAGTTCCCAAGAGGAAACCACATCCGATGAAGATAAAGACACAGTCTACATTAAGGAACCAAGCCCCCCATTAGACGCTGGTGATATTTCTATTAGATCAACGGATAGTGGTCCACACTCGATTTTAGAGACTGAAAGTGAGATTGTTACGTCAGATCGTGACGGCTCTTCAAAAGGAAGTCCTGAAGTCAAACTAAGAGTCCAAAAGCATATCAAGTCTAAACTTGGTATTGTAGAAAGACGATCTGCATCGGATATTGAAGGTTGGTCTAGCTCAGGAGAAAGTCATTACCATAGCTTTGAGCATTCTGAAGGAAGACCACTGTCTTCAGATGTTGACATTATGATGACTGCTCAAAGTGGAACCGAATTCGATACAGCGATGACAAGTCAAGATGTTTCATCACAATCCTTACGAACTTCGAGAGACTACTATACAGCAGGAAGCTCTTTAGCTTCTAGGGATAGTATGAAAAGTCTAGATTCAGATGGTTCTAGCCATGTAGCCAGTATTGACATATCAGATGCTTCAGAAACATTAGTACCTTCAGCCAATGAGCTAAAAGAAGAACTTATGGAAAGTAGTACTTACGTAGAACAATTTCTGCATGAAACCGAAAAAGATCAAACATCTAAATCCAAAGACATAAGCGACGAAGATGTCTCTGGCGAAGAAGAAGACGCTAAGCCCGGTATCTTTGAACCAATAGGAAAAATGAAAAGATCACATGAGATGCGATTTCAACCAAAAGAGATGATACCTGAAAGTTTTCCCGTTGGAAGTACGTCAGAAAGCATTGAAGTAGATGAAGATTCATCGAAAGATAAAGAACTTTCGGATACCACAATATCTAGTCAGTTTAAAACAGATGAAATCCTTTCATCGTCCATTTCAAAACTTGATATGCCTTCGTCACAATCTCAATCAGAATTGGATCTAGACGAAGTGAAAGAAGTGATAACGAAAACGATATGTCAAAAGGATGAAGCGATACCTTTTAATGTTACCAAAATTGAAAAACCTCAACGAGAATTCGCTGACGTTGACAGCGATATTATTCCAATAGGGTCCTCTGAATATGAAGCAATAGTCAAATATGGTGCTGTAACATCGGATCTAAAAAGTCCTTCACATCAAGAAACGACCATCACTAAAATGAGTATTGAAATGAATGAAAGTACACCAGGAGAGCATAAAGTAGAAGTATCAGAAGTTTGTGAGAGAAAGGAAATCAAAGATGTAAGCGTAATTCCATTTCCTAAAACAGAAATACCCATACCTAGACAGAGAGAATTTGTCGATGTCGAACAAGAAATCATACCAATAGGTTCGATACAATATGAGGAAATACTCAAATCTAAAAGTGATTCGTCGGTACCAAAAACCAAAGTTGAAAAATCTGTCATAAAAACTCCTGAGTCAGAATTAGACAGCAAACAAAGTTCAATGTCCAGTTTGAAAACGCAAGAAACACCACAAACGCCCTTATCTGCTCCTAGTCAGAGTTCTATTTCAACTGATAACGGACGCGAATATATACTAGATGATATGTATGATATTTCAGAAACTCCTGAACTAAAATCCGATGTAGTTACCGAAAGCAGTAAATCTGAATTGATGATAACAACGGAAGAGAAAACTCTATATACATACGAAAAAGATCAAGAGTCGCCCACTAGTGACGAGTTTGAAATAGTAGATAAACCAAGCGAAATGGATGAATTCGTTGTAATTGAAGAAGTCGCTAAAGAGGCCCAAGAAACTGATACAGAAGGTAAAAGTGTGCAAATCGTTGCACAGAAATATGTAAAAAGACATGATACTGAAGTGGAAGAATTACTGTCGAAGACTGCTAAAAAACAAGAAAGTACTAGTAGCGCTTCTGGGTCACTATCAGATGAGGAATTATTGCAATTTGAAATAGAACAAAAAAGGTTACAAGCGCAAGAGCTAGCTGAAATAGAAGCAGGCAAGCGTTGGATACAAATGAGATTCGAAGGCGATCCACGATACGACTATGAAAGGGTACCCTTAGAAGACATTAAAGAAGAAGAAATGACTGACTTTGATGCCAGCAGGATCGGAAGTCTGAGTTCTCAAAAGGAATCAATAGGCAGTTTCGGCAGCTTCAGAAACTCTTACGGCAGTCTTTCTGAATCGGAAATGGCATCTCGTATTAGATTTAGAGTCAGAGGAGAAAACGATGATATTTCGATCAGCTCTTTGCAGGAATTCGAAAATCTAGAAAGAGCGCTGATGGAACAGTATCAACAAAATTCTTCTTCTTCACAAGATTCTTTGAACGGTTCGCTTCCCAAACGATACATATTGAGCAGAAGTCAAGGAGATGATATTTCAATTTCAAGCTTAAAAGAATTCGAAGGATTAGAATCGGCATGCTTAGAAGCTTTAAGAGCTGAAATACTGGCAAAACAAAAAGAAGCTCTATTATTAGCCGATCCCAAAGAAGTAAGTGGGAGCTTTTTAGAAAGAGAAAAACGGTCATACAGCGGAAGCTCTGAGAGTAGTCCTCCTCAAAAAAGTGGCAGTCCTAGTCAAAAATCTGGGAGTCCATCGCAAAAAGGCGGAAGCCCTTCACAAAAAATCGGGAGCTACGGCAGTCCTTCACAAAAAATGCTGACTGATTCTGCTGCAATCAGAAAACTAATTGATCAACAAATGGCTATAGAGGCAAAACTACAGGAGCAAGTCGTTCCTAAAGTGGTGACAGTCAAGAAATTTGATGACAGGGGTGCATTTTTTGTACCTGAACCAGAAACAGAGTCAACAGAATCAAAATCATCTGATATAAATGAAGAGTGCCAAAAAACATCGACATTTATATGTGCCTCTGCGCCAAGTGACGGCTCGGCGGAATCTATCCCTGGAGACTGCGAAGAAATGATGAAGCTCCTTGACCAAGAAGAAAAATCGAAGACCTCGCNGAAATTTGATGACAGGGGTGCATTTTTTGTACCTGAACCAGAAACAGAGTCAACAGAATCAAAATCATCTGATATAAATGAAGAGTGCCAAAAAACATCGACATTTATATGTGCCTCTGCGCCAAGTGACGGCTCGGCGGAATCTATCCCTGGAGACTGCGAAGAAATGATGAAGCTCCTTGACCAAGAAGAAAAATCGAAGACCTCACAGCCCGTTACTCGAACCTTTACCGACAGCGGAGTCATTGAAGTAGTCAGAACCACGACAGTGATCCAACAAAGATTCGTTGACGGAAAGAAGGTCTCCGAAACGGTCACTAGCACAGACGCAGATGTGGGAGCAAGTCCAGTTGATATACCCGCCAGAACTAGACATTACGATGAAGGAATCTTGTCGTATGGATCCGAAATGTCATCATCTATAACCTCCCAGCCGTCGGAGATGGATAGCTTGATGACCGTTATGGAAAAGCATTCCGATGGTGAAATAGTGACGGTTACAAAGCAGACAATAATAATGACGGACAAACCCGAAGATTTGGAATTTTCGCGAGAGGGTAGTTCAATTCGTGATCTGTCGCCCTGTTCGGGGAGGTCGATAGCTCATAGTGTGATCTCTTCCGGTAAACCATTTACAGATCCAGCCAGCGGCTCCTGGAGCGGACAGGACGAAGAGCTCAGTTCGTCTGGAAGCTTCAGTCGGTTAGTTTAAATCTATACATCTATTATAAATAAAATTGGAGTGTCTGTTTGTAATATTGAAATACCCTCTTTTTACCCGCATATGAATACACATATATACATATATTACGGTACATACACCAAAATAAGATTTTTTACAATTTTTGTCTGTCTGTCTGTCTGTTTGTTCCGGCTAATCTCTGGAACGGCTAGACCGATTTTGACGGAACTTTCACTGATAGGTAGCTGTTGATATAAGGAGTAACTTAGGCTACTTTTTTTAGACTAGCTTCGCCCCGCAGCTTCACCCGCGGTACGACAATAACAGCGGGTAACATAGCGGGACTCAGCTATCAATAATAAAATTTAATGTTTCCGAAGCGAGGGCGGGTCGCTAGTCTTACCTAAATTGATTTCAGCGAATCAAAATGTTAAGTTTAAATCGTAATTAGTCCTTTCTCGACATTCAGTCATTTAAAATTAACACTGTAAAATATTCGCTAACCGATTTAGAATAGTAAGTAGTACAATGACTAAATTACACAAAAAAAAAATACATTTTACTAATATTTATTGAACATATAACATATTCCTGGGAACCACTGTCACTAGTCAATGCAGGGTGGTTGAGAGAGTTCTCTTTCAGAGTTTAAACTATTTCAAAAGAAGTTTATCGACAAAGAAGGAGCAGTTTCTGTGAGATTGGGTTATACTAGTTTTTTTTTTTTCAGAGTTACCGCTCAGAATCAACAGCTTTTTTTGTGTCGAACGCAGTATAGAGATATCTATGACTTCGCATTTTCAAGTTTAATTTTTCACGTTCAAAAATTTTAATATGTTAGCGTATTCTCACTAAACTTCACGTCATTTCAGATATTTCCCGATTCACTAACGGTGCTTTTAGGTATTTCAAGCACCGGTCATCGTTCTCGTCGAACCTGTCGCTTGCGAAGGAGCCGACGAAGGGCTCGACTAGTAAATTAACCCTCAGACACAGCCCCACTGAATTTCTCGCCGGATCTTCTCAGTGGGTCGCGTTTCCGATCCGGTGGTAGATTCTGCGAAGCACGGCTCTTGCTAGGGTTCGTGTTCGCAACGTCATCAGGTTTGAGCCCCGTGAGCTCAACTACTAGTTAATGTTACGCTGAAATAGTCTCTCAAGGCTATCAGCTCAGGTAGAAAAAAAAACTTAATTTGATAGCAGCAGAACTGTTATTCGATTAAAATAAAATGAAAGTAGAAACGCGTAATTTCCCTTTAACATACTATTATGTAAGAATTTGTAGAAAGTGTAATAATAAGAATTAAGAACCGCAGCTAAGAATTCACTACACGTTAGAATATATAATGTTTTGTCCAAAAACTATTCTTTTGTTGAATTCAGTATAAGCACATTCAACTTGTAGATCCGATAAAAGATGTTTGTTTTCTTATTATTATTAATATACAATGGAAGCTTAATTTTATGTAAATGCGACTTACATACAAATACAATGGACGTAGCTCTTTAACTTGTTGCAATAAACTGCTACTGTTTAAAAAACCCTTTTTTTTGCACCACGTACTGGGCCTATAAAGTAACTTGTGGTAGTGCGATCAATAACCTCTCGCCGCTTTTCATGCTTAGATAGAATTGTCCTCTTTGGGTTACTCTTACTGCTTTTCAAAAAGTCGTCGTGGCCTAACGGATAAGACGTCCGGTGCATTCGTATTGAAGCGATGCACCGGTGTTCGAATCCCGCAGGCGGGTACCAATTTTTCTAATGAAATACGTACTCAACAAATGTTCACGATTGACTTCCACGGTAAAAGAATAACATCGTGTAATAAAAATGAAACCCGCAAAATTATAATTTGCGTAATTACTGGTGGTAGGACCTCTTGTGAGTCCACGCGGGTGGGTACCACCACCCTGCCTATTTCTGCCGTGAAGCAGTGATGCGTTTCGGTTTGAAGGGTGGTGCAGCCGTTGTAACTATACTTGAGACCTTAGAACTTGTATCTCAAGGTGGGTGGCGCATTTACGTTGTGGATGTCTATGGGCTCTAGTAACCACTTAACACCAGGTGGGCTGTGAGCTCGTCCACCCATCTAAGCAAAAAAAAAAAAACATGTTTGNCAAAAAAAAAAAAAACACTTTCATCAATAACTTCCACGGTATAGGGATAGCATCATGTATTTAAAAACAATCTTGCCCAAGGTAAGTAATGTTCACATCTCGTTATCTATGGATTCCAGTTACAATTTTTTTGACATCGGTCTGTGAGATCTTCTTGCCTATTTTTCTATTATTATTTTTGAGCTAAGCATCATTCGAATCAAGGGCACAGCCACGACCCTTTTCAAAGCTCATTTGAAGATTGTGTTTGTGCCATGAAATATCGCGAAGAAGAGTTCACGCTGGAGCCGGGTCTTTAGAAATGTTCTGCGGATAAGTACAGTATTCAAAATACTTCAAATAGACCCTGCCCTTCTGGAAAATGATGCGATAACGTTCGGTCACTATTCTCGTCGAATCTATCGAATACTAGGAAGGATACGTCGTGAAAGCTAACTTATATACGCAGCCCACTAAGTTTCTCGCCGGATCTTCTCAGTGAGTCGCGATTCCGATCCGGTGGTTGATACAGCGAAGCTTTTGCTAGGGTTAATTCAAATTCAAATTCAAAATCATTTATTTCAACTTAGATGTCAGTATAACACACTTGTTGAATGTCAAAATATAAATAACAATGTTAACTCTACCACCGGTTCCAAAAAAAGCAACAGTCCTGAGAAGAACCGACGAAATAAACTCAGCGGGCTTTTTTTTTTTGTTTTGTCTCAAAAAAACATTTTTTTAGATAGGTAAAAATATTTGCAATAAACGAAAAGCAAGTCAAAAAATACAATTAAAAAAATAATAATAATAATAATGAAAAATGAAATTAATGTTAGCAAAGTCTCAAGGTTGAGCCCTGTGAGCTCGACTATACGTCCAGTGAAGCCTGCATAACCCTTCAAGGTTACTAGCACTAGGTACAAAAGCGCGATGACGCGATCATCACAAACTTTTACTGGTGGTAGGACCACTTGTGAGTCCTATTCCTATTTCTGCCGTGAAACAGTAATGCGTTTCGGTTTGAAAGGTGAGGCAGCCGTTGTAACTATACTTGAGACCTTACAACTCATCTTAAGGTGGGTGGCGCATCTGCGTTGTCGATGTCTATGGGCTCCAGGAACCGCTTAACACCAGGTGGGCTGTGAGCTCGTCCACCCATCTAAGCAATAAAATAAAATAAAAAACAATTCCTTAATAAATAGTTTTGTTCGAGAGCATTATCAGAATCGCTGTGTCTTGTTTAGGGGGGCACGAGCCGATCTGATGCTTGGGAGTACGGACAGTCTTGAAGCCACCAGTTCGAACGCAACGCGAGCAACTTACAACTACGAGGTGGACACTCCAATGACCGGGAGTCTCACCTCCGGAGGTTAGTTCTATTTACTCTCTCTCTCTCTCTCTTGAAAACCTTCTCTTCAAAAGCAACGTGCAGGTGTTACATATGAAGCAACATGCAAGTAGATTAGCTTTTGTTTGGTTATCATTTTAATTAACTCATTAATCATAGACGAGTTATATCGTATTAGCCGACTAAAAAAAAAATTGAAAAATTGAAATTCAACTAAAAAATGAAAAATAAATAATAGTTTAAAAAACTAACAAAATACGCTTTCATAAAAAATCCAACAAAACAATAGAAAATAAATTTTAATAAATTTAAATTAAAAATAGTGTGAGGAAAAATGATTTAATTGTAAAAAGCGTGGTTAATTATTATTTTTTCATTATTTTTTTTAAATATTGATTTGCCATTGATCCTCAATAAGTAAGTATACTAAATTTCAAGTTAATCCGACGTTTTAAGGGGGTCAAAATCATGTTCAAAGATTCCGTTACATACATACGTCTGAAGCTATTAAAAGCGTATTAAAAACAACTATGGTCTTTAAAACTTTCACGTTGCTTTCTAGCCATACATTCTGTTGATGCAATAGATAACTTTATAACTAGCCTACTCGTATGAAGTTTGCTGTCGCTGTATCCAATATAAACCTTTTTAGTAACATCAATAACACTAACGATATTATTAACCATGCCTGCCAAAATCTGCTTTTCCTAATAACTGGAAAAATCATGCCTTTTTGCAAATATATTCCAATGCCAATGTCTACTATAACAGCAGTTACGCATCTACTCATCTTTTTGAATGTTCCAGAAGCATTACTCCCTAGCTTTACTTATAACATTTTGCTACTTATCTGAGCTTCATACTAATCAGAAAGATAACAGCGGTACCGCCTCCAGGGTCGAACACCATGGTGTCTTCCCTGGACACCCTGGAACCCATCACCGCCGTGCAGATGGACAGTATGGAACACCAGTCTACGAGTGAGCAGCAGTCCCACGAGTATGATGTCCAAGAACCGGATTCTGATACTGAAAGACTAGTACGTATCTATAATCTGTTGGACTTTTAGTAAATAATAAATAATAGTTTAAAAAAACTAACAGAATACGCTTTTATAGAAAATCCAACTAAAATATAGAAAATAAGTTTTAATAAATTTGAATTAAAAATAGTGTAAGAAACACGATTTTTTTTACAATAAAATCATTTTTTTTTTTGATGCTTTCAATTTTTTTTAATTAATTTTTTTAATATTGAGTTATCATCGGTCCTTAATAAGTGTACCAAATTTCGAGTTAATCCGACGTTTTGAAGGGGGTTAAAATCATGTTCAAAGATTCCGTTACAAACATACATACGTCTGAAGCTAATAAAAAGCGTATTAAAAAGGGGATCACTAAAGATTTCCATTCTTTCTTTTCTTATTTATTAATTTACAGCGGGGTTTTATTGAAGGAGTGAAAATCTGAATTTTCACTTATTTATTGATTAGGTTATTAAAAGATCTTAGAGCCTACCCTATAAAATGGTCCCTGAAACTCATGGAGATCACGCCGTAATTATCACCAGTTACCATGATATATAAGGTTGAAGTTACGTCCCATCTAGTTGGAGCGTATGACTGCTTCACGGCAAAAAAAGGCACACTGGGCTTCCTTAGTTTTAGCCTCCCCTTCGTTGTATCCAACAAGGATAGAGACTATTTTCTTCTTCTAGAAGGATATCACCCGGAATTAACTAAGTTTAACTCTTTAGTACCATTAAGAGAAGTTGTTCATATAATCCTAATAGTTAACACAAATCTTAAAATCCTTTAGGAGCTTGACAGCAAAACACCTAAAGCCAAGGAGCGAACTATAATGTTTGACAGTACTGACACTCTAACTGCTGTGAGTGGCGATAACTCCATCAAAGAGGCAAAAGTCGAGACGCCCGCTGCAACGTTCTATATCGGAGACACACCTATTGTTAGAGGTAACCTAATTTAAGGTATCTTTAAATACTCAGTAGTACTAAGCATTGGGGGGGCTAAACGCTGTGTGTGCAATCACTGTTTGGTATATTCTCTAGTTCGTCACTTAACAGGGTCTTTTGAGAGCTTTAGAATTTGAGGAATTGGAACATACTAATGTGGAACAACATCAGATGCAACGTTTTTTCACAAAGAATCATTCACATAAACATTTCTAAATTTTAATGTAGCTTAAATGAATTCTATATTTAAAACTTTGACGAAACGGTTACCTAAATATTAAAAAAGAATAACGTAATGTCTATCTATCAAAATATTTACAGATAAGCAATGCGATACGTCTCATTAAATTTTGTTGGCAGCACCAACCTTCACTGCAGTTAATTCAAATGAATGCAACCATCTGATTAGAAACATCATTATAGTTTCAAGTACATTAAAATTATCTTTCAGCTCTTCAAACAAAAAGAGATTATTTATAAATGCATCAACTAACCTATGCGAACTCATAAGAATTACTATTTCCCAATCAATACTATTGCAGTGGGCTAAACTAATCACATTCTATGAGAATTGTCTTTTGTCGAAAAATGTCCTATGTGATTGAAATAATCTAAAGAAAATCTTCTAGATCTAGGTTTTGTCTAGCCTACGGTATGTTTCCCGCTATGATAGCAGCGCAAGTATTTCGTATTTTTCATGGAAGTAAATAGTAAGAAATATATCGGTCAATACATTTTCTGATGCACCTTAATTTCCCAAATCAACCCTGACTGCTGGTTGTAGGTGGGGGACGTGAAGAGGCCGAGCCTCAGCAACCATTGTCCGAAAGCTGTCCAGCATCATTGCAACCTGTTCCTCAATCATCACCACCTGTACCCACACAAAGAAGGTAAGAACGAATCAGACAAATATTCTTTTTAACGTAATATTATTTTGCTTTTACTAAGAAAAATTTTTACTATTTTTTTTTTTTAATTCCATATTAATACTAAATTTGTCGAATATTTAAATGATTTTAAAACACACACTCTCCTACGCGCACTGCTTTTATTTATACATGTTCCAATGTTTGTTCTCATCTAGTAGTTTATCATGTTTTAATTTCTTAAACGAAGCTATTATATGTACCTCTAAAACTAAATAAATATAATATATTGTCATTGCAGCTGCTATTGTTTAAGTCACTCCCAAGATAGCCTCAACAAATAGGTACAAAATTTTTAAATTACATTGCTTTTTATCAGATTTAATTTGCTTTCTTTACACCGGCTGTATCGTCGCAAATCAAATGGCTTCCTAACAATCTAAACTTATTGTTTTTGTTTCTTTCGTTTTTAATTTTACCGTGTTATTGGTTGCTATAACGTATCATCAAATATTAATCATTTTATTCATATTTAGCATGTTCCATATAAAAGAAAGGAAGTTTTTGAAAATTTAAATTTGAAGTATGAAAAGTTTTAAATTTAAATAACATTGACCATTTGAAATGAGACAGCGCTTAGAGATTTAACTTTTTTGTCTAAATTACTTTCAGATCCCTTACGATGATAGCCAAGGCACCGCACACAAGTCTAGAGGAAGCTGCAAAGAAATCCTAAGCTCTAAATAGTTTACGTTAAGATTGTTTTCGTAAAACAAAAATCGCCGCTGAAGCTGCTTTAGCAAAAACTGCACCTATTGCTAATAACATCTCGGAAAGGTTAAATAAACAAATACGTCCTGTAGTTAAACGATGGTTCAAACAATTCGATTAGTTAGAATATAGTAAACGTTCTGTTAATTTCAAATTGCGAGCCTAAGTAATAAAGAAATTATTAATATCAATACAGTATTCAGACTTGAAGCGGGTACAAAATTTCCAAATATATAGATTTGAATTACGCTTATCTTTCGTTGTTATTGCGAATTTTCAAGAAAAACGGTACGTTGTATTTTTGAAATATCGTACATGAGAATGGTAGTCTGCCTATTTCTGCCGTGAACCGATTCAGTTTGAATATAAGGAACACCTGCAATTTTTCTTCCCTACCTATTTTCTGGTAGCCTGAGAGGCTATTCCAACTACGCCTGGACGGGTAGGTGTGCTTACGGGCTCAACCTGAGAGAATTTGATAACACTAGCCCTAGCAAGAGCAGCGCTTCGCAGAATCTACCACATGATCAGAATCGCGATCCACTGAGAAGATCTGGCGAAGAACTCAATGATCGACCACCGCGATACAATGGTACCTTCGACCTCATGTCTCAAAGTGGGCGGTTGTTGATATCTAAGAGCACCGGTGCAATAAAATCGAACATAGTGCAATATTAATAAAACTTACGAAAGGATGTTCAATTATATCCAAATACATTAAAATTAGAAATTTCTCATCAGTCGATTTTCATTTGGGAACTTCAAAGAAGCGCATTGTACTTGATTGATTTACATTCCAAGGATTATAGTTAGCCACTGAACGAATTGATAGTTCCAAGGATTTGCTATTACATACATTAATCATCACATCTAGGACGAGCAAACGAATTCTCAGATTCATTTCATAGTTCAAAATATTTTTCAATTATCTTCAATTATTATTATATATTTTCTTCCAAGTTCAATCTATTCGCTATTTATTTGTCGTTTTTTTTCATTCGAAATTTTTTTTTGTGATCGAAATATTATTGTAGTATTATCAATTTAATATTATATTTAAAATTCGCTGACGACAAGGCTCATATAAAATAAGGGAATTAAAAGAATTGATGTTTGGAAATGAGATAAAAAGGTATGTTAAGTTACGTCGAAAAGATAGGATAGCTTCGATTAGCTAAGCATTACTTGGCTAATTTCTTAAGGGATTTTAGATAGGCATGAGGTCGACGGACTTAATCCAAGACGGTACTTGGCTCCTTGTAGGTTTTGTAGGTTTTGTAACGAACGGAAAATACCCTCGAATATGAATATTTAGAAGCGGGATGAGACTGATGGAATTAATGATAATAGTAGAGTTATTGATGTTCTAGATTTGAAGGCTATTGAAACAATTGCGATTTGATTTTAGGGCCATTGTAATCTTAACTGTAGTAAAATTAGATATATACTAAATATAGCAATGACTAAACGGTATTTAGTAAGTTGAAATAATTTAAAGTTTGATTTACTTAAACTTACATACATATATAGCATCCATTTTTATCACATCTAATTAGAAAAAGCAGTCCCTGTAATTAATTGCCAGTACCAATTCAGTTACTGGTGTTTGGCACAGTCCATTACCGCAATATGTTCCGCACCAATCATTCTTATATATGACCAAATTCCATACCTATGTGGCGGTAATCATCACAGAACAAAAGATATTTTATATATGTCTGAATCTCGCTAACGACATTTTCAAGATAAATTTATATTTAAACAAGTTCCGAACAATAATATTATTATTTGGACCGTCGGTCTAGTAAGCAATTTCACACATTCGATGAAAGATCTTCGCTTTGACATTTACCTTGTAAACATACATATAGCCATAGCAATAGCTAGACATCGTCTAGAAGATTCACTAGCTTACGATATTAGTTGAATAAATAATAGGATATTATTATTTATTTATTTAAACACACCAACAGCAATACACACAAAACATTCAGGCTTAAAATTAACATCTATAAAATTAAGTACCGGTATGTAAGCCAGTTACAGGCATGTACAGCAATCTCTTATAACAACACTATGACATGTTACAGCAATTTTACAAACAGCGGAAAAATAGGTTAAATTTAAATATTAACAGTACGACAAAAAAAATATTAATTTACTATTTAATTAGTAATTTAATTTAAATATTTAATATAAAATTATAAATAAATTATTATTGTCGAAATGAAATCGTAATTGTTTTAAATTGGATTGTAGAATTGTAAAATTGTCATGCTTAGCTAAATAATGTGCGTTAGCTGATGAAGCTATGTTTTTCATATCAGCTGCAGTCGTTATCACGGGTCCTCTTGGTTAACTAATATGAATTTTGTCCGGAAAAGAATAATGTTTCTAAATCATTATCTGCTAAATAAGAAATTGAATCGAAAATTAATTTGATATATGCCATAAAAGTATTACCTGATAAAGAATTCAGAACTCGTGATGGCGACGATTCCCACGAATAATGTTAGATACGTTTCGCTTAAATGTAAAATTATATTTATAAATAAATAGTTAATTTATTGAATACGTGTGCTTCAAAGATGTTAAAAAAACCAATTTTGAGAAGGAGATTCGTTTTAGCTTCATGTCTCTTGCTTCTGTCCTTAATTTAACAAATGGTATCTAAACGAAGGGCTTATAAGGTTTCGAGGACCCTTTTTTGAAGTTGTTGATACTATATTTTGTTTATTTTGTTGGGTCCAGGTTTTCCTGTAATTTCTCCCAAAAAATTTACGTTTTATTTCAGTTTTATTTGGAAACTGTTCCCTGTATTTTGTTGAACCGTTATCCGTAGCAAAAAGTCAAATGGGTCTTATTATTGATAGTTACAAAGGTATTTATTATATTGAGGTTTGAATCGCTATTTGTTTGTTTTTTGCGCCAAGGATCCGATCCATGATAGTATCAAGGATATGCTGATATGATACCAAAAGATTTTTCGCATATTTTTTAATCGGGGGCTGAAAGGCGATTTGGTTTAAGCACCAACTTTCAAAATTTACAGGAGACCCATTCAAACTTTAAAATTTGGAACAAAAAAAATGTTTAGCTATTTGAATGGAGTAAGCCTGATTGAAGTTCAATTAAAAACATCGAACTGTTTATGCTAATCTATACATATAAATAAAATTGGTGTGCCTGTTTGTAATATTGAAATAACCGCTTTTTACTACATGCATATGAATATATATACGGTACATACACCAAAATAACATTTTTTACAATTTTTGTCTGTCTGTCTGTCCCTTTGTTCCGGCTAATCTCTGGAACGGTTGGACTGATTTTGACGGTACTTTCACTGATAGGTAGCTGATGATATAAGGAGTAACTTAGGCTACTTTTTTTAGACTAGCTTCGCCCCGCGGCTTCATCCGCGGTACGAAAATTGCCGCGGGTAGCATCGCGGCACTCAGCTAGTATCAAGTAAAACGCACCTTTAAATACAAAGATAAATGTCGCTTATTAAGCGTAATGTCGCTTAAAACAAATAGCTTTTCACCCCTCGATATATGGTTATGTACTCGTATCGAATTTTGAAGCGTTTTCGAAACCAAAAAGGGAGGGATTATAAAAATATATTAGGGAACCTTAGTATCAAAACTTCATTGCCAAGCAAAGCAAATACCTGCGTCTTTTTAGTAAAATACTTAGTTCCCCGTAGCACATAAACTGGTTCGGCTATTACTAAAATCTCTATAGAGGAGTTGACTTATGTGGATCGAGTTCTGTAACAAATTTCCGTATATACAGGGTGTGGATGACGATGTGGCTTTAAATCGATTCAAGCATACTCAAGTTCAAAGTCGCAAAATCGTTCCGATAATCTCAGCCATTCAGAAAAAGGAATATATTATTGATCCCATTAGTTTAAGTATGCTGAAATTGTTCATTGGGAATTTTTGGTGGAAAATACTGATCAACGTATTTACATATGAATAAGAAACGTGTAACTGATTTTTCATATGGGTTCTAATTTTAGGATATTTTCTAATTTAATTATTTTCTAATTTCTAATTTAAGGCTGTAATATTCCAATTTAAGGCTGTACCGTCATCTCCGACCTGTATCGAAATTCGTGGGTTCTGTATGAGTTATTTCAGACATCCTCGCTGTTCGAAGCTTTGAAAGCTATGAAAGCTACGTTCTCAGAAGCACTGTGTTGAATTTAGTTGCGATTATTTACCGTTATATTTGTAATATATGCTGATATTCTATCGAATAAAATTTTAATATTATTATTGGTATATTAAATAAAACGCTATCTCATTTGTTTTGTATTCATTTACAACCACCTTCTGTGTTATTTGAGGTTGTCACTGCAAAAGTGGCTTAACCCACAATTTTTTATATTCGTGCTTTTAAGTATTGCATTTTATTTAAAACATGATTAATGTTGATGCGAAACAGCCTATCCCTAATTTCACCCATAGATAACAGATGTGTTTGTAAACATTATTTTTGGGCGTATTGTTTTTGCCTACGAAGCAGTGTAAGAGTAAATTCAAACCTCATTATCTCCATACTAACTTCGGTATGCTTAGGCCAGTTTTGCGCTGACGGCCTGATTTTTATTTTACAAAGAACTTTCAGTTTTATTTTATATACGACTAGCTGACCCGGCAGACTTCGTAGTGCTTCAATCGATAAATAAAAGACCTAAACTTTTGTATAAAATAAACTTAAAACAAACAAAAGGAACCCGTCCGACGGGGGACACATCAAAGGAAAAACAAAATTGTTATTTTTATTTAACTCCGAGCATTTTCATATTTATCTACCTTTTAAACCTTCCCTGGACTTCCGCAAATCATTCAAGACCACAATTAGCCAAATCGGTCCAGCCGTTCTCGAGATTTAGCGAGACTAACGAACAGCAATTCATTTTTAAATACAGTCAAACCTGAATAAGCGAGAGTTCAAGGGAGCACAATCTCATTCTCGCTTATAGAGGTTTCTCACTAACCCGAGTTTCTCATTTCTCTAGGTTCAATATTGACGAGAAAACAATACAAAAACAATGATAGGAAGTTCCACGAAAGTTAAGAATGAGTCATAAAATAGCAGATGCTAAATTTGTAAATTGTTTTGTCATTTGTCCCTCTTAAATAATATAAATAAATAAAGTTCGACTGTTGCTTACAGAGGTATAGATAAGTAGCATTCTCACTTATGGAGGTCCATGAGGGAAAAACGACTCTCTCTTACAAAGGTTTCTGTTTCTCGCTAATAGAGGTTTTGGGAGCTTAAAATGACGGGTCCTGGCTATTACTCTCACTTATAGAGTTTTCTCACTTATCCAGTTCTCACTTACCCAGGTTTGACCGTATATAGATAGATTAGATGTTGAATAGACACACATTGAAATTTGTCACCCACTTTGAGGCGTCAAGTCGAATACTGAAAAAATTTTTGTGAAACGTCTACCTCACACAAAAAAATGGAAGTTTCTCATTTCCTGCAAAAATACATACGACGATTCAACCTACCCTAGCGTGTGTTTATTGAACGAAAGAAAGAAAGAAATCATTTATTCGCCAAGCATAGTGATAATGAGTTATTACATAAGTTAAAAGCAGCGTGTATGCTTTGTCATCATTTGACGTGCGAAATTTTGTGCAGTGCAAGATATTATAATATTATATAATTTACCATTCATTCATCCAAAGTTCAAGTAATAATTAAAAATTCTATTTATTTTCAATGTCATCCCTAAGAGAATCATTTATGTGATAATAATTTCCACTAATAAGATTATCTTTTAGTTTTTTCTTAAAATGAAAATCGTCTAAATCTCTTAATTTCTTTCTCTTCTTCTTTAATTTCTTCTTCTTCTTTAATTTCTTGAAACTTATAACTGTAACACTTCCGTGCAGACGTTTGGAAAAACAAGGCATAAAATAAAATAAAATAAAATAAAAATTGTACGTAATCTTTAATATAAAATTTATTCACAAAAAGCAATACTTATTAACTAAAACAAATATACAATGTATATCATTGTGTACATATGTAATGATATACATATGTAAATCTTTTTTTTTTGTTTTTTTTTCTACATACGTATGTAAATTATTATTTTTTTGTACCGATTTTGTACGTATATTAACATTTTTACTAGATCATCCAAATCACGTTTCCGCAAAATTTTAACTTGCAACTATTTATTATTCTATTAGAACTATAACGAATCAGAAGCAGAGTAGTCTAAGTTACTCCTTATATCAGCTACCCATCAGTGAAAGTCTCGTCAAAATCGGTCCAGCCGTTCAAGAGATTAGCCGAAACAAACAGGCAGACAAAAAAAAATGGTATATGTCATCTCACACCGATGACTTCTTTGCAATAATGCGGAAGAGAAGTGCATCGTTATTGCGTCGAGTTCGTGACAGTGACAACAGTCTTTTGAGAATCATATCGAGCAAGATCGAGGGACTGCTGATCAATAGCCTTTGCAGTAGGCACTTGGAAGGAGAAAAATAATAATATATAATGGTATAAAATGTATAATATAATGATAGTTATGTGTTAGATTTTTAAGTTACTAACATAGATTATAAGTAATTATTACTAACAAAATGTTATGGTTTTAAAAAAAAAAAACTGAAATAAAGCATTAATAATAATAATAATAATAATATGGTATACATACTACATACGCATTTAGTAAAAAGTGGTTATTTTATTATTACAAACAGACACTCCAATTTTATTTATTTGTATAGATGAATTCGGTAATAAAAGCTAGCAGATTAAAAAAACGCGAATTTATTCCACGTTCATCGGTTAATAAATGTTCCTTGACCATTAATAGAAAATTAGTGTACTGTGTCGAAATGTATCAGTACCGCTGGATTTTTAATATTAACAGGGATTTCTTTATGTTGCCGTAGACTTAGGACCAGCAGATAGAGGAAAAGACAGAGAAAAAACTGCATCATCTTTCCTCTGGTAGGCCATTTTTTTGGAATCCCATTAAATACACTTAAAGTCGCAAGTTAAAATTTTGACGTACAAACAAAAACAAGAGCTTTTAATTTAGAACAATAAAAAAATTAAACTACAAAAATCAAAACAATGAAAATTGTTCAAACAAGAAATCCGGTTAAGTAAATCTTTTCCATATCGATTCCGGGCTTAAAATAAAGATTTCTTATTCAAATCATTTTCATAAACAAATTACAAAAAAAATAATTATGTTTTTCTTAAAGTTACTATGGCATTTCGTGAATCGATTCTTGCCAAAATATACATTGAGAACGTTAAAATATGCGATGTGATATTTGAGTCGTCTATTATCAAAGGTGGCAATCTGTGCATTTGGACAAAAAAATGTTATTGATATGTCAATACAGATTGATTTGAATATAATCGTCTCCTTCAAAGAATACGGTTCGAAACCTATCTAAGATGTCGTTCAGAAGAGTTTTGTGACTGCCAATGGAATACAAAGTCAATAATTCGTTTTTCTGATTTACCAATAATTGTCCAAAAGTCATATTGCCGGCTTTGATAATAGTCGACTCATTTAAAGTTTTTTTTTTCGTATTATTTCTGCCCGTATCCGGCTATCGTAATAAAAAATATATAATATTTAAAGTCGATTTCTTCCAAAATTAATTCAAGATTTATAAAAAGTAGAACTCGAAACACCAAGAAAAAGACAATTGCCTATAATTTTTTTTTTTTGCAATATTCTACGTAGTTAGATTTTGTGGCTTGTTATAACCACTTGCACTGCGTAATGCACATAGAAATATTACAACAAACGACACGATTTAAATAAAATTTATAAAAGATGAGCGTAACTCACTAACAACATCAATTTTCTTTCAACAAACTAAATTTAGAAATATAGATTTTTTATAACTTAAACGGAAAACAGTTCGTTATTTTTCGTCATTTGACAGAAAGGGCCTGATGATAATTCACAGAGGCCGCGTATATTTCTGCCCTAGAACAATAATACTTTTAGACATTTGAATTGGTGTCTTTCTGACTTGCTAGAAACTTCGAGAACGTATCTCAAGATATTTTGAATTAATTTCCCAGCTCAAATATAATGCATACTTCAATTATGAATACCGAGCTTTGAAATTATGACTTTTTTAGGATAAGATTTAAGTAAAATATTTTTTTATATTGAGAGAGAGCCAGATGTAGGTACGGCGACATCACATTCAGTCAACCGCACATACAGTATGTGTTTTTTTCTAAAATTTATCTTAAAATTAAAAATAAATTAAAAATAATTGAATAAATTAATTGAATAAATAAAGTCTTTACTTTGGTGGTTTAGACCGTACTGAATATAATTATTACATAATACTAGCAGGTTTTCTTGATTCCACTCTTTACAAGGAATCGAACTCCGATACGTCGCTTGTCTGAAACCAAAGGCCAATTAGAGTAATGGAACTTCATAATAAAATAAGCAACGCTGTAAAAATATAGATAAGGATTTTGCTGCAAAATTTACAATCTTGAAGATTTTTTTTTATTGCTCTTGTAGGCAGACGAGCATACGGCCCCCCTGATGTTGAGTGGTTAGAGGGCAGAGCCAAGCCGCTGCCTACCGTTAAGTACTGAACACATGCTCACAATCCAACGGAAAAAAGTAATAGTTCATTAAAAGTACAATCTATGAAGCTTACATTCTAAAAACAATGTATTATTTAAGTCGATTTATCAAAACCAGCGCAAATATCTTATAAAGCGGAAACTTATGACACATGTGCTTCGTGTGCTAATATCGGTGATGTGCTTTTGTTTTGTAAGGCAGAGAAGGTCAAGACCCATCTGCCATTAATGGTTACCGGATTCCATAAAAACTGCACTGTGAATACATCAAGCTAGAGAGACATCTAGCTAACCTTTCAGTGAGATAAGAAAGTGTACCTTCCGAATCGAAATGACCACTTTCCAAAAGAAATAGGCAGATTGGGGATACCTACAAACGCGGCTCAGTCTATGTCCGAGTACCGATTAAAATACCCACAGACACAGCCCATTGAGTTTCTCGCCGGCTATTATCAGTGGGTCGCGTTTCCGATTTGGAGGTAGATTCTGTAAAGCACTGCTCTTGCTAGTGTGTTAGGGCTAGCGTTAGCAAATTCTCTCAGGTTGAGCCCGTGAGCTCACCTACCAGTCCGGGCGCTAAAATAGCCATTAGGCTACTGTCAGAAGATAGGCAAAAAGAAGTTAAAAATATATAAATATTACAGTACATGTGCGTGGGTGATACATACAAGATCTGGTTTGTATAGGTGTACATGCGGCAGAAGGAATGTGGATCCAAGGTCTCTCTCGGCCATCGTGTTAGCTTCCTGGGTGAAGGAAATTGAGGCTATGTAGTGCAAACTTAATAGAAAGTGCTCGTGGTTTATTTTAATAGCAGGGTTTTCTACATCCGTGTATTGTCGAATATTGCGTCATAAAAACATGACAATACAACCGATCAAAGAAACTAATAGTGATTAAGAAAAAAAAGGTGATAAGCTTTTAATACGCTATAAAAGTGCATTATTTTGTACAATGACGTCAGCGTTTAGGAGTCCGGTGCATATTTTAGCACATGCGTTGCATCGTATCATTAGTTCTCACGCTTGTATCAATAAATTAATCTATATCAACCTTTAAAAATGTCTAAATGGTGTTCGGTAAGATGCCCAGTGACCCCATTTCTGGGTTCAACGTTATATTTTCCCCTCTTCGGTAGTTGGTGGACCATTAATGAATTTTCTATGGGTCATATTTTACTTTACGATGAACACAATTTAAATATCACGAACTAATTAAAACTAAAAATCGGAGTAAGAGTCCGTTGAATAGCAGTATAGCAGAAAAATTCTAAATAAACTTTTTATGTGCAACATTTTTCGAACTTCCTTATTGTATTCAAATTATTTGTTTTATCCTTGGGAATCTATTTAGTGATAAATCAAAACCGTTGTCATTTCGGCTTCAAAAAGACATTGAATGATCGCTTTCTTTACCAAGTTGACAACTAAATAAGCCTAGAAAGAACTCATAATTATATATTTGAGAATTTAGAGTCGCATTAAGATATAGTTACAGAAAAATACTAAATATTATTTAAATAAATATATTACAATATATATTATGTAAATAATTCATAGCACGGGGAACGAAGACTTTTTTATTGTTTTAAAATGTATCTTAATCTTTATTTTTAAGCTTTTACCTGGTGGGTCAGTCTTGTTGAAGAAGCAGCTCTTCCAGTACTAGCCGGCAAGGTCCCGCCCACTGAACGAGCTTCCGATAATGTCCTGTGAAATTAATGAAGGATTTGGCTGACTCAGTGGTGCGGTTAGTGGCCCTGACTATTGCGGCGAGGGTCGCGGGTTCGATTCCCACATCGAGCAATAATTGTGTGATGAACAGAGTTTTTTTGCTCTATGTCTGGGTGTTTATTATTTATGTATTTAAACGTATATAAGTGTGTTTGTCAGTCTCTAGTGCCCATAAAATAAGGAATCCTTAATTTGGTGCAGAAGGCCGGATGTGAGTTGTTCCAAGATTATTATTCTAATGTCCTCATTCTCGGATTCTGATGAAAATTCAAAGAATCCTGTTTACAAACGATATCCAATGTATATTGGATATTCATACTAAGATTCGCCGCAATAATTTCATTAACAATTCGAAGCCATATTGTCCTTTCCACGGCTCTTTATCAAAGCTAGACAGATGGGGTTAGGCGGAAAAAAAATGTCGTTTTAACGAATACTAAATGAAGGCCTCTTTGTTCCGAATGTCTGTGTTCACTTTTGATACGAGAAACCTAATGTGGTGCCACAAGCCAGTTAAACTATGACAAATCGAGAGCCCAGAAAATACTATTTGTATATTGACGATATCATAGTCGCTTGCTAGTATAAACTGCACCTTACTTCATCAGAAGATTCTATGAATTTGTCGTTTGTATATCTATTTCGCATCTTTGTATCACTTACAGTTCTCCGAGTCTTCTTTCAGCGTCCGTCCATTCGGACATGTCGTCTTGGCTGCAATCAATATAATTGTTCATCAATTACTACTATATACTTTTTACTGGTGGTAGGACCTCTTGTGAGTCCGCACGGGTAGGTACCACCACCCCGCCTGTTTCAGCCATGAAGCAGTAATGCGTTTGGGTTTGAAGGGTGGGGCAGTCGTTGTCCTGTTAAAACTGAGACCTTGGAACTCTTGTCTTGTAGTGCGACATTTCGTTGTAGATGTCTATGGGTTCCGGTAACCACTTAACACCAGGTGAACAGTAAGCTCATCCATCCATCTAAGCTATAAAAAAATGCGTTAAGCTTGTCAGATAAAAATTTCGAAGAATAAATGGTACAATGTGTTTAATATTTCCGAAAACACTGGTTAGATTAAGTTGAAATTTTAATTTAGTTACACAAAATAGCTACATAACCAATAAGTAAATATACCTATTTTCTTTTATTGAATTATGTTAGGGGAATCTTGACAGATCTTTACCTGTAGGCCTTCCTTAAAGAGTCGAATCTCGCCAAGTCCGCTTCCAGCTCTGCTTTGTTCACCGAAGACATATCGTCTCTGTCATCCTTCATATTCTCATCAGGTCGGATCGTGGTGGATACTTTAAAGCCGGCTGATACTAAAGCTCCTGGGAAATGTGATGATAGCGCATTATTTAAGTGAATTAGCAATATATTTTAAATTATTAATTTTTTATCTATTTATTTATTTATTATACACAATACACATTAAAAACTAAAAATATACGCATTAAGTAACAACAAGTAATAAAATCTGGCATTTAAAATCTGGCTAAAAAATGTTTTTTTTCGCAACTATTGACGAGTTTTAGTGTTATCAATAAAATTTAGATATATTTGAACTAGTCAATTTTTATTCCTTCAACCGGTATTACTACACGACCTACTAAGGATATCTTTTAATTATCCCCATGGATTTGTTCATTTAGCAAATAGTACGGCAACAATATATTAGCGGCGATTAGTGATTTTTTCTTTCATTTTTATCATTATCCCACAAAATGACAAAACTACATACATTATCGATAACGCTTATCGGCTACAATAATGCGCATCACTATGCCCGTCCATAAGGCTCGTGAGTGGAAGAGAGAGCGAAATACTCGCTTCACCGCTTCGATTTTTTATGACCCAAACTGCACGGACAAAATAATTCTACTATAGTATTTATATGTATGTACCTCATCTAAATTCTATGGTATCAGTGAATATGGCCGATGTGGGGTCGCACATGATGACACCAGCGATAACTAGATACGCAGCGATTTAACTTTTTTTATTTTCTTTTTGTATTGCTTGAGTAGACGAGCTCACCGGCCCACCTGATGTTAAGAGGTTACCGGAGCCCATAGGCATCTACAATGTACATGCCGCCACCCACTTTGAGATATAAGTTCCAAAATCTCAGTATAATTACAACGGCTGCCCCACCCTTCAAACCGAAACGTGGTACCTACCAGTGCGGACTCACAAGAGGTCCTATCACCAGTAACTCCCCCCCCCTACTCACAAGGATCGTCTAAAAGCAATAGGCAGTGGCTTGTTCATCGTTATTCGCTGTCAATCGTATTTTGCGATTCGAACGAGGATCTCGTAAACATAATAAAACAAATTACGTCATCTTTGGTCCGCTAAGAACATTCTCTTGGCTCACCCTTTTTGTTTGGTCTATCCCTGTTGGCGCTATACGAAGACTCCAAGCTGTGCTTCCTTCGCATCTGTGAAGGCATCGAAATATCTTTATCTTGTAACATAGTTTTTTATGACCTTATGCTTTAGATCAAATTGGAGTGGTAACGGTGAACGCATCGCGAGGCACGGCAACTACTTTGATTTATAAGTGTACTAGCCCTAAACGCGCGCTTCGCAGGGCTTTTAAAATTAACATTTTTATTTATTGTCATTATTATTAGGGAGTCCAACACTCATATAAATATTGGCATATCCATTAAGTACATGTACTTTCTACATGAATACCAAGTTTCAAGTCAATCGGATGCATGGTTCAGTAGTTATAACGGAACATCCGTAAAAACCACTGTAGATTTATATACATATACATTAGTATAGATGATAAACTATTTTTAATGACTTACTTAGTTACTCTTAGTGATTTGTCTATTTATTTTGGAAGGAAACTAAAAGGACAAAACTTCGATTTTATTTTTTTATTGCCCTTGCAAGTAGACGAGGCATACGGCCCACCTGATGGTGAGTGGGTACCGACGTCCATAGACATTATCAGCAATGCCAGGGACAGAGACTGCTGCCTGCCTTAAAACCCAAGGTAAACAAAGACCAAACAAGTTTCCATCATTAATGATACTTTTTTCCCCTACCAATTCGCTGTTAGCTTACGAGCTATTCCAGTTACGCGCGGATAGGTTAGCCCATTGAGTTTCTCGCCGGATCTTCCCAGTGGGTCTTGTTTCCGATCCGGTGGTAGATTCTGCGAAGCACTGCTCTTGCTAGGGTCAGTGTTAGCAACTCTCCGGTTGAGCCCCGTGAGCTCACCCACAAACGTTAGGGTGAAGCTGAAATAGCCTCTCAAGGCTATCAGCATAGGTAGGAAAAAAAAAAAGCGGATAGGTAAGCTCACGGGCTCAACCTGAGAGAATTTGATAGCACTAGCCCTAGCAAGAGAGCGACTTTTTTTTATCCTACCTATGCTGATAGCCTTGAGAGGCTATATCAGCTTCTCCTTGACGTGTAGGTGAGCTCTCGGAGCTCAAACCGGGTGTGTTGCTAACACTGGCCCTAGCAAGAGCCGTGCTTCGCGGAATCTACCACCGGATCAAAAACGCGACCCACTGACAAGATCCGGCGAGAAACTCAGTGGGCTGTGTCTACGGGTTAAAGAGAGCGACATTCAAGCAGGGCCGCTTATGTGTTTCGCTGCCACTTAACAGCGGATGGATCGTGTTCACATCACCGTCACAGTAGTGACGTCATGAAATCACACCGATAACGATAGTTATCATGAAATTCTTTCCGACTTAATATAAATAATTTTATCTTAATTCAAAAACAAAACTCACCTCGTCGTGAGTAGTGGCGGCCCCGGACTCCAAGTAGCTGATCAGCTTAGCCTCGCTGCTCAGCTCCAAACTCCTCTTTCTGGCTAGATTCTCCCGACTGGAAATGTTGGGTTGCTTTTATCAGCATAGCTCTCAGGCACACACGCACACGTACAAACAAACGGACCCGCTCATAATTTTGAACAGCCATGTAAGAAAATAACTATATTATTAACAGTATTATTTGTTTCTCTATGATCATTGTTCACCGCCGAAGGCATTTATGAGCACATGTTTGATAAATATATTTTTTTTAATAGAATTTGTACCTGCCTCCGTTTATGAACCCCCAAATATTATTTGTTCCATTAAAAACTGATCACAAAAAACAAAACTTCTCCCTCTCTCTTCCTAGCTATTTATCACACATGTTGGCGGTATTAGCTTTCCTTATTCTACTCCTCAACTTCGGTCTGTCTTCGACATCCTCGTCAGCAGCATTGCATTCCCTCTTGTCCTTGATAACAATATCTTTCCACTTTTCCTCCAAAGAAAAGCTAGTTTATCACAGATTTTTTGACGACGTTATCTTACCTGTCTCCGTGATGAGGATGGAACCTGGCTCGAGGTATCAGCACGGCTGGTGCGGGGGGAGGGGGCGGATCGTGACTCGGGGGGTCCGAGATCACCAGCTTCTTCGAAGACGAAGGTCGCTGTGCACATTTTCACATAATTTGACATAATTCAAGTGAGTTTTAAATTATAAGTTGAATGACTTTAGGGTAGAGAAGATTTTAGCTAGATATAGATTGATAAATAAGACAGTTGTGTGATCTTGAATAACCATTTCCTACTAGTAAATAAAATTGCTGCCGTTATTTTCGGCAACCGTGGACGACTATACTCTATTCCAATTACCATCAAGTCCCATTTGACAGATGTTATTTTTATGTTATTGTGTGTGTGAATTAATTGTATAATGATTTAGATTGATTGTGTATTGTTTTAATGATGTTTACGGCCATGAACAAAAAATGATTATTTTTATTTGTATAATTAAATATTTACTAACAATCACGCCACGTTAACTGGTCCCGTGCTAAGATAAGTATAGCTACAACGGCTACCCCACCCTTCAGACCGAAACGGATTACTGCTTCACGGCAGAAATAGGCGGGGTGGTGGTACCTACCCGCGCGGACTCACAAGAGGTCCTACCACCAGTAATACGTAACGTTACAAACAAACAAACGAGGAGATTAACGCAGTATATCTTAGCAAGGGCAAATTGCTTCAAAGTTACCTTGGCGGGCATGTAAGGCAGGGAGGCGTTCTGGATACTGGTGTTATCACGAGGCTCGCCTTGCTCACTGATAAGAGCTCGCCTATCGGTCCGCTGCTTCGGCATTGCTCCCTGGAGTGCACAACTGAATGTAACTAAAGATGAACCCGCAGTACTTATAAAGGTATCTTTTCAATTTGGTATTGGCCAAACCGGCCACCTGTGTGTTTAGTGCGAGTTTTTTAACTTTTCGATCGCGTAAAAGTTAACTAAAATTTGTATGGAGTCGGAACAGCGCCTCTAGCGGCAAATGATGAGAAGCTGTTTTACTCCATACAAATTTGAGTTAACTTTGACGCGATCGAGAAGATAAAAACTCGCACTAAATACGCAGATGGCCGGTATTGAGTCGGAACAGTGTCTCTAGTGGCAAACGAAGAGAAGCTTTTCTGCTCCATACAAATTTGAGTTAACTTTTACGCGATCGAGAAGTTAAAAACTAGCACTAAATATGCAGGTGGCCGGTATTGAGTCAGAACAGCGCCCCTAGCGGCAAACGAAGGGAACCTGTTCGATTCCATACAAAATTGAGTTAACTTTTACGCAATCGAGAAGTTAAAAAACTCGAGCTAAGCACACGGGTATTATATGGCGATCTGTCTAGTCTAGATATCGCAAAATGAATGCGGCCGGCGCACCTTCTAACCTAAATCTTGTCTTAAGAACCAACAAAATGGACTTCGTCAATTAAATATAACTCAAAAACTACTGGTCAGATCTTGATAAAATTTAAAAGGTAACAGCTGAGGAACACCAGGTTTCAGTTCATAAAAATCGGTTCCCCAAATAATCTGAGGTAACAACACATAAAAAATACAGTCGAAGTACCCCCTACTCTTTTAAATTCGCTAAACCAGTATTTAGCTTGGTTTTGTTGTATGTAGTACATCAATTCTCGTGTGTCAGTGGAAGAAGCTGTTATACAATATTTAGGACTTATACCGTCTGCCTCACAATGTGGTATCTACTAAACGATAAGTGATCGTTCGACCATGTAGATTGTAGAGCAGTGATGGGCAAAGTACGGCCCCCGGGCCAACTCCGGGCCGCGAAAGTATTTAATCAGGCCCGCCGAGATTCCATCCATCCTAAATATTCTAGTCAGCATTTTGGCGCGTAAAATAAAATCTGATGTTTATATCAAATCAAATCAAATCAAATCAAATCAAATCAAATCAAATCAAAAAATTTTTATTCAACATAAATGAAAGTACATACTTGTTGAACGTCAAAAGAACTACCGCCAATTCACAAGAACTAGCCTCCGTCCTGAGAAGAATTGGCAAGAAACTCAGCGGGCATGTTTTTTTTTTTTTTTTTTTTAATAAATTGTTATTTATTAATTTTTTAATATTACATTTTTTTTTTAAATATGAGTTTTTTACAATGAGTATTATAACGTAACAATTACTACAATATTGAAATGCCCGGAGCGAGCAACTCATTCCCACTTTGTGCAATCTTCTAGATAATCATTGACTTTATAGTAAGCTTTATTGCACAGATGTTCTTTAACAGTTTTCTTAAACCTATGTATATGTAGGTTCTGAACATCTTGTGGGATTTTGTTGTACAGGCGCACAGACAAACACCCGAATGAATTTCGTATCTTATGTAACCTACTCATCGGCACAACAAGCTTGTGTTTGTTCCTAGTATTTCTATTATGTATGTCCGACTTTTTAGGAAACTCCTCAATATGTTTACGAACATACATCAAATTTTCAAAAATGTACTGGGATGGCATAGTGAGAACTTTAATTTCTTTAAATTTCTCCCTCAGGGATTCCCTTGAGTGCATGTTATAAATAGCGCGTATAGCTCTTTTCTGCAGAATAAATATCGTTTCTACATCGGCCGCATTGCCCCATAGCAAAATGCCATAGGACATGACACTGTGGAAGTAACTAAAGTAAACTAAACGAGCCGTGTCCGCGTTTGTTAACATTCTAATTTTTTTTACTGCGTATGCTGCAGAGCTGAGCTTACTCGCCAATTTATGAATATGAGGTCCCCATTGCAGTTTGGAGTCCACTGTTATACCAAGAAATACGGTTGACTCAACAAGCTCCAATGATTCCTCAGAAACAATTACATCACTATCCACTTGTCTCACATTTAAAGATGGTTTAATACATTTTAAAGTAAATTTAATACATTTAGTTTTCTTACTATTCAATAATAGGTTATTGATACGGAACCAATGAACCACACACGAAATCGCATCATTCACTTCGTCATAGACTTGTAATTGTCGTTTAATTTTAAATAATAAAGATGTATCATCTGCGAATAATACGACCTCGTGTCGGGATTCAATAAAACTAGGTAAATCGTTTATATATATTAGAAATAAAAAAGGACCCAAAATGGAACCCTGAGGTACACCCATTTTCAACAAGGTACCTGAAGATCTATTACCTTTCACATCTACTGTTTGTATCCGTCTTGATAAATAGGAAGTAATAAGTTCCAATGCACCATCCCTAATACCATAGTGATGTATATATATATAATTGAAAATTATCGATTTTTTAATGAAAGCTCTCCAATTCGTCAGGGGTGTTTTGAGCTTTCATTATCTCATAATTAACTTGTCATCTATAACTAGTCAGGTCATAAGTATTGTCACACAGTAAAAACTTTTCTTTTAGAATGCTGGCCACAAAAAAGTTTATTGAGTTCGAATTTCGAATTGTTCATGAAAATAAAAATGTATACTTTTAGAATTTTACTCATTTTTTAATATGGAGTGGACGCTTAAAGAAGGCCGTGTTGCAGTTATTGCGTTGCATCGTTGCGGTTACGCGCCAATTCAAATTTTTAACATACTGATAAATTTGAATATAACCAAGAGATTCGTTTATCGTACCATCAAACGATACAATGAAGACTCTAGTGTAGATGACAGGTCAAGAAGTGGTCGCCCTCGGTCTGTTAGGACTCCAGCATAGATAAAAGCTGTGAAGGCGCGAATTCAAAGAAATCCCAAATGTAAGCAGAAACTGTTGGCCCTTCAGATGGGGTTAAGCAGAACCACGGTGAAAAGGGTGTTAAATGAAGACTTAGGGCTTCGGGCATATCGAATAAAAACAGGACATCGTTTGAATGCTCGTCTAATGGACCTGAGACTGAAGAGATACCGCGCTTTGTTGAAGCGGTACGCGGGAAAAAAATATCGGGAAATTCTTTTTTCGGATGAAAATTTTTTTACCGTAGAAGAGAGCTACAACAAACAAAAGGTAAGGTGTACGCACATAGTAGTGAAGAAGCGAGTAACCGTATTCCGCGTGTCCAACGAGGTCATTTTCCATCCTCGCTCATGGTATGGTTGGGAGTTTCTTATTGGGGCTTAACAGAGGTACATTTTTGTGAGAAAGATGTAAAAACGAATGCAGTTGTGTATCAAAATACAGTCCTGACGAACCTTGTGGAACCTGTTTCTCATACCATGTTCAATAACATGCACTGGGTATTCCAACAAGATTCGGCGCCAGCTCATAGAGCGAAGAGCACACAAGACTGGCTGGCGGCGCGTGAAATCGACTTCATCTGGCACGAAGACTGGGCCTCCTCCAGTCCAGATTTGAATCCGTTAGATTACAAGATATGACAACACTTGGAGGAAAAGGCGTGCTCAAAGCCTCATCCCAATTTAGAGTCACTAAGACATCCTTGATTAAGGCAGCCGCCGATATTGACATGGACCTCGTTCGTGCTGCGATAGACGACTGGCCGCGCAGATTGAAGGCCTGTATTCAAATTCACGGAGGTCATTTTGAATAAACTTTAGTGTCATAAGAATCTATGTTTTGTTAAGTTCATTTTGGTATATGAATGGTTACATAATGAATAAACTTGTTTCAATTATTTTATATTAAACATGTGACAGAATTTATGACCTGACTAGGTATATATAAAAGAAAGTCGTGTTACACTTTACACGTCGAAGTTACACTATTTATAACTCAGGAACGGCTGAACTGATTTGGCTGAAAATTGGTGACGAGGTAGTTTAAAACCAGGAGAAGGACATAGGATAGGACTTTTTATCACGTTCCCGTGGGACGCGACATAAAACGTGGCATAACAAAACGCAACTGACAGCTAAACGTAATATATTCTGGTTAATTATAGTAGAATTTCAAAGTTGACCGGTTGATGTGTTTAAAACAAACCGTGTGGCGGAACAAAGTTCGCCGGGTCCACTAGTTTGTTATAATTATCTCGGCAGTCTGTCACAGGTATTAGTTTATTTATTGGAAAAAAATAAAACATTCTTTTCACCTATCTATCGGTGAAGCTAAATTAGCCGCGTAAAAAACAATTCCATATGTCTCACACGCCTAACAAGGCGTAAAAGTAAAAGTATTTTGTTTATTAAAAAACTTTAATACAAAATGCATTTTTTCTATATTTCTGGCCCTCCTCTAGAATTTTTTAATCTTTGTGGCCCGCCATTAAAACTGCTTGCCCACCACTGTTGTACAGCAATAAAAATAGAGTTATGAACCTGATGTAGAGTAGGCATGCCCTGAATGCATGTGACGATGGACCGCTGCGGTGGCTTGCTGCGGCGACAAGCTATTACCGCGCATGCGGCCAGTACCACCGTGAGGAGAGCTCCGGCGACCACCAACGATATAAGGACCACTGGAAGCGCACATAAATATTTTACTTCATTTCCATTCGCTTAATGGGTAAGAAGCCACTGACAATCGCGCCACGTTAACTGGTCCCGTGGTAAGTTCGTAAAGAACTTGTGTTACTGGTACCAGATAAAGGAAATAAATTTAAAATTTTTATTATACACATACAATAAAAGTCGTCGTGGCCTAACGGACAAGACGTCCGGTGCAATCGTGTTGAGCAATGCACCGGTGTTCGAATCTCAGGCGGATACCAATTTTCCTAATGAAATACGTACTCAACAAATGTTCACGATTGATTTCCACGGTGAAGGAATAACATCGTGTAATAAAAATGAAACCCGCAAAATTATGATTTGCGTAATTACTGGTGGTAGGACCTCTTGTGAGTCCGCGCGGGTGGGTACCACCACCCTGCCTATTTCTGCCATGAAGGAGTAATGTGTTTCGGTTTGAAGGGTGGAGCAGCCGTTGTAACTATACTTGAGACCTTAGAACTTATATCTCAAGGTGGGTGGCGCATTTATGTTGTGGATGTCTATGGGCTCCAGTAACCACTTAACACAAGGTGGCCTGTGAGCTCGTCCACCCAACTGAGCAATAAAAAAAAAACAAAAAACATATATTTAACATACATCCATAACCCTGGAAAATACATTTATTATATTTATCATACAAATATCTTCCCTTGGCGGGTTTCGAACCCGCCACCCCCTTGTGTATTGACCATGTCACTTACCACAACACCAGACGGCCGTTAAAGCCGATAAAGAAGTGTCAGATTAGTCCTCCCCAAGGCTACACAACGATCACGACATCAAGGACCGACCAAGGCCGTAACCAGGGTTCAAATTCTCAGGCAGTTTCTTTTTTATTGCTTAGATAGGTGGACGAGCTCACAGCCCACCTGGTGCTAAGTGGTTACAGCAGCCCATGGACATCTACAACGTAAATGCGCCACCCACCTTGAGATATAAGTTCTAGGGTCTCAGTATAGTTACAACGGCTGCCCTACCCTTCAGACCGAAACGCATTACTGCTTCACGGCAGAAATAGGCAGGGCGGTGGTACCTACCCGCGCGGACTCAAAAGAGGTCCTACCACCAGTAGTAATAAACTCTGGTTTCCCTTCAAAACGTATGTATTGTAGAACTAGCTCATTCGATGAAGTCAAAGCTACCTTTCAAGTTGATCTGACAAGTACTGCCGGAGTACCACTGGAAGCATTCGCAGAGCACGCGTTTGTCGTCTCTGGAGTAGCACGTGCCGTGATAGTTGCAACGCGCGCATCCCACCGGCTCCGCTGCGATACAAACATACAGAAGGTTTTATTAACTGGATAATGATGAAACTAAATAATAAAAAATAATGAATAAAGTTTCAGGGACACGACATTCAGTAACTTTAGGTAATTTTTTTACACCTTGGGTTACGTTATTGGAGTTTTAGTAAGGACCCATAAATTTTTTCAAAATATATTATAGCCTGTCACTCGGGAATAGTGTAGCTTTTAAATGGTGAAAGAATTTTTCAAATCGGTTCAATAGTTTCGGAGCCTATTCAATACAAACAAACAAATCTTTCATCTTTATAATATTAGTATAGAAGTATAGACTGGTATAGACATACAAACATCATTGTGTTTTTGTCGCAATTACACTAACCAGAACAAATTCGGCCGGGATACAGATTGTTCACGCTGAGATCTGCGAACCCTTCGAGGCAGCTACAAGTGTAGGTCCCTCGTAGGTTGAAGCACTGCGCGTGCTCTGAGCAGTCATGGAACTGGCCGCTTGTACACTCGTCGAAATCTGTCCATGATTCAATATTTCATATTAGGTGGTGGATCGACCACTGGTGGTAGGACCTCTTGTGAGTCCGCGCTGGTAGCTACCATCACCCTACCTGTTTCTGCTGTGAAGCAGTAATGCGTTTCCGTTTGAAGAGTGGGGCAGCCGTTGTAACTATACTTGAGATCTTAGAACTTATATCTCAAGGCGATGGCGCATTTACGTCGTAGATGTCTATGGGCTCCAGTAACCATTTAACACCAGGTGGGCTGTGAGACCGTCCACCCATCTAAGCAATAAAAAAAGTCTACGTAAAGAATTTAATATCTTAATATGACTATAACAAGAATGACGAACGAATTTCTTCTTCATCATGAGCGCTATAGTACCAGCAGGGTACATGGTATCTGCTGGTGAATCGTCACTCTGACTGGTGGCATTTGGCAGTATTAAATTGTTGCATACCACTAAACAGTCTCGTCAAATGTCGTTTAAGAAAAAACATGTGAAGAATGACCGTGTAGGCAAGTTCATACCAAAGATATCTGGAAAAGCATTGTAAATGAAGGCAGGGCTTATATCTGCTGTGGTTGCCAAAACAATTCCTCAAAGCACTGATATATATTACGGTATAAACACAGACATAATCGAAAGGCTCCGTATACAGAAGCTTACGTAAATCCAAACTGAGTCCCTAACTAAAGACAGTAGAATGTCTAAGCGGAGTCTGGTCTTGGTGATGTCCATGAATATCGGCAACCACTTACGATCCGACGTAACGCACGCTACAGCTATGATAGCGATATAAAATAAACAGAATGCAGGATGAGAATTTTGAAAAAGTAATGGCAAACGTACCAAATGAATGTAAGCATGAGAGTTTATCCTGTCAACAATTTTGTCCAATTATATGTGAATTTCCGTTTAAAATTGGAGTAGACATGACGGTTCTATAATCTTACCACTAACGTCCATTTTGTCCAACAATTCGCTAGCAGCGTGCACATCAGTCCCTCCGAGACTGTAGTTATTATTTCTCAGATATTTCTCTATAACTTCCTTCAATCGGTTCTCGTGAGCATTGTCAGAAAGCTGGAAGAAACATTAGATTTTCACAATGTAGCTGATGGATTATCATTACTTGCTGGCGACGTTAAAGAAATAAATTGTCCATTTGAATTACTAGTTGTTCACCATGCAGTGTGAATTTGAACCCATAATGTCCTTATTTCAAGTGTTAGCAGTTCTGCGTCCTGACTTGAAAGGCTATGCATAGACTCAAGGTGCGTAGCGGCATCCTCCACGTTGTGATGTGTGAACCCCGGGTGGGTCTTGATTTGTTGACACATTTTGTGCGATCAAAGTTTAAGGTTAAAAGCGTAAGCGTTTTTATTTCATTTAGTTGAAAACCTAAGGACCTTTAGACCAACCTTTAGAAGGGAACTAACCTTTGGACTAATAAGACCTATTGAAGAATTGAAGTACGTTTTGTGATGATAGACTTACCTGTACATAGAAATCGTTCATGACTCCCTGATACCCAGTTCCAGTATCGTTCTGAATTTCAACTGGATGGAAGCCGGCAATATGGATACCATGGTAAACGTCCCTAAGATCTGATTGCATCACCATCCTGTTGATGCCTTCATGAGTGGCCACGGCTAGAGCTTGGTATTCTTTACTGGAGTTATCAGAGAGGCTTTCTTGGAATTGCAAGCGGCTTTCCCCTTGAGAAGCCAGTGCTAATTTCACAGAGTATGTATAGGTAGCTGCAATTATAACAAAATTTTATTGAATTAAAATCTCTGAATTGAAAAGATACACTGAAACTTTTTTAAATTAAGCATTTTCAACTTACGTTTGCATGGTCTATCGGGGAACATTCTAGCAAAACCTGGTCTGCACACACATTTCATGAGTCCATCAATTCTCTGGCATCTTTCGTTTCTCGAAGCTTTACAATCAGGCTGACATTCTTTTCCAAAACCGGGTCCTGAAATATTAAAAGACATAATTCGAAATCACACGTTTGGTGTTCTAACTATTTTCCTATTAAACTTACCATTTGCATTACCGACGTTTGTTGTCTCCAAGTAAGGTGCCCCAGCCAGTAGGATCTCACCAAAGAGAACTTGAGATACACCGTTGCTATTGACTTGTTCGTTTCTGGTTAGGTCATCAAATTCAGTTTCAACGCTAGTGCTGACTGGAGGTGAGTGACCGCCGTTCTGAGACTTGTTCATAACAACAAAGAATGTATCACTGTCGTTTGCTCCGTCGGTATCAATCTTCTGTATGTTTTCTGTTACGTCGCTGTCTCTAATAATGAAATTATCGTTTTCTTCCGAAGAAATAGTGACGTCATCTAAGGCTATTTTCGTTTTAGCCGAAGTCTCTTGCACTGGCGTTGGTTCAACTTGAATGGGAATATGTTTGGTCACTGTTTCGATTATGGTAGTCGGTTGAACTTGTGTCTGTACTTTTGTAACCACGTCGACTATTGTGGACGTGTGTGTGTTTGTCAGTACTAGGGTTTCAGTTACAGCCCCTTCCGATTGACTCACCAAACTTGTCTCTGTCAGAGTGACCGTCAATGTATGTGTTAGGTTCACGTAATCGATACTGGATACAGTTTTCGGTGGTTCCGATAATGTTTTCGTAAGTGTAACAACCGTAGTTCTGAATTCGGTCTTTGTTGGAACTATGTCGTCTGATATTTTGATTTCGTTGCCGGCGTGATGTGTTGGTTGTAGGTTAGGACTAATATTTTCCATGCTCGAGGTTATTATATTTGATTGGTGATCTATAACATTCGGAATTTCCAGAATGGGTGTTGGAGTACTTTCTTTAAGTACCTCGGTCGGCTTAATGAACTCTTCGTTGGCAGAGCTTTCAGAACTTTCAATTATATTAGGCGGCGATACGGCCGGATACCGTGTAGGTATTGGTCTTATAATCTTCTTTATAGATGTATGTCTGGTCGGATATAAAACATCAGATCGAGATAATGTTCTTGTTGGTTTTATAGCAGTCGGCTTAGGAAGTTTAAATTTGTAAGTACTAGATTTTCTATCATCCAGCCGAACTGGATATGGTTTACGGACTCGATTCTTATTGTCTAATTGAATTGTCTTGTTCTCCGTGGTTGTATCTTCAACTGATTCACTAGCAACTGAATCATGTTCTTCATTCGTTTTATTTTTTTCAGTTGTCACTATTGTTGTAGGCTCAGAACTAGAAGCCTCATTTGATTGTTCGTATTTCTCAGTAGTTTCTGGTTTTTGCGAACTTAACTCTTCACTTCGTTCAGAAGAATAATCTACTTCATAAGAATAGGAATTATCAGAAGAGGGTTCCTCGGGTAGTTGAGCCGTAATTGAAGATTGGTCGATTGCTGGGAATTGTACAGATGTTGGGCCAAAGTCAAAACTAGAAGAGAATTCGACACCGGATGATGTCAACCAGCCTGAAGATGTAGGGGTTGGGAACACTATATTAGGTATTGAAGCAGAACTTATTTCACTCGATATATCTCTTGGGGGTGGTAATAGTTGGGAGGATGGTTGATTGTTATTATAAATGGGACGACGTACGTTGTTCAATATATCGTAAATCGGTCTATAGGTTGAAATGTCATCTCGATTATGAGGCCTGAAGGTAGATACTTCTTCTCTTAAATGTGGTCGGTATGTTGATACTTCATCTCGATTAATAGGCTTTCTTACAGGTCTTTGCGTTGAAGGTCTTGTTGTTTTTTGAGGTTTTAGTCTATAAGAAGGAGGTGTTCTAACTGGAATAGGCCTTGGTGTGATAGGCATTCTGGGAGGTAAACGAACAGCAGGGGGCATTCTCGGTGGTGGACTCATACCCATAATCATTTCATCATTTGTAGATGGTTTAAAATTGTAATCCATTGTAGGGGGAGGTGGTGAAAGATCTATTATTTCGGTTGACGTCTTATTTGAACTTGATTCCGTTGTGATTGTTAATTTATGTAATGTTGACTTTTCTGTTGCCTTTTCAACAATCAAAGGTTTTTTGTCCTTAATATGGACTGTTGAAGTAATAATATTGGTATCATTAAATACCTGAGTATAATTGCTTTTGGAAAATTCTGGTCTCGAATGTTTATCTTTCGAATGTGATTGACCATAATAGTATTGAGTGTTCACATTTGGAACTGGTTTTGGGCTGGACGGTATTTCTTCACCAATATTCAAGTCTAAATTACTTTCGTACGACGCGTTACTTGAATTTTCCATCATATGGTTTATCTGCCAATGTGGTTGTTGTAATTGGTGGTCAATTATCGCACCATTATTCATGGTAAATGGCCTCGGTTTCATACTTTGGTACTTATTTTCGTAAATAGGTTTTATTGCGTTACTTTTGAAGCCAGTTCTATTGTTCGCTATGAATGGTTTCTCAGTTTGGGTCCCGTGATTGAAATCCACTTGTTTATTTTTGTTTGAAGATTCCTGCTTGGGTGGATTAAAAACTTCATCTTGAAGCAAAGTTATCTCTGTTGATGATGTTGAAACTTTCAATTCATTCGAAGCACTAATAACAGGAACTTTCATGGATTCTAAACTGACTTCACCGTCAGTATCGTATGTACTGTCAGATTCATCTTCTCCATCATAAATCTCTTCAGAGTTTTCATAAATCGGTTTCTCCCTTTCCGTTAACGTTGTTGTTGATATGTGACTAGTAGTAGTTTCATGACTGTTATCCCTAATAGGAATGTCATAAGCTTGTTGATTTATAGCCCCGAAATTAGCTGGTATGTAATTAATTTTATTTGGTTTGGTTGTTAACGGTGGGATTGTGGGGCGGTGTTGATCATTAAATGTAGCTTTAGTAAATGGTTTGCCAAGGTTCATGTTGCTATGAACATGTCCAGAATGTTGCCAATGCGGAGGAGGCTTTCCAACACCCGGAAGTTTTTCTCCATAATCAGGACCATTTTCATTATGATCATGTATAAGAGGAATTGATTTCTGTGTTGTGATATCGATTTTAATATTGTGAATGACGTTATCGTTTAAAATACTAGAATACCACCCGTGAGAGTTTGTTGGAATGTTAGGAATTAGTTTTGGTGGTCTCTTCTGATCAGCTGCGATAACATCACGATTTATTTCGTGAACCGGCTTTACATTATTTACAGCCGGTCTGGTTTCTTCATTGATCATGGGGAAATTAGCATGACTGTTAAGAGACGGTGGCAGTGTGGGGCGAACAATTTCTGTCACTATAGGTCTTTCGGCATTGTTGTTGTAGTGCGAATGACTTAAAATGCTCGACTCCGTTTTTCCTGTAGAACTCTTGTTCCATCTATTATCTCCAACGAAATCTCCTACAGGCGTTCGATTATTAATTTTATAATTCCCAGCAGGTGCCTGATCAAGTGCAGGTTTCTCAACGTTTTCGTTGAAATACTTATGACCTACAATAGTGCCATCAATCTTCTCTGATTCACTCTTAATCCATTTACTGTCACCAACTATAACGCTAGGAGCACGACCATGTTCATCATAGATAAATGGATTTTTCTGTCCTTGTACATTGTGCGTCTCATATAGACCTGAATTATCTTCCACTCGGATAGCGAAATTAGTTCCAATAGGAATGTCAGTATTTAAGCCAACGCTGGAGGATGTACCTATTGAAACGGGGGCACTGGAACCAATAATTTGCCTATCGCCAACATTGCCCGCAACATTTGTAGCTGTATTCAAAGTTACAGTATAAGTAGTATCATCTTTACTATCACTATGACTAGCAATCGATTTGTTGACCATATTCAATGAGGACGAAATTGGAAAAGAATGTGCTGGGTCACTTGAGACCGATGGTCTATGTGCCGGCCTGTTTACATTAGCTAATTTATTGTACGTATTTACGAAGGAAGGTGCTACAGGTGGTATATGAATAGTGTAAGATGGAGTTGGCTTATTATTTGGTGCTTGAGACGCAAAGTAGATTTCCGACGTCACCTTAGGGGGTAACTGTTCTTTAGGAAGCGAATGTTGATGATGTTGAGCATTTAGAAACACTTTCATATCCTGCACCGGTTTTGTATGAACAATTGGTCTTTGGTTGTACGGCTTATTTTGATTTTCTTGAGTATTTTCTGTATTATAAAATACCTTTAGCGGCGGTGGGGGTACTGCCAGAAAATTTTCATATTCTTTGTCGATAAATTCTTTGCCATCTTTTAGTTTTTCCTTTCCTTTTATTTGATTTAATTTACCAAAATCAGTATTTGCACTATAGAGGTTTGGTTTGTAAGCAGATATTTGTGGACTGACTCGTACATGACCTTCTTGGTTATTCGGCGTAGGTGGAAAATTGTTTATATCTGGTCGTTTATTTTCATTCCATTTTACTTTCACATCATTCCTCACTGGCTTATTATGGGTAGCTGAGTTCTGGTTTTGGGGTTCTAATGGAAAATTAACGTTTGGGCCATTAAATATCTGATTACTGTTAGGTGCTACATTATGAACGTTTGTCATTTGAGGAGCATCTATGCTGAAACTTCCAAAGTATCCTGGTTCTGGATAAGGCAATGGATCATCCACATAATCACCAGTTTTGTGTGGTTCAGATGAACCAGCAAAAACTAACGCAGTTGAACTCCCGTGAGGAATTAAGACATTAGCAACCCTAGAAGGTTGGATGTCAACCAAAAATGGTTTACTGGAATCTGGACTCCCAGTGATAGTGTAATCAGACTCTGTCTTTATTTGTGTGTTCACAATTTCTGATGAGCTTGGACTGTTATCCAATATCTCTTTTCCTTTCATGTCTTCGGTACTCGGGTTGAAATTTGTGTTATATCCATTAGGTTTTTTTGCAGGTTTGGCTAGCGAAGGAATATAATCTAAGAATACAGGCCGACCGTGATTACCCAACACTGTATTTATAGTTTTTATTTTTTCTGGGTTTATTACTTGATCGTGAGCCGTGTGCCCTGGAGAGGGTTTACGAAAAGGCATCTTATTTTCTGTGGCAGAATAAGAGCCATATGGCCTTTGTCCATTCAGAGGCCGGGGTCTAGGCTTGTTCTTGGGTACATCAGGCGGTCTTAAATCAAATGAATCGTCTACTTTTACTTCTGGCTGATCACTCATCGGTTTTTCATTAACTAAATACTGTTCATTAGCCGATACGAAACTATCAATTGGTGGTGGGTTAACTTGGTTGTGTAATTTTATGCCACTGGCAGCCAATGTTAACGGTCTTCCGACAGCTGGTGTCCCAACTATCAGATCGGAATTCGCTGTGATGATCTCACCTGGACTGATAGGTATACCGCCATTAACTAGAGGGCTTTCATGAATGAATTTCGGTGGGGTGATTGGTGCTTTTGGATACTTATGCTCGGTTACCCACGCCAAATTTTGATGTAACGTCGCATTAGTAAAAACTAACTGTGATTCAGATGTTTCTAGTTCATCAACGGGTATGTATATAGGAAAATTATCTTTTTTTACATCTATGTCTGTATCGATTCTTTTATTAGCACTGTAAGCAGTCAGCTTCATAGCTGGTTGGTGAGTAGTTGTCGTTGTTTTGTCTGCTATGTTGTCATGTCGCTTAATAAAACCGCCTGTCATCTTTTCCAACACTGGGGCTAGCCGCGTTAATCCTTTTATACCTAGAGTTCCTAATTTTAACAAATCAGCGACAACAAATTTATTTTTGTTTGGTTTCTGGTCTGGTTTGTTTTTCTCTGGAGACTTGTGAATTTTATTTGTTTTCGGAGGTCCTGGAGCCTGTTCGTTTGTTAACAATTCGCTTTCTTCTACAGGACTTGAATCTTTTTCATCCGAGTAATCGACAATTATTTCAGTATATTTCTCTACTATTCTATCTGTGGGTGTCAATTGTGAGCTGCTTTCATACTCATAGGGTTCATATTGAGTTTTTTTATCGAGAGTTTCTTTCTTTGTGGACTTAAAATCTAAAATTGTACCGCCATATTGTGATGTTTTCAAGCCAAAGTTTGATGATGCCATGTCGACATTTATATGCTTAGTATTAAGTCCTTCTGTTTGTGAATGGCTGCATGAGCATGAAGTCGTGCATGGTACATGACTGACTTCTGAAGGTTGGATTATATCGAAATTGCCCTCGTTGTCAATCCTTTTGTCAGCTTTTGGGAAACTATTCACGAACATATTGCTCAGTGACGCTGTCGGTTGAATCGTTTTCACTTCCATATATTTTGTCTGAAACGAAATGGTAAACTTTAGTAATAATTCAGAAATAACGAAGAAAAGGGTTACTTTGTTAGATCAAAAAGAAATTAAAATCTTTGGTGCACTACAGTATTGGATATCAGCATTTCAAATNCTTTTGTCAGCTTTTGGGAAACTATTCACGAACATATTGCTCAGTGACGCTGTCGGTTGAATCGTTTTCACTTCCATATATTTTGTCTGAAACGAAATGGTAAACTTTAGTAATAATTCAGAAATAACGAAGAAAAGGGTTACTTTGTTAGATCAAAAAGAAATTAAAATCTTTGGTGCACTACAGTATTGGATATCAGCATTTCAAATAAGCAGACTTCTAAGGTTTGCGTGGATTTTGGATTTAGGGCGCCTTGGGGTCAAATCTTACTTTCGTCGGCTGTAAATCGACCAATATATCTGTAGCAAACAAATTTGTCAATGATTCTGTTGTCACAACAGAAACTATTGTCTCGAATGTGGAAATAGCGCTTCTTTTGTTGTGCACAATCGTCGTCAAATACGTATATGTTGTCATACAAGTCTTGATAATGTAATTATGCTGCATGAATTGATTCAACGGAAATAAAGCACTTATTTGCTGTTGATTGAAAAATGTAGCGACTGCCGAAGATATTAATTGTTTTGGTCTTATTGAAGTATTTGTATTGATCGCTGACGAGAACTTGCTCACTCTGTTTTTAAGATTTCGCTGAGGAGGAAAAGTAAAAAATAAATTTCAAGCTCTTAATGAGAGATGTTAAAAATTAAACCTAAGTTTCCTCAGTAGGATAACACAAAATGTTTGACATTTCATGAGTAATTTTAGAAAAATAATACATACATACACACACTATATCAACTATATAAGCTTTATACAAGCTACCGTAAATTTAAGAAATTAGGTAAATGGTTCAAATTTTTGTCCCACCCTATTCGCTGGAGGCTTAACGGGGCTTTCTAGCTACGCCCGGATGGGAATTCTATTGATATGGAATAAAGGTTACCTCCCGTCCTAACAATACTAAACATTGCTTTACATAATACACGCATACATAATTGAGTATGGTAGTAGCGCGTGCTTAAAACATACTGATTCTATTCCTTACTTTTAATAAAAAATCACTAAATATCACTTTATCTCCTATTTATCCTATTCATATTACCTGTTCATGTTTTCCATCAACACTTTTGTCTTTAACTAGTAATTCCACTCCATTAGCCATTACTTTCGTGGCGACATTCTTCAATTTCCTCTCGTCCATATCAGTAGCAGACCTTTCTTCGGTATTAAGGTCTCTACCTGGCATCCAAGGGGTATTATCATAAACAATTGCATTGGTATTAAAGGCTGAAAATTTAAATTTGTCAGAATTGGAAAAGGTACTTTTAGAGAAATGGTTAGAATTAACAAAACTGTTCTTATATTAATGTGGAACTAATTTGTTACAGTAGTGATACTTACTATTATTTTTTTTATTTCAAACCAAATTCGTAGTTACTCTGTATTTGATAATTTTAGTTAATAATTCAGAAGCAAAATTCTTTTTATACCATTTATATCACAATAAAAACTAAAGTTACTAATATATAAATTACTGAAGGAAATTTAGCCATTAAGGGTTATATATTTGCATTTGTTAGATTTGTTAAATTTGTATAATTTCTTTCTTAATTATAAATGTTAGTTAAGAGTTTAATTTCTATTATAACTACAAAAAAAAATATGTTAACTTATCAACACCAAAATACATTCTATTTACATCTGTTTTGTTATTTAAAAGTTTATTCCTAGTCTATGTGTGTTTAAATTTAGTGCTTATCGTCAGAATGTTTAAGAGTTAGCTACCTAAAAGGTCTTAATTTTGCCACAAAAATACTATTGGATAGGATTTTTTACATTCAACAATAAGATATGTTAGCCGGTATGTAATACAGAAAAAAAAACTATGGGCTTACTACACCTAACTATTGAATATTATAATATTTTATGTATTAGGATAAATGTATTTAAATTTTGTTTCAATAATATGCATTATATAAAAATTATATATATATATATATATAGTAATATATATTTATAAACTACTAGCTGTAAACGCCCGTTTCGCTGGGCATTTAAAATTAACATCACTATTTCTTACCCCCACAAAGATTCTCATCATTAACGCCCCCGCAACTGGTGTAGGGAGTCCAACACTCATATAAGTAGTAGCCTATCCATTAAGTACATGTATTTTCTACATACCATTCTGGATACCATGTTTCAAGTCAATCGGGTGCACGGTTCAGTAGTTATAACGGAACATCCATAAAAACCACTTTAGTTTTATATATTAGTATAGACAAGAGACGCCAAGAACAAAAGTTTGGCAATAAATAGTATGCATGCGTGTGTGCGTCAATACATGGTATGTAGTGTGTGTAATGTTTTCTTTATTTATTTAATGTATCTTTTATGCATTATTTTAAAAAAATATTAGCATTGTGCACTTCTTCTCTATATCTATACTTCTATACTAATATTATAAAGAGGAAAGATTTGTTTGTTTGTTTGTTTCGAATAGGCTCCGAAACTACTGGACCGATTTGAAAAATTCTTTTTCCATTAGAAGCCGACATTGTCCCTGATGAACATAGGCTACTTTTTCAAAAAAATTTTTTTTTTTTTTTTGGTTTCATGTGTGTTTTAATGTTTCCGAAGCGAAGCGAGGGCGGGTCGCTAGTTCTCTATAAGTGTGGAAAATTTCATATTCCTCCGTCCGCGCAATTTTCGTAAAAAGGGATACAAAGTTTTTGCTTCACGTATTGATATATAGATATATAAAATACACAACACACATAATATAATAATATTATATACCAATATTACATACATACACACAACAAAATATGTTTACGGTAATCTGTACGTTACGATACGAATCTGCCGGACGACGTAATGGAAACAGATAATTCTACGTCATACCATCGAGATTGGCGCAACGTGTGAGGGCAGTCAATGAAAGATTTGTACAAACTACACTGCTGCTAATTTTTTACGAATCATTTCTCTCGGACAAGAATTATGTGGAGTAAGCCCACAAAACTATCTTTAAATGATAAATAGACCAGGAATAAATAAAATACAGCATTCACAAGACTCACCTCGGGAGGATGTTCACGGGATGTGGACTTGGTAGCGTCCAGTGGTTGGGGACCTCAGGAACCGTCGTGGTGGTGCAAGAGTCATATCGTCCAGTTCGTCGTCTTTGTCAGAAGTCGTCAAATAGTTTCAAGTCGGTTCGTGATGTTTTAAAATATATACATCCTACTGTTGTGTGGGGCTAATATGATTATTAATAAAATTTGTATTTGTTATTTATATTTTGAGTTCTGGTTTAATCTGGCATAGGCAAACTTTAATGTTAAAGATGGTTTGTAACATAATAAATTAGTTTCAAAATCTACTATTATGTAATCACCTTAAATAAATGAATAGCAATTTTCAAAATGTAATTTTGCAAAAATCAAAGAAACTAATTGTGTTTGAAACATTACTGGTGGTCGGACCTCGTGTGAGCCCTGCGCGGGTAGGTACCACCACCCTGCCTATTTCTGCCGTGAAGCAGTAATGCGTTTCGGTTTGAAGGCTGGGGCAGCCGTCGTAATTATTCTTGAGACCTTAGAACTTATATCTCAAGGTGGGTGGCGCAATTACGTCGTAGATGTCTATGGGCTCCAGTAAACACTTAACACCAGGTGGGTTATGAGCTCGTCCACCCATCTAAGCAATAAAAATAAAAACAGTTATGACAAGTCTAAGTTTTGAGTAATGCGGTATAAAATAATGTAAATATAATAAATACAGCATTAAAATTGGAATCTAATGGTCAGGTTTTTTTTATATTTTTCGTGTAAGATCATGCGGCATCATTGATTAGGTTTCAGAGTGTTGGATTAAAGAAATACCCTTTATTTAAAAATCCTCATTGTTTTATTGTTTTAATTAACATAATAAAATTATTTACAGTCGTAAGCGAAAGAAAAGTATGAGTATTATAGATAATAATTGAATTCGTAAACTAAGTTCAATTAAAACTTATTCTTAGGCAGTGTACAGATTGTAACCTACAATATTTCTATACCAACATTTTTTATGGTAACATAGGAATATTTTTGGTGTCCTTAATCGAAAAACATATTCTAATCAAGTACAAAAGAGTATTCTGTTCTTAGACACTACGTTTAAAACTATAAGGCACTATTCATAGTTAACTTATTATAATACAATGTAAATAAATAATTAAACCATAACTTTATACAACAGACCGTTTGTTGGAATATAATTTTCACGAAATATCATCGACCGAAGTTCCTTCTTTCATATGCCTGATTGAAGAAGGACTGCCCAAGTCTACGACGTACGTTGGTGACGCGTTATATTTTATATGCTTACTGATTTCACCTACAATACTCTCCAGGCTTTGGGTTTCAATCTGGTTCTCAAATGAGGAGTCATCTAAGAATCTATCTCTGTCTGAAAGTAAGATTGTTGCGCTACTATCCAATTGTGAACCATACAGCTCGTCTATTGTTGGTAAAATGGATGGAGAGACTACGGCGTCCTCATAATAAATGGCTTCGCGTTTCCTAACCGTCTGTGTGTCATCACTGATCACCGTTGATAGAACTGTACTGAATTCACCTGGATGCTTACCAGATACGTATAAAGTGACAACACTGGTTTGCTTGGGTGGAGGTGCGGGCTTAGGCGCTTTTTGCTTGCTTCTTGACCGAGAAGGAGGCGGCGGTGGAGGGGAATCATCATCGTTATCTATTTCGTAATCATCTGAGAAGTTTTCGTTGCTATTCAGATCTGATAGGATGTTAGGTTTGGGGCTGTTACTGTATATGTCATTATTAAAATTGTTTTGAAGGGCATTTAAGTTGTTTAGATTAAGGTCTGACTGGCCCAATCCTGCTAAGGGATTTACTGTAGGAAGCGAAAGGCTCTGCTGTTGCTGTTGCTGTTGCTGAAGTAAGAGAGGAAGAAGCAGCGAATTCAACTGCGGAGATGGACCTAAAGCAGTGGGAGTCGTAATCACAGTTTCCGTAACGAATTCAGTAGCGGTTATAACATTTGTCGTGGGATCTACAATTGTAGTCAAAATTGCCTTGCCTCTGAATGTAATTGGCAAAACTGTTTCTCTAGCATCAGTGATTGTGGTAACATAAGTGGTGGCTCTAGTCTTATATTCCGTTACAGGAGTTTGTACAATAGGTTGCTGCGGTAACAATCCCTGTCCTTGGAATGCTAGGAGAGGGTTGATCGCAGGTTGTTGGTTGCCAAGCAAAAGTTGTGATAGAAGCAAATTGGCCAAGGGAACGTTTGTATTAATTTCTGGAGCCACAGTCTGAGTTACGGATTCGACATTGTATACTGTGCTAGGTAAAATGTGAGAGAACGAAGTCTTACGGCCCCTTATAGTTGTGGGTGTGAAAATCACTGTAGTTGTCGGGGTTTCATGAAGTAGATATTTAATTAGTTTTGTAGCGCCGTTTTCTGCTAGTTCGGTAGATTCCGCGGCAAGTACTAATTGCTGCTGACCTAATGGCCCTATAGATGTCGAAACTTGATTTAGTAATAAAGTCTCAATGCTAGGGGTAGCTGACAAAACATTCTTGTATTCCGTTATTTTGCCGTTTACAAAAGGAATAGTGACCTCTGTTGGTATTTGATAAGTAATAGTAATCTTTCCGTCATTAAGAATGTTGTTAAAATTGTTGAATCTCTCGCCACTCAAATTTTCAAATGAGCTTCTTTGTCTGCTTGATGCTCTACTCGTGGTTGTACGGGTACGAGCCCTGGTCGTTGCCCTAGACGGACTTGACCTAGAGGTTGAAGTCTTGGCAGATAATCTTGGTAGTTTCGGTCTAGAAGCCGATGTAGTTGTTCTAGATGAAGTCCGGGTCTTTGCTCTTCTATACGATGGTGTAGCAGCTGTCGATGTAGTTCTACTTTCTCCACGAATAATGAAAGGCTGTCTAGATGCAGCTTTTACACTGGATGACGTTGTTGCTTTATTACGTGACGTTGTTGCTTTATTAAATCGTGAACCTGGTCTAGGTTTTTGTGTAGACGGAGCTTGCGTTTCAGGTTCTGGTTCGGGTCGCTTAGTGGATGTACCTTTTAGTCCTGGTCGTCTAAAGTTTGTGTACCGACGGTTCGCAGTGTTAACTTGACGCTTGGTACGACGCCTAAATGCGAAAGGTCTGATTTGTACTATGGGCTTTGATGTGGGTGGTGTAGCGACTTGTCTCTCTTTTCTGTCGGATGAATCGTAATCATTATCTTCTTCAAACTCTTCTTCTTCTTCTAATAATTCTTCATCTTCTTCTACTTTTTGTTCATCTTCTTTGACTTCTTCTTCTGGTTCAGGTTCTGGCTGTCTGAAAAGATTTCTTCGTGGAAACAGTGCATTTGGCCTTTGTCTCCTCAATGCCAGTAAAGGATTAGGTGTACTACGAGTTGTTGATCTTCTAGTTGTTGTTGTGATTCGACTTCTAGATGTTATTCCTCGTCTATTCGATGGTGTAGTCGTACGAGGAGTGATGGCTGTTCCTGGTTGTCTTAAAATTGGAGGTCTTCTGAACCTAAGCAAAGGATTATTGGTCGTTCTAATCGGTTGTTCAGTGACTTCTTCATAAGGTTCCGTAGCAGCTTCTTCAAACTGAGTTCCAAAAGTCTCCTCGTTTTGATCAGTGGGTGGGATAGTTAATGCAGTTGGTTGTTTACTGTTTCTTGCAGCAGGTAGCCTTAACGAAGCTGTAGGCCTAATAATTCTTGGAACAGCTGATCTACTAGCGTAATCTAGGCTACCACTTCTCAGAGAACTAGTTCTAAAACCAGTTCGTCGAGATGTAGGTGAAATGGAACTTCTTCCAAATCCACCTCGTGACGCAGATGGGGCATTAGCCGATGGATTGTTGACACTGCTACGCCCAGGAAAACGTTTGCCGGCACTAGATGCTCCAGGCGATGCGGACTGCTTTCTGCTACCTGGGAAACCGGACTGCCTAACAGATTTCAATGTTGGTGTAGCAGTAATGGTAGGCGTTGCATCTAAACGAGTTATCGTGGTAGCACTACTGGGTAGAGGTACACGTTTTGGAATAAATGTGGGCCTATTTCTTGATGAGAATGGCGTTATGACTGGAGTAATTGACGGTTTCTTAGGTTTAAAAGTAAGACGTGACTTTTTCCTACTATTTGTGCCATCATCCTCATCTTCGTACTTAGATTCTGTAGATGATTCAGATTCTGTTGTAACTGAACCCTCTAAAATTTCTGTGGATGAGCTTATATTATTGTTTTCTGTGGTTGTGGTTGTGGTAGTGGTAATTGATGATGTAGTACTCTCCGTATTAAATGTTTTGTTATCGCTTGTCACGATTGTCGAATCGCCTGAAATAACTGCCACTTGTGAAAACAAAATTTTCTTTTCGCTTTCAGTTGTTGGTACGTCTGGTTTTACTTCAGCAAATAGGTTATCAATGTATGTACCTAAAAGTACTGTAGGTGACGCTGATGAGATATCCGGTAGTTTGGTCGGCTGAATAACTTCCTTGACCAAAGTAGGTGCAATAAGTACCTTTTCACCCTTGTCTTGAATCAAATTATTTTCTGGAGCACCAACCGGAACTTTGCGCCCTATTTGATTGTCTTCAGCGACCTTTGTATTGTCCACAATGTTTGTCACTGTTTCTAAGCTACTTCTTATTTGCGAAGTGTTTCCAGCGTAAAATGTGGTGAAATAAGTATATGTTGTATAGAACGTTGCTTTACCGTCATCGGGTTCTGAGCTATCATCTATTAAAGATGGTTTTATCTCGACTTCCAGATCTTTTGGTGGTAGAACACTGTCTATTTCAATGGGGGTTGTGTCAATTGGACTGACAGTTGGTAATACTTGAACTGTTGGAGTGACAACATTCGAAACAATTTCTTCACGGCTCGTGATGGTCGTTGATTTATCCTTGTAAAGTGTAGTCCAATAAGTAAAGGTAGTGTAATAAGTAATAGGTAAATTACTTTCCTCTTCTGGTTCTTTATTCGGCATAATAGTTTCCGTGACAACGTTGGTGATAGTTTCTAAGTGACTTTTGACTTTACTAGAATCTTTACCAATATACATTGTCGTAAAATACGTAAATGTTGTGTAGCTAGTCTGTAGCAAAAGAGTAGGGGATGGCAAAATTTCATCGATGTTACTCTCTGAACTTATTTGATCATCCAATACATTGTTATTATCTAAATATTGCCTTTCTCCTTTAGATGATGAGGACTTGACGTCTGTTACATAATTTGAATTGTCAGATTCTAAGGGTTTAGCCTCTACACTAAACAACATATCAACTTCAAGAGGATTAGGTTGAATTAATTCTTTCTTGGTTTCGCTATGAGTTTGCTCCATCTGTTCAACACTGATAGTCTTTTCCATAGACGAGTTATCTTCAGGATTTGAGGGGGGGTCCATTTTGACTTGCCTACAATTCCTAAAGTCGAATTGAGCTCTTGTACTTTCTGCTGCGAGCGAGTTACTCTTTGTTGGTACTAGTGCATCAGGTCCTACATAGTTTGTGTATACTTCACTTCTACTGCAGACATTTGCATCAGTACCAACAAATATAGTTGTGAAGAATGTATAAGTTGTGAAATATGTTTTTACGGCATCTGGCTTGATACTTGCAACAACATCGTCACCTAAAGATGGAGTTGGCGTCTGGGAACTGTATACTTCATCAACTTCAACAGATTCAATAACGTCTTTGTTTTTCACCAAATCAATTATACTGTTAATGGCCACTGATTCAGTCGGACGCCCTACACCGACACTAGTTGGTGCTATTTCTCCTTCATCAAAAGCACCTAGTAACGAAGGGTCTAACTTGTTCAGATCAATCGTAGATGTAATAATATTTGTAACCACTGATTTATGACTGGCTACACTTGATGATTCGTCTCCGAAGAACGTCGTAAAGTATGTGTAAGTAGTGTAAAGTGTTTTATATATGACATCGATCTCATTTTCTTCATCATCCACCTTATCTTCATCGAGCAGTGATTCAGTCGTTGTAACGACACCTTGTCCGACTCTTTCTGTTTCCTCAGTATGATTTTCACTGGTAGTTTCTCTTTCATTGTTCTCGTTCCCCCTTTCTGTAGTAGTAGTAGTTGTACTGGTGGTGGTTGTCGATGTAGTCGGCTGTTTCTCTTCATTTCCATCATTGTTTGCCTCAGCGCTACTTTCATCAGATGATGTTCTATTTTCTTCATTAACCGTTTCACCTTGAGGTACATTTTCGATTTCTTGCTTAGCTACTATTGTTTTATAGTCTTCAGTGCTAGATTCAATCTCTATACTTGTTTTAGTTGTTGGTTCTTCTGATTGCGTTTCTGGGGTTTCCAAATTGGAATGTACAGAATAATTTACATCAATAGAAACAACTGCAGTTGGTTCGATCTCAAAGTTAGTTCGACACACAACATTTGTAAAGTAGCCAATGTTACTTTCTACAACCACATCCGATTTTACAGAGGTTGTTGTTTCAGTGTTTTCTAATGTAATAAAATAAGTTGTCAGATATGTAAGTGTCTTGTAAGCAGTAGTCATTGTAGATTGTGTTTCTAAACCATTAGTGCAAAACACGTCTTCATGTGTTTCGTGTTCTTCATTATAGGTTTCAATGTTTTCGTTGCTATCATTTTCATCATCCTCATCATCCTCAGTGCCCTGTTCATCGTTATTTTGTTCAGGTTCCGTTACGAATACCTTCGCTTCAGTGGTAGTTTCAAAATCTTCTGACGATTCATCACTATGCCCACTTTCTGTTGTAGTAAATAACGCTTGTGATGCCTCCGTTGTTGTCTCGTTTTCTTCCTCATCTTCTTGGTCTTCTTCTGCGGTCTCACTTACTTCAGCAGCAGTGTTCTCACTCTCTTCTTCGGAATTTGTAAAAACATCAACAGTATTTGGTTCTGTGACCACGGTTTCTTGAGAAGATTCCACTACCATTGGTGTCGGAGAAACGGAGCTCAAAGGATCCGTCGGCTTAGAACTAAAATCTTGGATCGGTATAACACCCAAAAAGTCAGTTAAGCGTGTGCTTTCTGTTGTAGATACAGAAACTTCTGATGGTTGAATAACGTCCACATTAAGACCAAAATTATGATCAAACTGAACACTCATTGTATCTGGAATAACATCATCAACTTGATACAGGACTTTTTTGAGGCTCTCTTCGTCATTGTAAAGGGCTTTCTCGGATCTATTATTATCTTCACTAGAAATGGACGTTATTATTTTAGTTGGAGAGATATCTTCGTGTGCTTTATATGTGGAACTTGCTACAGGAATATCAGAGGCAAGGAAAGTTATCTTAGAACCTAACTTTTGAACTGGTTTAGCCGATGGAAAAACATTAACTTCCCCAGGGTGCTGTGGTTGACTGGTTTCAGTATTTGGCGTAAATATAATAACAGTATCTCCAACGACCGTCGTAAAATCGGCAAATCCGGCATACGTGAAAGTTTTCTTAGGTCTAGGTTCGCTTTTTTGTCCAAACAACTTCTTAGGCGTTTTAGTCTGTTGGACTGCTGGTTGAAATTGCTTGCGCGTTTCAACGTTATCTATATAATAAAATATCGGAGAGAATTCGTTTTTAATCGTAAATGTCGGTAAATCGTAATTAGGTTTAACTTTACTAATATTAAGCTCCTCTGGCAAAGGTTCATTGCGTATAACTGGTTTGACAGGTTCGGCTATATGTTCGTAAGCCTTACTTTGTCTATAGACCGGGTTATTGTAAGCTATTTGGGTAGGTTCAACGAAAAATTCGAATTTCTTCTCGCTTTCGATGACTGGACCGTCAAGATAGTTTAAGGCGTCATTCTGAACATAACGCGGAATCTCTTTAACTGGTTGCACTCTGCGTGCCACCGGCTCATCGAGTTGGTTTTCAGTTTGGCTTTCAGGAGCTGACGGACTCCAGTAATTAACATCTTGAACTGGTTTACTGGCATAGACGATTTCCATCATACTATTAGGCGCCAAGTAATCTGTATTTTTTAATACGAAATTCTCGGGGTCTATGAAGCCTAAATCTTGCTTGACGTTCCATTGTCCATCGAAAGCGGAATGTATACGCGTCGGATTGACAATGACAGGCTCATCGACAGCAGAAGGCTTATTGTACAACACTAAAGAAGACTTGGTGAGGAGCTGTGCGTATATGCGCCCATTGTCCAAGGTGGTGCCGAGGATTTGGGTCGCATATTCCGTGGTGACACCGTCCTGGATGAAAGTCCTCGCTGTCGACGTCAACAAGCCGATGAGAGGTTTGACGCTGTGATACCTTCCGACCTTCGTATTGTATTCGTTTCTCTTCTGATTCACAAGGAGTACTGTCAAGTCTGTTGTCGGGTCCGTCGATAATGTCATCGTCATTGTCATGGATGGGATCAATTGAGGTTTATTTTACAAGAGTCCGTTTGAGTTGATCCACGACCACGGGATTAGATGAAAGAGAGAGAAAAAACATACAATTAATAATACGGCAATAGANCTTCCGACCTTCGTATTGTATTCGTTTCTCTTCTGATTCACAAGGAGTACTGTCAAGTCTGTTGTCGGGTCCGTCGATAATGTCATCGTCATTGTCATGGATGGGATCAATTGAGGTTTATTTTACAAGAGTCCGTTTGAGTTGATCCACGACCACGGGATTAGATGAAAGAGAGAGAAAAAACATACAATTAATAATATGGCAATAGAATTTTAGACAATTCTTTGGCATTTGCAAGGTTAGCACTAATATTACATTGGCTTGGGAGATTAATTGATTTCCAATAGTACTACTTAATGGTTTATGAAATTAATACAAAGTTCCGTCCTACGTTGAGGATGATAAGAAACTGAACAACATAAGTGATGAAAGAACATGAATGAAAACAAAATAAATATGGCAATGGATTTGTGGAAAATAACTAATCTCCCTTACGCGAAATCAAATTTACAAAACAATAATTTTATTTATTGCAATTAAAAAGAAAAAGAAAACGAAGGTTAAACGAATAGAAAAGATTTAAAGGAAAGATAAAGAGACTGTACGAGAATCAAAATTACAATTTGGCAATCAAAACTTTTTACAATTATTGTATATATATGTTTGTATTTTTTATTTATTAGTAATATATAATATACACAATACACACCCCTGTTTTCTGGGCCTCCTTCCCTTTTGATTCTTGATGATTCGATTGTTCCATCAGAATTAAAATCTGAAACAAATAATACGTGTACACTATAGACGCTTCGTAATTACAATTTCGACATAAGTCTTATTTATTTATTTCTAAAATGCATGGGCTCACGTATCACCTGATAGCCTCTCAAGTTTTACAGTACATTGGCTATCCCACTCTTGGAACCGAAACGCCATTATTCGCGGCTAAAATAGGCAAGGTGGTGGTACCTATCTACATTTATGGGGATTTCAACAATCTTCTCGATTCACTGAAATATGTGGTGGTACCCATCGGTGCGGACTCACAAGACATTCTACCACCAATAAGTGTATATGATGTATATTTGGGGATTTCCACAATCGTTCCGCCACTGATTCCGACCAGGAAACCCTAACCGAATCACTAAGCTATTTACAATCTTTAAGTGAATGCCATCATCCAAGCTAACTAGACACTAGCAACAATGGCATCGCAAGAATCCAATTGCCGTACTTAAAAAAAATATTTGTTACACCCTGAGCGAGCATTGTCCGTCTGTGGAAAGTTCTAGAAGCCATATCCATTCGATAGTCAAAATCCATCGTATTCAATCAAATAAATCTTCGAATAGTTCGCGAGATATATACGTAAAGAGTTTTTAATTGTATAAACCTTTTTGAACGAGCCCAGTCGCCTTCAAACGTCCTTGTGGCTGTCCAATACTTTCTACAATCCATCTGGGTTAAGTTGAATTCTTGCGAAACGCTACGTTATAGCTATAATATAAATATTTATAGTTACTCTTGTGGGCACAATCAGGGCGTATTAACGTACGACACAACGAAAAAAAAGTAATACAATAATATAATAATATCTTTGTATATTATTATATAATATATTAATACGTGAAGCAAAAACTTTGTATACCTTTTTACCAAAATTGCGCGGACAGAGGAGTATGAAATTTTCCACACTTATAGAGAATATAGAGAAGAAGTGCACAATGCTAATATTTTTTAAGATAATGCATAAAAGATACATTAAATCAATAAAGAAAACATTACACACACTACATTCCATGTATTTGACGCACACACGCATGCATACTATTTATTTATTTTCAAACTTTTGTTCTTGACGTCTGTGGTCAAATTGAGAATAGATTAAACATTATTTGTCTTTATTAATATTTTTCTATAATGTAGTCTTGGCGAAATTTGTGATTATAGAAGTATAATAGTCTTTGAAAATACAATCATAATAGTGTACAAACTTATAATTCCAATTAATTGTAGTCGAATTTCGATTACTGCGGGACCTCTAGTTATTATATAATTTTACTATACGTGTATATTTTTTCTGCCTACCTGTTCTAGTAACCTCGGGGGGTTATTCTAGATCGACCGAGCTAGTAGGTGAGCTCACGGGGCTCAAACCTGACGATGTTGCTAACACGAACCTTAGCAAGAGCCGTGCTTCGCAGAATCTACCACCGGATCGGAATCACGACCCACTGAGAAGATCCGGCTAGAAACTCAGTGGACTGTGTCTGTGGGTTAATTTACTCGCCGAGCCCTTCGTCGCAAGCGACGGTTTCGACGAGAACGATGACCGGTGCTTGGGGTACCTAAAAGCACCTTTAGTGGATCGGGTACGTGTCTATGTCATTGAACTCCTCCTAAACGGCTGGACTGGTTTGAATGATTTTTTTGTATGCGTTTGGGTGGCGCCCTAGATGGTTTAGATTCACAAATCAGCCCGGAAAATGGCGCTGCAGTCGGTATCTAGGTTATTTATTTATACTGCAACTAAACGACTGGATCGACTTGAATGAATTTTTGTAGGACGTCTCTTTTTTTATTTTATTTCCTACCTAAACTAATAGCCTTGAGAAGCTATTTCAGCTTCTCCTTGACGTGTAGGTGAGCTCACGGGGCTCAAACCGGAGTGTTGCTAACACTGGCCCTAGCAAGAGCCGTGCTTCGCAGAATCTACCACCGGATCGGAAACGCGACCCACTAAGAAGATCCAGCGAGAAACTCAGTGGGCTAATATATACATATATATCGCGTCGGGAGCGTCTTTGCGATTACTTGGTTGAAGCACACAAGGCACTGATGATGACCTTTCAAAACTCGTTAGTGGCACAACCCTAATGACGTGTTGAATACAATTCTAAAACACCGCTAGAAGGTCCTATTTCTAATTTAGTATTTATTTTGGTTGTCTGAAAGAGATCTCTCTTAGCGATAAGACAGCCAATTGTACTTTTTGTATTTAATGTTTTGCATTTTTTTTAATACTTTGCGTACAATAAAGCATTCTCTCTCTCTTTTTCTCTTAGCTTACGTTATAGATGAAGTTTTTTTGTCATATAGTTACAATGAAAAAGATAACCAACCTAGGACATATAAAATCTATGTCTAAATAAGTTCAAGAGCTGCCTCATAGTTCGGACATCGAAATAGACACAATGCTTAGCTATTTCCAAAATTAAATATGTTGCAAACGTATAAATATATTCGTTTTTGTTTTTATTACGTCGTTAAACATTTGTGAAAACTTCCAGAAGATATTTAAGAGGACATTCGAAATTTAAAACTGAAAAACCGTAGCTAATAGTGCTACCAACATTACCGAGAACAGGATTTAAAAACGTTTGAATTCAGAACACGCAATGCGCCCAGTGCGTCAAGTATATGCGACAATGTGGACATGTCCGTAACAGTTTTATTGGCACCATTTGACATATGCGGTCGGCTACTCGTTTTTGCTTCAAGAAAAGGAACACAGGTTTCACTGGCACAGTATGTGTACGGAAGCGCACTCGTGAGGTGCATGTCGATCGGTTGGACCAACGTTTGACCCAATAATAACGGACCATAGATCCGACAGTAACAGCTACTAAAATAAATTTAAACTTGAACGAAATTCCTTTTTGATGTGAAACATCTATAGCCGCACGCAAAATCGATTTCTGGCGTGGCGACGCATGCCGTGGCGACGTGTTGCCATACTGCGCTCGTATACTCCGTAGTGTATACAGTGTTGTTTCTTACAGTACACATAACCTGTGTTTTACTTGAAAACAAATTATTTTTTCGTAATATTTTATTTTATCCTTATGACATATTTAGTTCCTATCACAATCTGTTCTTTTCTGCATATTGCTTTTACAAAACAATGTCGATGTTGCACATCTGCCAGGCGTCCTGTGACGGCTCACATTTTTTTTTACAAATTTTTATAGTTCTTTAAAATCTCTTTAATCACAAAACTCATAATTTTTCCCTTCTCACACTTTCGAATTCAGAACGAAACGAAAATGCGTCCAATTCAATTTGACATTATGGTTTAAGCCGACCAAAAAAATATACATTAAATGAGTTTTGTAATTACTATTTGGCCGGATTCTCGGCTGTAGTACCAACGTTTTGAAAAGAAGTTTAATTACACGCATGGAACTGTCAAAACAGTGATTATTTCGCACGCTCTCCTTTCATAAGCTCACCGACTAGTTCTAGTTTCATTTATGCCTATACACTTTATTCCATGGGAATAGATATCATAATGGAATAGCTCCTAATATTATATTTTAATATTATTCGAAATTCAAATTCTTTATTATACTCAGCGTTTTGTTAGTGCTTGAGAAGTGTTAAGAAAACATGGATTATGTTTCAGGAATAGCGGAATTTGAGTACCTACCCGCGCGAATTTCAATACACATGACAATAATAATGGCAATTTCTTTTTACATAATGTTTGGGACTTAGATGGGTGAGACTAAGTTTGTGTTAAAAAGTTACCGGGGCCGTTAGACCCATCTTTGAGATCGAATTACTGGTTCAGAAATAGGCAGGGTGATTGACACCTACACGTGTTCACAAGATGTCAAGTAATAAAAAATAAAAACAATTCGAAATGACTATAAAAACGTGAAACACAATGAAAACGTGCTAAAGGTACAATATCTAAATTCTACAAGTTGAAATCTTGTTTTTTTTTTTGTAGTTTCACTTTTAACCGGCAAACGGATCCAATGAAAGTGAGTTTGCGGTACTCCATGTTTTGTTGGCCAGCTTCGCTTGAGAATTCAACTTTCTTCGCGAGTACATTTCGATGCGCGCTTCGGACCAACGACGCTTAGATGTTAATTGGACGTGATGTTGGGAATAAGAAGTGACTCGGTTTTGATTTTTCCGCGGAACATACTGCTTCTGTTTTGTCTTTTTTTTTGATTGCTTAGATGGGTGGACGAACTCACAGCCTAACTGTTGCTTACTGGAGCCCATAGACATCTACAACGTAAATACCGACAACCACCTTTTGAGATATGAGTTCTAAGGTCTCAATATAGTTACAACGGCTGCCCCACCCTTCAAACCGAAACGCTTTACTACTTCACTGCTGGGTGGTGGTATCTACCCGTGCGGACTCACAAGAGGTCCTACCACCAGTAATTACACCGTTGCATCGCTCGATACGAATGCACCGGACGTCTTATCCTTAAGACCACGACGACTTCAATAGAAGACCGACAGTGAAATATCACTGCGACTAACCAAGTCGGTGGTGCAGTAATGTTGACTGTTGCACTAAGGGTCGCAGGTTCGAATCCCACATCGGGCAAACATTCGTGTGACGAACAAGCTTGTTTACTCATTGTCTTTGTGTTTATTATCTATATATGTATGTCTCTTCCAAAATACCGGGAATCCTAATTTAAGGTCAGATGCCCGCGCGTAACATTTTCCCTGTTACTACTGTCATTACTAATTACTTTGCTTCGATTTGTCTCAATTCCATGCAAACATTACAACAGTTAATTAGCGTTATTAAAAGAAGATGTATTTAAAAAAAACACAAACACACATTTTAGACGATATGTCAATTAAAAGTATCTAAATATATAAAAAAAAAAAAAAAAACATTATTTGTATTATTATCTATAAAGTCTAAATGTCATTATTACTCGGAACCTGGGCATTTTGAAACGAGTTCTCAGCTTTTATGGCGGGAAAAGTGTTTTGTAAAAACGCGCGCCAGATAAG